GTGTTAATAATATGCCAACAAATTGAAGTGAATGAGACAAAATGATTAAGGGAGAAAGCAACTAGCCTCTGGTTAATCAAAGTCCTCAGCCTTGAATTTCTAAGAGTAGGAAACTGCAATTTATCACGGAACAACGGGTTCGCCTCAATCAGCTTTTTGAGTTCCACCAACATGATAGCTCTCGCAGACTTAGTGTCGCCATACTTGGATAATTGTTCATTCTCCCTGAAAGTTCAAGAAGTTCAAAACACTTAATCATCTGCATGATCTTTCTTTGAACCACGGCTGAGGGAAAAAAAGAAGCTTTAGACTACATTAATCCAATATGACTTTACCGGAAGTTCTCTAATGTCAAGAGCTGCGTAATTTCCTTGAAAAGCTCCTCATTAAAAGTTGAAAACACTTTCAAATCCTTCACTAGTATATCCACAGCCTTGGGACGATCATGCCTAGCAAAAGAAAAAAGGTCACCAGGTGAATCAAAAATCAAAACTCTTGTCTTTTCTCTTCTGTTATTGCACTGAAAGAAAGAAAGAAAAAAAAACAAAACCCCAACAATCAACTTACTTATCCAAAGCCTCGAGATACTTCTGCTTTCTTATCTCAAAGAATATCTTCATTGAGTATCTATTATCATCTACTTTAGTGAAGCCAGAGAGATACTTCTCAACCTCATCCCAGTTCCCACTGTGCACCTCATCCTCAAAATACTTCATATTGAAGAAAAATCCAGATTCTTGTTCAAGCCTTAAACATGAGGAAAAATTGACAAAGCAATGCATAAGAGCTAACAGTCCATCTAGTTTTTTTAAAAAAGTCCTCTCCAATAAAGCCAATTAGATCGAAAGGAGGCGCGTGAAATGAAGAGAGCAAGAAGACTTACTTGTGAACAGTCTCTTTGAACTTCTCTTCATCAAGAAACTGTAAGATCAAGAAGACGAGCTCTCTACTAAGAGAAGACATGTTTTCTCACACTTCCTCTAGATTTTTTCAACTCAGATGCACAACACACACCTAAACTATCACCAGATCTACATATTAAATAATGGCCGAAATGAGCTCAAATCTGGATTTCATGGTTAAGGAAATTTTTTATTTTTTTAAAACATGAACCTAAAAAATTCAGAAACTTGGCATCTATTTCCACACAGATAACAAAAAAAAAAAAAAAATCTAGGAAATTTTAGGTCTTCCTGGAATTAAATAGCTTTAAAAGAGAGAATCTTTTTTACTACATGGAAAGAAAAAAAGCAAAATAATTATCAGAAAGGGCAGAGGAAAAAAAGAGAAGAAGCAAAACCCAGAAAAAGCTAGGGCAAAAGGATTAAAAAATAAAATAATAATAAAACTCTAAAACAGCTAGATTCCATTAACAGAGAAGAGAGGCAAAGGTGTGAGAAAGAAGCGTGAAGCTTTACTTACCATGAAAGAAGAAGAAGAAGAAAGAGATCGATGAAGAAGACGACGACCAGAGATATGATGGATTGATTTTTTTGACTCTTTTAATTTATCTCTTTTTTTTTTTTTTTTTGCTCTATACCGAAAAAAGCAAACTTGAAAGAAATAAAAATGAAAGCTTTCTTCTTTCTTCTGCTTCTCTCTATCTAGAGAAAAGGGTTTTCTCTCTCTTCGAAATATATATACGGACATTAAAACTTGCAGAAATGGAGATTTTAATAAGAGAAGATGACAGATAATTGGATGCTGATCAGTAGTGTGATCTATCGCTCTAAGAAAAGCTAACTCCGATAAGCAGTAGTGATAAGTAGGAGAGCTGATCAGAACGTCTTGATCGGCTACATTTCTCGACGTTATCGGCTCGGAATATTAGTTGCCAGCTGTACTCGACGGAGAAGTGATCATATACATCGCGATGGGTTATACACCTAGCAGGAACACCGTCGGATATCGAAAGATGGCGCGGAGGAAGGGGGATCTAACGGTAAGAGTTTCATTCAATGTGTCAGACTTGTCTGAGATCCCTCGTGGCACGACAAAGCTTTTATACTTTTAAGTCCTTTTACCCTCGATTTTGACTAATATGACATTCCTTTAAAGAGAGAGAGAGAGAGAGAGAGAGAGAGAGAGAGAAAAGCCCCAATTGCTCTTACGAGATGCGTTAACTCATCTCGAACATCACGTGATGGAGAAATGTTCAAAAGGATGATGCTACGTCTTCGTCTTTCTCTTATCGCCGATATGACTCTCGGTTTATCGCGATTTACACATACTCGTGAGACGATATATATGGGCTACCAGAAGAAGACTCATAATATAGGGTTCCAATATATTATTTTAAGTGTATATATAATGTTTGAACATTTCTTTTCTTTGGTCCCCAAAAGTATTGGTGAACACATTATCATTTGTTATTATATGATAGAATAATTCTTCTTCTTTTTTTTCTTTTAACTTTATCAATACGGGTAAATCTAGTCTAGTGTATGATTGAATTGGTTGTAAGGAAATGTAAACGCGAGGGATATATATATATATATAGGAAACCGCTTGCATTGACTAATGACAATATTAAATTGTAATATGTCGAGAAAACTTGTACTTATAACAACACTGTTTTCTATTAAAAAGAAGAGAAAGTGAATGATTTTTATAATAGATGAGCGGAGGGAGGGGGTATGAGAAAGTTTGTTTAGATAGCTAGGAGCAAGTAGATAGGTCGATCGGAATGAGCTGGATTCTATTGGTTTGTTTAATGACAAGAGCAAGTACGTACATTTAAGAGAGAGAGAGAGAGAGAGAGAGAGAGAGAGAGAGAGCTTAATTAAAAAAGTGAATAACATAAACCCCAAACCAAAACAAAGAAAAAAAATTAAAGAAGAAGAAGATTAAAACTGGGTGGTGGGGAGATATCGATGAAAGGACGGGCAGTTAAATGAGAGAGTGTGTTCGTTCTTCTGTGAGAGTCGCACGTTTTCTTGAGTGAGAGAGAGAGAGAGAGAGAATACTAATTTGACATCTAGCATCCCGTCCAAACACTGTCGCCTCACCATCGCCACACGTAATGTGAGTTATTAGTACGTACAAATATAGATTATTATACTCTTTAATATGACTTTATGAATGCTTAAAATTATAACATAATATTTTAGAATATAATAATTAAGTTTAATAAAATATTATAATTACTTATTTTTGACATTTTTAATGGGTGTTTGAACATGTTCTTATACTTAGTTGTGAATCAGTACATATACGTTTAATTTTTTAGCGAATGTTAAAGTATGTATAGTACATATCTATTTTTGTTTACATTAGTTTGTCCACTACGACTAGTCTACTACTACTACTACTTAACATTCACGAATCGCGAGGCCATTAATACCAACCCTCAAGCATTTATATTCTATTATATTCATTTTATTTGAGCACCCATCGCAATCTGGAAAATGTAAACAATCGTACTATATACAGTATTTGTTTTACTAGTCATATTCCAAGTTAAATGATTTATGTTTAAACGGTTAACAACAACTTGTTATATTTGTAAATGAAGATGATCTAAAGTCTCACCGTCTTACATATACAGTATATACTTATCTTTTTATTCGACCATTGCAAACTTTCAACTAGCCAAAACTTATACTTTTTTTTACACGTAATGGGAGATTTGTATCTGTGTTTTGATCCATGTTCTTTTTTTTTTGTATAATCTTGACTACTAAAAAAAGGAAACAAAATTCTCAAAATATTTATCTAACTAAAAGGGAATAAATTGTGAGTACAAGGAATAATAGATTGCAGAATTATAGAAAAGGAAAGGGTTATTAAAGAGAAATTGAAAGACGGATGGGTACGTGGACTTGCTTCTTTTTCTTCTCTAGTAGTAATTTAAATTTAAAAAAAAAAAAAAAAATGGAAAGCACCGGTAGGTCCAATACGGCTTTGTATGATGTATCAGTCCAAAAGTCTCTCACTCTCACGAGATCAGTGACACTTTGATGAACCTCAGCCCTAACTTCTTAATTCCCATCTCTTCTTTATTTTCCTACGAAAATTTAATTAATTTCACTTTGTTACTGATTTTTGATATATTCTTTCAGCAACATATTGATTTTTTAGGAAAATATTATTGGTAGAATCTTAACAAATAACTTAAGCAACATTATTGATAGAATCTTAACAAGTATCTTAGCTTAAAATTAGTCAACAAAAGTGTCCAAGCATGTTTAGTCAAATCCCCAGCAGCTAACAGATTGAGTTTTACACATACATTAGTGGAGTTCATCCCTAATGATAATAAATAGATATGATGAGAGTTGTTAGGGATTGGTCACTTTCCACTAATATATGTCTATGTGTCCTCTTCTCTTACACGTACGTACTTTCGCATCGAAACTTTTTATTTTGCTTTCCCATTTTCTTTTCTTTCTATTCATTCATTCTTTTTCCATCTTCTCCTCATCATCCCGTTTATTTGGCGATATTCATTTTATCAACTCTATTTACGAGGCAACTAGTTGCCATATACTACTAGTATACCATCCACAATCACACCTTTTCTTTGTATTTTATGGTATGGTCAATTTACGAAAATGGATAGAAGAATCTTGAAATTAATTTCCTTGTCATACTCTAGTGAAATAGAAAAGATTTCAAGAGAGAGTTCTTTCTCATATAATTCTGCCGATCAACAACTATGATTAGACAACACTCGCAAAAACCAAAAAAAAAAAATATTGATTTTTGGTGGAGTTCTGTCTGATCTTGCAAATATATCCCGGTCTTCACCAAGTTTTGAGGGTTCATGCTCTGGTTACTCTACCAAGTGTACATGGTAATATATTTAGGGTAGTACCGTAGTATCATCCATTTTATCAACTCTACAATATATTACTCATGTATGTATTAGTTCTGACGAAAAGACATATTGAACATAATTGTGAAAATGATATTTGAATTGTAAAACTTATTAACGATGATGTCGGTACGTAAAACATACTTATTAGCACCATAAACAACAACAATATGTATTAGAATTATTTCAGCCAGGGACAGGGAGGCATGGCATATTTGTTTATCAGCTGCTGTAACAGCAACATAGTTCGGAATGATAACAATGGCCTGCTTTAAAGTTCATCCTCGTGCAAAACGCATTGCAGCCTTTTTCTCCTCCTTGTTCAGGCAAACATGGACTTACGTTGAAGCATACATGATCATCCTCTTTTTTTATTCCAAAACCTATATATATACATATATTTAATATTTAATCAATATATACATTCACAAAAGTTGATAAAATCACAAAACATGTCCATAGTAAAACAAGAGCATAATAATCAGCTAGCAAGTACCAGAAACATGATCAGATGTTGTTGCACCACAATGAACAGAAGATATAAAAAGCAGGATGGTGAGAACAAATGCGACTAGATTCTTTTTGGTGATAGCCATTTTATGTTTTTCTCTCTAGTCTCTACTCTCATGCTGAACACATTTTCTAGTATATATATTTACTTCAAACAGATAGGAACGTAAACAGGTGGTACCTCTCTTTTTGGGTCAACGAAGAAAAAGGACAAAAATCTCTCAATTTATTTCCTTACATTTCCAACCAAAAGAGCAATTAAAGATAAATTAATTGATCCACCAAAAAAATAAAAAATAAATAAAGATAAAATAAATTGATCGACCAAAAAAATAAAAAAGATAAAATAAATTATGATAACAAATCTTACGTTATTTAGTTATGGATTTTAAAATTATTTTAAAGAATTAATATTGGATTTTTAGTAACGTAAATATATTTTAGTGAATTTATTTAGTTATGATTTAAAATTTGAAATGTCATAGTCTTATGTATGATTTGAGAAGATTGTGTAATAAATCATAATAACTTCCTTAAATCACCCAAAATCATATTCAAACTCAAATTATTATTCAAAAATGGCAAGGTTGAATAACACCCTTTAATTAGCTTTGAACATTAGTTAGGGGGAAATAATTTTGAATAGAAACGCAAGGAAAGAAATGGACAAGAAAGTAAAGAAAGAAAAAATAATTTATCGCATAAGAAAAGAAGAAAAAAACTTATCACATAAGTAACTTTGATTCTTTACACATAGTGTTAGGTAGGTGAAGTTGCAAAAATAGAACCCTTGCTTCTATCTAACAAATGTTCCGTTCAAAAACAAATAATGTGAGAAAATATAAGTTTTTTTTTCTTGACTATATAAAGCAAAAATCTAAAGAACATAATAAATTGGAAGATTAAATATATATCCATTTTCATCTCTGACCAATGACCATAAGAGGTACGGTATGGAGAATGTGCTTAGATCTAATCGGAGTTATTGAAATATTTTTCAATCAGTCAGTCTTTTGCAAATGACATCATCAAATCCCTCAAGTTTCCACAGTTTTGCAAATTTAAGAGTAGCACCACCACTACTAGTAAACAGAGTGTGTTATTTTAATCCCTCACTTGATTCTTACTTTGTAAAAAAAAAAAAAAAAAGTAGATTCCAAAACACAAGTAGTATTATACAATACTAATACACTGTACATGTTAAAAGGACAAAAAGTAAATGGCACGATCGATAGACTACAAGAGTGACCCATAAAAAAGGGTAAGAAGATCCCACTCCACTCCACTCCACTGGCTTTGCTCCTTTCCACACACCGTAATTGATGCTCACTCACTCCCACTTTCTCTATTTTCTCTACATACCCACTCCCATCTTTTTTTTTTTTTTCATATATTACTTTATCTGTAAAAGAATTACACAATGTAACAATCCCTTTAACCAATAAAAAAAACAAAAATTCATAAAATTACCCACCAAATTTTGTATGTTTTTTGTTTTCACTTTTGAGCCATTTAATTTTGCACTTTAATCAAATATTAGTCCATCTTTACGCCTCAACTACCTTAACGACGAAGCCCCCCGCTACTTTCAAAAATGTCAAAAGAGCCCTCCCCCCCCACTCACTCACTCACCTTCTTCTCCTTAATATATATCTCCACAAAGTCACAAAAACACAACACCTTCGACTTCTTCTTCAGTTCTTCTTGAAAATGGAAGATTGGTTCTCATGGCTCTCGAGAACAAACCTTGAACCTTGTCTAATCCACGAATACGGCCTCTCCTTCTCCCACAACGAGCTCGAACAGGAAGACATTGCCTACTTCAACCACGAGTTTCTCCAGAGCATGGGGATCTCCATCGCCAAACACCGTCTCGAGATTCTCAAACTCGCTCGCCGAGAACGCAAGAATGCTCCTCCTCTCACCTCTCGCTCGATCTCCAGAATCTTGGTTGCCATCAAGAACACCGGGAAATGTTTCTCCGACCACGTACGCGCCTGGATCCGCCGCGAAGAAGAGTCGTCGTCTCGAGCTCTGGTGCTGGTGCCGCCTAAGAAGAAGACTAGCAGCAGCGGGATTAGAAAGTGGAGAGGCGGGTTTATGAAGAGGAGCAAGAGATCTGTGATGCCGAGCAATGGGATCAATGGAGGATTTGAGAAGCAGCAAGAGAGGTTGCTCTTGACTAATGGGACTCCTTGTAGACTCGATAGCTTCTCTGGTCCCATGGTTTTCGATTACAGCTTCAAGGATGAGAAACTTTATGATCAAGATACTTATTTGGACGACATCAAATGGGATTCTATGTTTCATAATCTGAAACCTACTTAGAAATCTTCGTATCTGGTTGATGCATGGTGAGAGATGATGTTTTAGGTTTCTTCCACCATGGCTTTTTTAAAGATTTTTGTTTTTTTTGGCCTTTGTTGTTGTGTTGGAGTGTGTGATTAGGGTAATCAAATTTTGTTAATTAAAACAAATTATGGTTGAGTGGAGGTGTCAGGTGGTGTGTGGGTCTGTGTAATGAGTCTGTCTCTTCAGTCTTTGCTTTTGGCCTAAGTCTCTGTTCCAGTCAAAAAAACTTCTTTACAGCTTTTTTCAACTCTGTCTTTCTGAATAAAGGTATTTTGTTTACACACATAACCAAACGACACTAATGCCTGCCTCAGGTGGTATCATTATTCTTGAGGTAACCGGAAAGATCTTGACCCGTATAGCGACCGATAAACCGGACTTATTCTAACAGTTAAAATCACGCCGAGAATTGCGGCAACCCCACAGACGCAGGCCAGGATCATGAAAGTCAGCCTGAAACAATCTGGTCCGTAACAAGTCGAGCTTCCTTGTCTGATAGCCTCAGCATCATATAAACGACCAACTAGTAAACCGGAGAAGAGAACTGCACCAATTGGGTTTCCTAGAATCATGAAACTATAGATGATGCCGAAGTGTTCCAGTCCAAAGAGCTCAGATGCTGTAGGAACCATGAGAGCGTACTGAAATCCGTAGCATGTGCCTAGAAGCGCGGTTGCGGGATAGAGAGTGGCGGTTGAAGAAAGAGCGTAGAGAATGAAAGCAAGTACCATTAGAAACTGTGCTAATGTCATCCAAATGGTTCTCGGCATTGCTCTTGACTTGACAAAGTGCTCTGAAATAGCTCCTGAGCTAAGCCGGCCAACAAAGTTAAAGAAACTAAAGAGGCATAAGAGGACTGTTGTGTTGTTAATACCAACTACAATCCCAACCTGAGCCAAGTTGTTTAAAACTGTGACACCAGATCCAACACCAAGGAAGTAAAGAAACCATAGAAGCCAGAAATCAGCCTTGACCAACGCTTCTCTCATTCTAAAGTCTTCTCCTCTCCTCGGTCTTCTCTTCTTCTCAACTGCTCCTCCTCCCTCAGCTAAAAGGGTCTGTATATCCGAAGCATCATCATCCTCCATCTCAATGAAACTCTCAAGAGATGAAGAGGGTCTCGACAATAGGTTGGTTTGATTACTCTCCCCTGCCTCCTGATCCAAACTTTCTGCAGGTTCAGCAGGAGGGTTTGGCTTCTTCACAGACTTTTTCCGGAAAAATGTCATCTTGACAGGAATTGCAAGAGGAGACACTAAAAGAACAACCACTAAACCAACCAGTGTATATGTAACGCTACTGCTTACTGAGATCAAATTGCCAACCACAGTGATGATTAGAACAATGAGAGCAGCAAAACAAGCCATGGCTTGAGTAAAAACGAAATGGACATGCTCAGATGAATCCTCTCCAGAAGCAGGAGCACATGGTCTAATGAAGTACATCATCACGAAACAGATAACCGGGATTCCAAGAGCCAGGAACAGCAGTAATTTCATAGAAGATTGATCCAGAAAGACATTGTATATCACAGTGTAAACTGCTCCACCAATTGCAGCATACCCTTTGAGAATTCCGGCAACAGTGCCTCTACTGAGTGGGAAATTCTTCATATTCGTCACTAGAACTGCTGTCCCAAACCACGCATTGCTATTAGTAGCCACAATTAGTGCGATCCACAACTGCAATTTCCAGTGAACAAAAAGATAATTTTTTTGGGGGGGATCCAAAGCTGTTCTTGAGTAGTTAAAAGCATTAAAAGAACACAGCTTCAACCAAGGTAACACCAAATCAAGCGATTCACATAAATTCAGAAGAAGAAAAATTCAAAGAAAAAGGTGAAAACTTTGACTCACCATCCAAAAGGGAAGACCAGAAAGAGTCTGAGAAACGGAAAGCCAAATGAGTCCGTAGCCGAAGAAGCAAGCAAAAGCACCGACAAAGAGGACCATCCATGGCGGAAGCTTGCTACAGGCGTAACCAGGAAGCAAAGCGACGCTCTCTCCGACATCATTGGCAACTCCAAGGATTGTGAGCTGTTGCTGATTGTAACCCAACACCGATTTGAGAGCATGGGAGTACAACGGGAAGTTGTAAGCGTTGCCGGCGGCGATTTCGAGCCATACTGCCGCCGATAAACCAACCCACGGTGGTCGACTTCCCGATTTAATCACTTGCTTCGGCATATTTCGAAACCGTTTGTAATGCTCCCCTCTCTCTCTCTCGCCTTCTCTTGGATTTTACATACCTCCGGAGGTTTTATTTATATCAAAATTTTAAATTAAATTTTAATGTGAAGAAAGCTGAGTGGTTTACTCACTTTACACTTCTATCTATCTCCAAAAATATTTTGTAGATGTTTTACAAAAATATTTGCTTTCGTTTTTTTTTATAATAACTTTAATGCATTCTTATTGTTAATAATAATGAATTATAACTTTTAGAAAGTTAAGGTTATTAAATTACTCTATTGTTTTCGAGTCATATAAATTTGTAAATTACAGAAATGATATATATATACAATCAGAAAGAAAGCCTAAAATTTGTAGTTTGTAATAGACATAAACTTGAGAATTAATTACAGTAAATGATGTATCTACACTTTTTTTTTTTTTTTTGTACACGTGTTTATGGTCATACTAAATTTGTAGTTTGTAATAGACACATTTCACATGCACATGCATGTATTAACAACTTACAACTAACCACTGGGAAAGAAAGGTACAACGTAGAAAAGAGACATGTCAACAATATCATCAATTTGTACCAAGATATCAATTACAGTCTTTAATTTAGATGGTACTGTACTGACTACTCACGAGTTCCGTTTCTGATTTGATAAGCACGCTGAGAGTGAGATATCTTTGTTCAACGCGTTAGGTAGTATTTGCAAAAGACTCGGGTTATCTACTTAAAACGAGACTTCATGAAAGCTGAAACTGATCCGAAGCGTCGTTAAACATAAGTAATCTACTAAAGCAGTTTCTTTAGGGCATTGCATAAAGCACTTGTTTGTGCATCTCAGTAACCCAAAGTCTTTTGAGTTTTCTAATTCACAGTTTGAGCCAATACTCTTTTGAGGTTTCATTTTTACACCCTGTTATGAACAATACAGCACACAACACTGTCTACAGGAGAGGATATATACAAAAGCCTTTTTGGTTTTCCGATATGAAAGAGTAAGCATCACGGAGCTACCATTGAGGACCCCCATCAGATTCGGGAACCCCTTACATATTTCTCCCAAGCTCCGTATTTTGAGCTGAAAGTTCCCCCGCCAAATTGTTGTGCGTACTTACAGATTACATCCCGCACACAAGAGTCCCATGTCTTGGCTATGTCTTTGAGGGACATTGGCTGTGACATTTTTTTTAGCAATATGTTGCACCTTGCCATAACTTTGGATGAAAGGTCCTCGTTCTCTTTGCTGTTTAAGAAACCCAACCGTGTTAACGTAACAGGATGATGACAGAGGGTTTCTACATACAGGGTTTTGGAGAATATTTCAACTAAATGGTAGATGTTTGCTCGACTATGTATATAAGAAATATGTATCTCTATTTACTTGAGACTGAAAGATCTTGCTTGTACCTGGTTTCAACTGGGAGTATGTCCAAAAGAGATGGAGAGCCGTTGGGGTAGCTACGAGGAACCAGCAGACGCAATGGTCGAATAGGAGACTGTGATAGAGGCAGAAACATACTTTAAGAGGAATAACTGAAATAATTTTTCTAAAATGTTTGAACGAGATGACCATATATACTTACCATGTGTGTTGATGAGAGATGAGCCTTCAAGGCTGGGCTGAGAGAAACAGATATAAACGAGAATTTAACTGTTGTTCCTTCACACCCTTTGCTTGATATTGCTCCCTCACTATGATCAGCAGCATCTTCATCATCACAAATCTCAACAACTGTATCTATCAGCCGCTGGTTTATTTCCTTGATTTCCTCCAAAAGGGTATGCTCGGCCTGCAGTCCAAGATTGAGTCTTCAAAATAAGAAAATTGACACCGTGTGCGTCCAAATTTTATTTTTCGAAAGTCTAACTGAAAAATGTACCTCAGTACTAGCCTTCTTGCCACCACAAGTCACACTAGATTGCATATCTGATGCTATCAAGCCAGCAAACTGCTTGTACCTATCACCAAAGCTTCCTCCCAATGAAGCAACACTTAGTGGCATTGCGGTTATTTGACGCTTCCTTTTCATGGTTGCTATCATTTCCTCTTGCGTCATGAAGTTTCTTTCTTGGAGAAGGCTCATTGCAACCAAGTCCTCACCAACTGAAGCTGTTGAAACATTCCCTGGAAATGAACCAGCTATCCTATCACCCATCCTTACAACAGATATGATGTCACTTACAGCAGAAGAAAGCGCTTGTGATGAGATGGATTGCACCTGAAAAAAAAACAGAAAGCATACGTCAAGATCATAACAATGTTTCTAGTACAAGAGAGGGATGGCAGAAATGACACTGCCCTGTTGCAAATACCCTTCAGAATTAGTAATGTTACTTACAGCTCTAATAAGGCGTTCAATAGACGGCTCAGTAGCACTCGATTTGCCACATGTACTTGTCAAAGGATTCATAGTATTTCCATCAGGACTAGTAAGCTCCTGAAGGATAGGAGAGCCGGAGATCCCAGCAATGCCAATTGCAAAGGATTGAACTACACCTTGCTTGCTCTGTTGTGCCCTTGGCCCAGCACCCTGCATACTCATTGATTGTATCTGCGGATTTTTTTGATTATCATGAGACTGATCTTGAACTGTCTGAGATTGTCGTTGCTGCACATGCTGATTCTGAGATTTTGGAAGCTGCCCTTGCTGTACTGTCTTCCTCAGACTCTGCCTATTTAAGAATTCTGTAATACTGTATTCGCAGCTAGAAGCTGGTATGGAAATGGGAACGTTCTGCTGTGGAGCTGAAACTCCAGGACAAGATGATAGAACATTGCTACTCTGTTGTAAACGTGGCCCTGTAACGTGCATGTTCATTGATTGCATTTGCAGATTTGTTTGATTATCATGAGATTGATCTTGAACGGTCTGAGCTTGCGGAAGCTCCCCTTGCTGTCGTGTCTGCATCTTCCGGTACATATTTATGCACTCTTTAAGCATTTTCTCATGAAAAGCCAACTTCTTCTTAAATGCAGGAGTGATACTGCTCTTTGTAACAGATAGGAATTGTCTTAATTCCTCTACCATTTTTTTGAAGCTTTGCCAACTCTCAACATTCTCTGTTCTTTGTTGCTGCGGGAGAGGTTCCTGCTGAAAAGACCCAAAAAAGGGAAGAAGCAAAGACATTGATAGAGATCCAAACTACGTCAACAGGACTTAGGTAGCTGAGAGTAAACTTTCTAGTTGACAGTAACTTACACAGTGCAACACGTCTGTAGCTATTTGGTAAACATCATTCACATATGGTGCATACACTTCATTCATGGATCTGATCTGTACAGACAATTACACATCACAGTGATCCCTCGTTGTATCTTCTAACTTGAGGATTTCTTTATAGAGTATCATTGACAAAAACAAGCAATATTCGAAAAGGGAGAGTAGTTAGTTACCTTTTGAAAAATCTCCTCTCGCCATTCTTGTCCAATTTCACTTCCCATTGGATCTAAATAAAAGCGAGTCCATCATCAGAGACTATATATAATATACTAAAACCCTAAAATTAGAGATATAAGTATCCATATAACCATTTTCAAAGTTCTAATGCAATTCAATGATGAAAAAAGGTTGACGTAGTTGGCTCAATCATTATTACTCGTATCTAAGGGTTTGCTATTGTTAGTCTCCATAGGCTGAAACTTAAGCGGATCCGTGAAACGCACGCAATGGTCGAAGAAGAAGAAGAAGAAGAAGAAGAAGAAGAAGAGTGTTCGATTCTGGGAATCACCAATCCTATGAACTCTTCTAAAACCAAAGAAACAAATTCCAGAATTTAACAACCTGTTGGCGACGTATGCTCGGAAAATCTCTTTCTTTTTTTTGTTGGTCGTCATTTTTGCATATTCTTGATACACCGTTTAAATACAGGGAGGGCGAAAGGAGACTCTGATTGAGCCGGTAGAGAATAGACACGTGTCCTCTATCTACAACGGAACGGGCTATTTTGCGGTGACGGAAGTAAGCTCACAGCCGATTGTTCAGCAAATGGATTCTGCATCTGTCAGGCATTGCATCGAACACTTGTTGTGCATCAAGTAACCAGAGTGATACGATAAAACTCTCGCGAAAGATAAAAAGACGCATCTGTTCTCCAAGCTCATTCTCAGCACATAGATGAGAAATTGGCAAATAGCCATTATTCACAATCTTAATCTGGTTCTGGTAATAACCCGCCAGTTATGACTACGAAACTAACGTGTAGGTGCATTTATAGTAAGAATAGAGTTTTGTTCAATGGGTAAACTACTAGAAGAATAAATGATGAACTCGGAAACAAGCTCAATCTATGGAGAAAGAGCAGAGAGACAGGGAGAGAACGAGGAAGATGATACGATTTCAATCTCTCGATATTTAAAATTATTAACATCCGGTACAAACCGGTTCTATCTCATACCAACATCTAAACCAATTTATTCAATCCAATAGAGCTCGTTTCCCAAATAAGAGCTCCTATATCTGACTTGAACTTTTACTCCTACTAGTTGACGGATGCTTTGATCTTCTACAAGCACACAACAAAGACACACCTATCCTACGAGCTATAATAATACACAGCACATAGCTGAGAAATTTGAATAAAACATTGAAAAAAGGGTCTAAGTCTTTATTCATGACCCTGGTAGAAACAGAGCACCAGAAAGAGTAAACAACATTGAGGATGAGACTTCAAACTAAGAAATCTACATCACAATTCACAAGGGAAGAAAAGAAAAAACAAAAAGTAACAAATTTCATATTTCCAACCACAACATTCAAATGAAGTAGCCACCCACCCTTGGCTTGTGCATATTTAAGAAATGTATAATCTGCTTCTCGTAATAATCCACATTATCCTTCAAGTCAGGCATGAACGTGATGCTACTCTTTGGAACCGATAGGAAATGTATCATTCGCTCCAACCTTTTCTTGATTTTTTCCAATTTCTCAAACTCATCTGATCTTTCTTGCTGTTGAATAGATTCCAGCTCCATACACATAAATATTTTTTTTATCAATAAGATAATAAACAAACACATAGAGATGCAAGCTACGATCTCAAGATTGCGTTGAATCCATACAACTCCTAGTCCTAGTAGAAGAAGTTTTTGTAACTTACGTGCTGGTGCAACTTGACTGCAACTCTGTGGTACATTTCAGCCAGGTCTGGTAAGTACATCTCTTTCATGGGTTTGATCTGCAGAGACAGAGGTAATATTTTCATCCAACTACTCACCAAGGATTATAGGTGATATCATCTAAAGATCACCTATGATGATTCAAGCCAGAATTGTTCAAGATATATAGCAAACTTTGAAAGAGAGAACTACCTTTTGGAAAACCTCCTCTTGCCAATCACCTCCATTTGGACTCTCCCTCTGTGCCTTCGAATCTAGCGATGTTAAGAATTATACAAAAAGGGGTTTGTTCAAAATCAGATCCTGCTCTGAAAATATGTAAGATATTAGAACCTTAAGTAGTTAAAAGGATGCAAAAGCATACTTGATGGCATCTCCGGAAGGGCTCTTTGAGTTTGATATACTTGTCTCTGTTGGTTCTCAACATTCTGAGTTGGAAACAAGGAGTATGTGACTTTTCCTGAAACTTCTTCCCTTTGTTGCTCATACTGTTGTAGCGGAATAAATTGTTGATGCAGCTGAAGCTGGGGGATCATCTGCTCTAGGAATGCCTGATTTTGTGACTGTTGGCCCTGCTGTAATTGTGCCGCTTGCTGTCTTTCTTGAAACTGTTTCTGTTCCTGCTGCTGCATGATCCATAGTTGAGGATGCTGTATGAGCTGCTGCGTCATTTGTTGGTCTTGATGTTGCATCACGTGCTGATACTGAAGCAAATTGGAACTTAACTGAGGTTGGTTAATGGATCCCATAACAAACTGCTGGCCGTTATTCGTCACTGCATTTCCTTGGCCTGATGCTAAACTAGAAGTATGTATGGAAATGGGAATGTTCTGATGTGGAGCTAACACTCCAGGACGAGATGATAGAACATTGTTCTGCATATTTGGCAGACTACCCTGCTGTGCCCATGTCCCAGCTCCCTGCATGCTCATTGATTGCATTTGAGGATTTGTTTGAATATCATGAGGTTGATCTTGAACGGGCGCATATTGCGGAAGCTGCCCTTGCTGTACTGGCTTCATCGCTCTGTGCACATTTAAGAGTCCTATAATCTGTTGCTCATAATGAGCCACCTTATCCTCGAATGCGGGCATGATATTTCTCTTTGGAACAGAGAGGAATTGAATCATTTTCTCTAACATTATCTCGAACAGTTTCAGCTTCTCATACATATGTGATCTTTGTTGCTGTTGAATAGAATCCTGCCCCAGAGAAAACATTACTTATTCAATAAGATAAGATACAAACACATCTATCTCTGTCGATAATGAAGAGTTAACAATCTTTTGGAATAAAAGCCTCAAAAATCCAAAGTTGTATGAGTTTCTTTTGCGGTAACAAAACGGATATTGTTTTAGTCTAACAAACTGTAACTTACTTGTTGGTGCAACTTGAATTGAACTCGCTGGTAAATTTCAGCCAGATCTTGTAAGTACATCTCTTTCATGAGTTTGATCTGAAGAGAAAAAGGTAATATGGTCACACAACTACTCAGCACGGATTCAAGGTGATATCATCTAAGATCATTGCACTCTTGCAGTGTTGCATTGATCACTTGATGATTTAATATAAGGCTAACCAGAAGCACTAATCATCACTCATCAGTAAGAATTTCCCAGCTTATAAAGAGACAATTACCTTTTGGAAAATCTCCTCTTGCCAGTCACCAGCATTTGCATTATTCAGTGCACTTCCTTGACGAGGATCCCTTTGGGAACTAGACATGTTAAGCTGCATAGCTGGAACTACACAGGACGAGAGATAATAAAACACTATCAGAAAACTTGCGAGCTCATCGACTGCATTTGAAGAATTATTTGGTAATCAAAATGAGACAGACCATGAGATTGCTTTATCTGCCTTAGCCTGTGCTTCTCCAAGATACATATAATCTTTTTCTCGTTTTTATCCACATTATCCTTTATAGCAGGCCTGATTTTGCTCTTTGGAAGAGACAGGAACTGTATTATCGACTCTAACATTGTCACCAACTGTTTCAACTTTTCAAAATGCTCTGATCGTTGTTGGTACAGAAGAGATTGCTGCTGAAAAGACCCCAAAAAGGGAAATAAACAGAGACATTGATAAAGATTCAAACAGCATGCATCTGTAGAGCTTAGGTGAGTAAGAGTTAAACTCTCTTACATGGTGCAACTTTCCCACAGTTCTCTGGTAAAGATCATTCACATGCGGTAAATAAATCTCTTTCATGGATCTGATCTGTATACACAATTACACACCAGAGTGACCCCTCGTTGTATCTATTAACTTTGAATATTTCATGATAGATGATACTCATCACGAACAACAAGACGTAAGAAAGGGAGTGAATAATAATTTATTTACCTTTTGGAAAAGCTCCTCTCGCCAATCATCTCCATTTGCATATTCCATTGAATCTGGTGTTGCTAAGAATAATAAAAAGCGAGATTAGTTCATCATCAGGAGACTGTGTAAATTCAAACACTAAAAACCCTTATATATATGAGAGGAACAAACACTATGCAGAAAACCATCTTCTAATGCAAAGACGAATGAAGTCTAATGAATGCAAAAGGTTTTGCTAGTGGTCAATGGGATCCAAGGGTTTGTTACTGTCAGTATCCATATGCTGAAAACATAAGTGATCCTTGAAAAGCACGCAATAATGAGACAAGGTGACACAAATCCTGGGATGTGATAATCAGTTCTACCAAAACCAAACAAACGAAATTATAAAACTTGAAGAACCTTAAAATCAAGAACCTACATACAGGCTGTGAATCTCTCTAATGAGTAATGAACATAGAGAAAAGATTGCTTCTGATCGTAAAGCTCACAGCCGATTTATCTATCGCGTAGCGGAGTAAGAAGATTTAGTCAGTGGTGATTGGTTCGTCTGTAGCTGAAGATAATGTTTCTTTTTCTCCAAATCCTACGTTTTAGTCTTTTAAAGTAAATTCCGCTTCTAATTGTCAGATACTTTTTCTGTGTTTTCTATTTTACACCCTCTTGATTACTAATTAGTCTTTTTTTTTTACTTTTTTTTTTTTTGTCTGAATATTACAATGATGATAATAATCTGCTAATTGTCAGTCACATTGAAACTGTTGCGAATGGTCTCAAAATACATTCCGAAAAGGGTAATTGCACTTCAAAAAGAAGAAAGTTACAACTGTATATACTCTAAAGAGATTTTCACAAAATACATACAGCAAAAATTAATTATATAATTGAAAAATGTTCAATATAATACAGCATAAGGCTTTGGTTAATAAAAAAAAAATCCCAATCATACATGTGTGTATGTATGACAAGACTTATAATGTACAACAAAAGAAAGTTGGAAATGTAAAGGGAAGCCTTTTTGGTTTTTCTGTAGTTTCGACATGAAACATTAAGTGCATCACGGTGAGGACTAGAGAGATTCATCAGATTCAGGAAGCGGCTACATATTTCTCCCAGGTTCCGTATTTTGAGCTGAAAGTTCCACCACCAAATTGCTGTGCGTACTCACAGATCACTGCCCGAGCACAAGCGTCCCATGTCTTGGCCATGTCTTTGAGCGACATTGGCTGTGACAAACTTCTTAGCAATATGTTGAACCTTGCCATAGCTTTGGACGAGAGGTCCTCATTCTCTTTGCTGCTCCAAGAAATCAGACCGCGTTAAGGTTATAAGATGATGCAGTTTCTGATAAAAAAGGTTTCTAGAGACATGAACAGATCATTTTGGAGAAGATTTTTACTATATGATAATAGTTTGCTTGACTCGGTATTAAAATCTATGCTTCTATTTACTTGAGACTAGAGGATTTTGCTTTTACCTGATTTCGACTGGGACCTTATCAAGAAGAGATGGAGAGCCGTTGGGGTAGCTACACGGGACCAGTAGACGTAGTGGTTGAATAGGAGACTGTAATAGAATAACAAAACATATATAAAAGGATAAATGAAATTATATTTTCACAAAACGTCAAGGGGATGACCATGCTCACCATTTGTGTTGATGAGAGATGAGCCTTCAAGGCTGGGCTGAGAGAAACAGCTATAAACGAGAATTTCACTGTTGTTCCTTCACACCCTTTGCTTGATATTGCTCCCTCACTATGATCAGCAGCATCTTCATCATCACTAATCTCTACAACTGTATCTATCAGCCGCTGGTTTATGACCTTGATTTCCTCTAAAAGTGCATGTTCGGTCTGCAGTTCAAGATCGACTCTTCAAAATAAGAAAACCAAGGCCTTGTGGTTCCGAAATTTCTTTGTTGTGTATGTGTCAATTTTCAGATATATCTAAGGGAAGTCTAACTGAAAAACATACCTCAGTTCTTGCTTTCTTTCCATCAGAAGTCGCAGTAGATTCCAGGTCTGATGTTTCTGAACCAGCATACTGCTTGTAGTTATCACCAACACTTCCTCCCAGTGAAGCAACACTTAATGGCATTGCAGTTGTGTGACGCTTCATTTTCTTGGTCGCCATCATTCCCTCTTGCGTCATGAAGTTTCTTGCTTGGAGACGACACTTAGTCATTGCAACCAAGTCTTCGCCAACTGAAGCTCTCGAACCATTTCCTGGAGCTGAACCAGCTATCCTATCAACCATGCTTACAACCGATCCAATGTCACTTACTGCAGAAGAAAGTGCTTGTGGTGAGATGGACTTCACCTGAAAACAACAGAAAGCATATATCATAATCAGAAAAACACTTCTACTACAAAAGCCATCCTGCTGCAATATACACTTCAAGATGAGCAGTGACACTTACGGCTCTAATAAGGCGATCAATAGGCAGCTCGGTAGCACTCGGTTTTCCAGATGTAGTTATTAAAGGATTCAAAACACTTCCATCAGGACTAGTAAACTCCTGAAGGAGAGGAGAGGCAGAGATCCCTGGTGTGCCAATTGCAAGGGATTGAACTACACCTTGCATGCCAGTTACTTGTTGGCGCGCAATATTTCCCATTGACAACGAAGAAGTACCAGAAGGTTTCTCAGAGTCAACTTGCATAGGTGACGGAGCCAAGGGGGTTGATGGAGATGGGACAACGAAAGGGGAGTTTGCAGGTTGCAATGGAGTTCCCATCTTGTTAACAGTTGACAGATTTTTCTGGTCCACCTGAGGAGACAGATGTTGTTGTGACATTTGAGGAGATGCACCTTGAAGAAGTTGAGGCGAGGAAACAGCTCCTGGTTTTAACTGTTGAAGAGGATAAGTAGCACGCTGACCCTGCAGAGAATGTTGCTGAAACATCCCACGACTGACATTCATCCCCTGCCTTGACGTCAAGTCATTCATATCATTCATCTGTTGTAATTGTGCCGCTTGCTGTCTTGCTTGCAACTGTTGCTGTTGCTGTTGCTGTCTCGCTTGCAACTGTTGCTGCTGCATCTGGCGGTGTTGAAATTGCTGTTTGATCTGTTGCGTCATTTGTTGGTCTTGCTGTTGCTTCATGTGCTGATGCTGAAGCAAACTGGAACTTAACTGGGGTTGATTAATATTAGACTGCAGTGCACTTAACCCACTTTGAGCCGAGGCAGAACTGTAATTTACTTGTTGAGAAGTATTTTGTTGCATGGATCCCATGGGAACCTGCTGGCTGTTATTCAATGCATTGCCTTGGCCTGATTCTAAACTAGAAGCCGGTATGGAACTAGGAATGTTCTGCTGTGGAGCTGAAACTCCAGAACGAGATGATAAAACATTGTTCTGCATATTTGGCAGACTACTCTGTTGTGCCCTTGGCCCAGCTCCCTGCATGCTCATTGATTGCATCTGCGGATTTGTTTGATTATCATGAGATTGTTCTTGAACAGTCTGAGACTGCGGTTGCTGCATAGGCTGCTGCATCTGGGATTGCGGAAGCTGCCCTTGCTGTACTGGCTTCCTCGGCCTGTGCATATTTAAGAAACCTATAATCTGCTTCTCATAATGAGCCACCTTATCCTTTAATGCGGGCATGATATTGCTCTTTGAAACAGATAGAAATTGTATCATTCGCTCCAACATTGTCTTAAATTGTTTCAGTTTCTCAAACTGATCTGATCTTTGTTGCTGTGGAATGGAATCCTGCTCCAGAGAAAAAAGAACTTAACCAATTAGATAAGATACAAACACATAGATACAGACTACAATCTCTGTAAATATCGGAGAGTTAAGTTTCTATTTAACAATCTCTGTAGATATTGTGTGACATGAACCGATCTTGCATGAACTTGTAAAACTCTTCAGAAGGCTCACTACTGTTCCAGAGGAAATACACGTGCGAACTATATTCCTAGTAAAGAAGAAAACTGTAAACTTACTTGCTGCAACTTGGATGCAACTCTCTGGTAAATTTCATTCAGATCTGGTAAGTACGTCTCTTTCATGGATTTGATCTACAAAGACAAGCAGTCATACGATTACTCATCACAGTGATATTGGTGTAAGATTGCCTGTCTTGTTGCATTTATCACTTGAAGATTTAATAAGTTTAGCCAGAGCTGGTAAAGATATAGCACACTTAAAAAGAGAGAACAACCTTTTGAAAAACTTCCTCTTGCCAATCACCACCATTTGCACTTTCTGTCTGTGCCGTCGAATCCAGCGATGCTAAGAATTATAAAAACAGGGTTTGTTCAACATCAGATCCTACTGAGAGAATACGTAAAATATTAGAACCTAAAGTAAAGGATGAAAATGCATACATGATGGCATTTCCGGGAGAGTTCTTTGGGTTTGATATAGTTGTCTCTGTTGGTCCACAACATTTTGAGGTGGAAGCAGAGAGCCTGTGACTTGGCCTGAAGCTTGTAGCCTTTGTTGCACATCTTGTTGTAACAGATTAGGTTGTTGTTGCAAACCTAGCTGTTGATGATGTGACTGAAGCTGGGGCATCATCTGTTGTTGGGATGGCTGATTTTGTGACTGTTGGCCCTGAGAAGGAAACAAGCCATGGCCAGCCTGATGGGTCCGTTGCAGCCCACCCGTTGATTGTGATAACATGTGCACCTGGTGCTGGTTATTCTGCAAACTCGAGTTGCCAACCTGAGAATTGAGCATCTGTTGTTGTGGTTGCTGCAATCCTACAACATTGCTTTGAGTGCCCAGTGGTTGCTGATGTGTTCCCTGAAGGCTGTTTTGTTGAGCCATCAACTGCTGCTGGGCGGGTGGCTGCTGCTTCTGCTGCTGCTGTGGTTGCTGCTGTGATTGCTGCTGTTGTATGTTCATAATATTATTTTGTTGGTTTATTAACCTTTGCTGATGTTGCTGCTGCATATCCCCAACAACATGCTGCCCCATCATCTGCTTCTGTTGGATGCCTGTGCCATTTGCAACTTGTTGCCGCATTATTTGTGTTTGCTGCTGTTGTAGAGGAGAAATTGATTGCTGTGGCAATGACGTTTGCTGCTGATGGATGCCAGACGTTTGTTGGGATTGTGGATGTGGCCTTAGCATTGAAGATTGATGCTGACGAAGCATAGATTGTGTCGTCTGCTGAGCAGACAATTGTGGACTTGATTGCTGATTTGTGTGGAGACCCTGGAGAGGAGCTGAGTTCACAGTGGAGGGCTGCGTAGCAGATGTTGGAACACCAGGCTGTTGAGACGAATGCAGTTGATTAGGCTGCAGTACATTTTGTTGCTGTTGTTGCTGTTGCTGCATGTGGGATGGCAAAAGCGAATTGGGATTGGGAACATTCCCGGACTGCATGTTCTGCTTGAGAAGTTGCTGCTGCAGCTGCTGCTGATAAAGATATTGTGTATTCTGCGGCTGCTGTTGTTGCTGTGAAGACATAGCATGTTGCCTCCCCAACATCTGCCTTTGGGATCCTGAAAACATGTTTGAGGAAAGGCCATGCTGCCCAGATGAATCTTGCAACATTCCAGCTACATTTTGCATATTGGTGTTTTGGTTTACAACACTTGCGACGTTGTTATTGGTTATGGAAGAAACCGGCGGCATGGAAGATGGTAAAGCAGTAGACCCTGTCATCCCAGATGCGGTATTATTCTGCATGGTTTGGGACAGCAACGGCTGAGGTGCTTGAGATTGATTGGTTGGTAACGATCCTGGAATATGGATACCTTGATTGGTGGGTACTATGCAAGGAAAGGTTAAAAACCACCAAATTAGATGAAAATTATCCATTAAACCAGATAATGAGACATAACAATACATGAGTGAGAATCGTGATTACTTGAATCCATGGATGTTCCATTATTAGCGGCAGGGATAGATGAGGAAGAACCAGCTGCATTTTGCGATTTAGTCTCCATAGTTAGCATCTTCATAGATATTTTCCGAAGGTAGTCAGTCTGAAAGTCAATATAAAAGAGTATCAGAAAGGTATACATGGATTTAACATCCCATATATCAGGACTAAGCTTTACCGCTACCAAAAGTCAGGTTCTTCTCCATGTTGTGGAGTCCATTGCCTCGCAAATCTTCATATTTACCACACTAACGAAACAAAAATATAAGTTCAGAGGAGGTTTAGTAACCTGATTAACAGCACCGCTGAAAATTTTCTCCTCAAATCTGGCTGCAATTCTCCTGAGCTCGTTAATTCCCTCTGGTCCAGAAAATGGAAGGTGCTTCTTTAGTGTTTCCATTCTGCACGAATGGCAAGTAACTAAGTAAAAACAGAAGTACTGGCCAGGGAAAAACGACACCACGATAACCTTCTATATCTGTGGTATTTAACTGGCATAGACAAAAAAACGAAAGCTAGAGTGGAAAAGATTAAAACTTTGCAGAGATGTAACTCTATGGTATATTAAACTTACATCTTGTTAACAATCTTCTGACGTGAATCAGGTGGCAATTGAGTTCTCCAGTCACCTGAGTCCATGGCAGGTTCTCCGTTTGGAAGCGAAGGCCTCCAATTGTTATTATCCATCAAGTTTCCTGTGTTTACAAGACATGAAGAGCAAAGTATCATTAATATGTAGACAGAGAAACCAAAACATGGCAATAGAAAAAGGGGTCATCCCAAATCAGTCGGAAACAAATGACCACAAAACAGGGATTAGAATTTCGTGATGATCAGCCAAATTTTTCACTTTTACCAGTAAAAACCTTTTTTTTTTTTATAATGATCCTAGCACAAAGCCAAAAACTTCCACCTCGAATAGCCTTATCCCACCGGAATAAGACTCCAGGAAAACAAATAAGCAAACTTGATCACATCAACAAAGTTCATCTATTATCCCAATTGTAATAACCAAATACCCACCAGCTACAAAGGACGATACTTTATCTCCTCTGGAATCCCAAATTTCACAAGATAGAAATCTAAAAGCAAGGCTTAAGCAAAACAAAACAAAACAAAAACGAGATTCGAATATGTCACCTCAAATTCAGAGCTATCGAGGAGAATTCGCGTTTGGCGGCCAAGGCTGCTGCAAGGATTAGGGTTTGATCTCAGGATAACAGTGGGTAAAAGGGGGAAATCAGAACTAGATTAGGGTTTAAGTTGATCGAGAAATCAGAAACGGATGAACAATATAGGATCTTCTGCGGTCAAGACAAGGGGAAACCTTAAATAATCTGCTGCCAAATGTGTCCTAGCAGTTCGCTTATAACAAGATTTCTTACTTCTTTTTTTTATCTCTTGCAATAATATGCATATTTAAAATAAAATAAATTACCAAATCTATATTATATAACCCACTAAATTATATATTTACTAGATGATATCCGTATAATGCACGATAATAAAATGTTAACGGAAATCAATTGTTTATATAAATTATATACTATATGACATGATCAACAAAAAAAATTGTCATACGATATTCGGAATAAAATGTGTATTAAAGAAATTTTACTACAAAACATATCATATGATCTCTATTAAGTTACAGTTGTTATTTAGAATGATGTTGCCTGTTATGTACAGTAGTAATAAAAAATTATTACAATCATATAATTTGTTAAATTATAATTTTTATTTATTAGATGATACTAAATTATAATTCTTATTTAGTATGATGTTGCGTGTTATGTATGGTAGTAACAAAAAACTACTACAATCATATAATTTGTTATATTATAATTTTTATTTATTAGATGATACTAAGTTATCATTGTTATTTAGTATGTTGTTGTGTGTTATGTACGAAAGTAATAAAAATTACTGTAATCATATAATTTGTTGTATTAATTTTTTTATTTATTAGATAATGTTGATCAATAAATATCAAACATTATAGTTTACATTTTTTAATTTATATATAGGAGAGATATCAAAACTGGAATTACATATAATGATGTCTAAACTTTATAGTTTATACATTATGTTCCCTCAAATGAATTCTGTGTTTTTAAAAAGGTAAAAAAAAACAAATAAACTTTTCTTTATCCTTTTTTAAAATTTGATAATTGTTGTCTTTTACATGGTTTTGCTAATTCTAATAACAAATCTAAAACGTATACAGATAGATACTTACACTCTTTTATATTTACAAAGTGAAGTTTATAAAATTGTAGTATTTTTGTTGTGATGGTTGAGCTATTTTTATAAATGTAGAGATTGCTCTGAAAGATTCAAACGTAATCGACCGCTCAATTGTTGAGTTTTCAATGAAAATCAAATTCTTATTTTTAATTACTAATTAATTTAATATCCGAAAAAAAACAGGATATTAATTATGCGGGCCTAATATACATATATACAGCGTACCACTGAGCCCAAACATTAATAATGAAGGCCTAAATAAACTAATCGTGAGTACATCACAAAAGATGGAAAGTCCCATGTGAATGTGATTAGGAAAAAGAAAACAATCAAGGAAGAAATGCACTTGGCACTTGACAGTATTACATACGTGGAAGATGATTAGTAAATTATTAATTACAACATCTCTCATCTTATGACAAAAGGTGGGAAAAGAAGCAAAAGACAACAAAAGATTGGCAAGAGCAAAAACTTGCTACAACCTAGGACGATTTGGTATCCTACTATAAGAAAAACACCAAAAAGAACTTTTTATAAGAAAAAATAACTAGTCTCCTCTCCTCTGTCATCATAATCTTTTTATCCGTCTGCAAAGCCAAAGGGGATGAGAAGAGTCGACGATTATCTATCTATATTCTTAGCCATATCATATATAGTTACAGTTATGCGTAGTCTAGAAAACGTGTCAACGACAAAAGAATATGTTTTGATGGGTTGTTGTGTCTCGTAGTTATATAATATCAGCTCTGCTTCCATAGAGACTTTCAGGGCTCGGGTTGTTGTTATCCAGAGGAATGTTAAGGTCAGGGAGCAAGAAGGAGGAATCCTCATTCTTTTGTGATTCAGCCTGCAGAGGATTGAATATGATCCTGTTAAAAGATTCTAATCTATGTTACTCACAAGAGGGATCGTATTCAGAGTTGGTTTAAACCTGCATCTTCTTCTTTAAAGACTCGTTTCTTGCTCTTTGTTGCTTGAGCAGATCCCGCATACTTGCGAGTTCCTGATTCACGCAACAAATGTAAATATTTAAGAGTTTGAACGCTTTTGTACCTGATACCAAAACAAAAAGGGGAAAAGATATTTTACATTTTTCAAGCCTTTCTTTTCTTTTAAGAGCAAACTCTCCTCTTCTTTAAGTTGAGCAAGCGTCTGTAGACAGCAGCAACATATACACAGTGATTTAAGTAGGAGATAAAGGTGATTCCACAATAATCGTATAATGGTTTATTTTCTTCCTGGTTTACCTTTTTCTTTCTTGATCTCTTGAAAGGGGTGGTTGTTGTTACATTCGTTTGAGATATCTGCATCAAACAACCCACCATAAAACATTAGATTGCGGCTTCTGACAACATATATATATCAAGTAGGCCTAAAATCAGCGAAAAGTGTCATTCACAAGTACATAATGAGGGTGCAGACCAGCCCATAATCTTAAATTTGATTCCATAATTCCAAGTTCTCAACAAGAGGGGGATGTGACAGTAGTGGATACGCAATGAGAAGATGAAAGAATCTCTATGAAATCTAGAGGATTCAGAAGCTTAAAGGGAACGATCAAGAAAGAACAAGACATCCCTACATAAATTAAAGACCTAAAACTATATGAAAACACCAAAGTTTAGACAGTTAAATCACCAAAAAAGAATTGAAAAGAATCTTCAATATTCTTAGTCAACTACTTAAGACCCAAAAAAAGCAAATATGAACATGAGTGCATCTTTTTCTCCTACATCGAGACACACACACTAAAAATTCGAAAGAATAGAATCACGTGACTGGAGCGTGACTTGGGAAGTCTTTACGCGTGTCTCCCCAAGGCCACGACCCCACCACAACTTTTGTTGTCACGAATTATCCACATAACCCACTTGTCCTTATCACGTTCTTTTAATCACTCACAAACCCAAAAATATGGTGACTTTGTGGGTTCTTCTACTTTGGTAAGATATTATAATTCAGCAGCTTATAAAAAAACCATAGAGAGAAAAAAAAAAAAAATAAGCAAAGGTAAGTAAAGAAGACTGTCACCAATAATATGGAAAAGAGAAGAGAGTGATTTTGACCAAAAAAGGTGCTTTGGATTTTGCCAGTCAAACTGCCGCGTGGTGTGAGAGCTTAAATTTTGACTTTGTTTTTTTCCACGTCAGCCATTTACCTATGAGACTTAAGATGATCCACGCCGCATCTGATTACACCACAGACAGACGCACCAAACCCCCCCAAACCTAATCCGCCACGAAAACGCCTCTCGACCCATAAAAGAGGCAACCCTCATTATAAGCAATTATAAATAACGCCAGCCATAACTTCTCTAATTGACCCAACTACCCTCTCCTAGACACAAGGGTACTCTCGTCATTGAATGGATGATAACTGGTGGTGTGTACAATCTTGCTTGAATTCAGCGAACAGTTTCAGGAACAAAGCATCATGAGTCATGACGCCAACTTTGGTCGCCCACTAAACACAAACCATCTAGATGTGAGGAAGCTGAGTCGCATAAAAGGAAAAAAGCAGTGGGGATAGATTTTTTTTTAAGTAATTAAGAACGTGGATGGGTTTGACGTCCAAGAGTAACAAGAGCAGGAGTGATATTTTATATGGTCAACGGGAAGTCGGAGAATAGATCGGAAAGGCCAAGGTTGCGTGACCGGCGAAAAAGCCGATCCCTGGCGGAAATGACGAAAATGGCCCTAAGATAAAAACAAATAGGAGCAAAAGTGGCAGTAGTTCCGGAAAACAAGGAAGACTGAGATTACGTGAAGTTTGTATAAATCGACAGAAAACAAAATACGACTAGGCTTAGGTATTGTGTAGCACGGTGGCTATAGCCGCCGTCAAAACGCCGCATACCAAGGGGTATATACGTCAAACAAACACAAAACAGAGTAACGCAGAGGTTTAAAAAAAAAAACAAAAAAAAAACTGAATGAAACAGAGTAACCAAAAAGGGAAATGATCGAACGAACCTTAGATCTAACGGCCTCAGAGAGTTTCACAGCACGGCTTGACTCCTCAAAACCATCAGCAGCAGCAGCAGCACCGCCGCTAAAAGAAGTGGCACCGCTCCAGGAAAGTGGCGTGGTGGGACTAGCACGGGTGTCATGATCTCCCTTCTTCCTCAACGACGCCGCCTTGGTCCTCCTCTGACGCACGGTCCACTTCAGCTTGAGATCCGACGCGCCGCCGCTCGTCATCCCAGGAGGTGAGGGCTCAGCATGTAAGAGGCAGATCAGAGCCTCCGCCACCAATGAATCATCACACATGGCTTCGTGTATCCAGTCTCCGCCGGTCATAGTCTAATGTTGGACCTTCCACCGATTTGAGAGAGAGGGAGAGAGAGAGAAAGAGAGAGAAGGAGAAGAGAAGAAATGGTGGCGAAAAGTGGAGAAGAAGAAAAATCTCCGTGGCATATTTAATGGGTAGGATATATTTATAAAATCCATATATATATATGTATATAGTTTGGGAACGTTTTCACACAGTTATTATAGATTGAAATTATTTGTGAATCTGTCTTTTACATATTTTTCTTTCTTGGTGAAAGTGGGACCCAATGAGAATACAGACGTGGCATTTAGTATATTTGTACTTTGTGCAAAAGGGTTTAGTAAGTAAGTAAGTAGGGTTGGCGTCGGTCCGTAGTCTCTGTGGTCTGTACTCTGTACCACACGCGACGCGCGGTGAGCGACTGAGAGCTTTCTATTTTGGCTTGCGTGACGGTTCAGTAACATCCCATTACTCCTCTATCAATGCAGTTTCCGGATAGTTTTGTGGACGTGTGACGAAGGTCCATTCTTACTGGACAACACTTTTCATTTTTCATGATTGATTGTACTAGTACTACTTGTCTCTAGATGCCTTTTCTACTATGGTTGGATAGAGTTTTACGGTATCCTTTGTTTTTTTTTATGTTCATTTATAATCTACCTGGTTAGTAGTTGAATTATGTTTTTTTCTCAAGTATGCATTGAACTCGGATTTTTTTATTTTATTTTTTTATTTTTTTGTTTGGCTAGAATTGAAATTTCTAAGTTCATGTGTCCATTCATATTTAAAATTGACAAAACAAAATATATAAATTGTCGGTGAGTAAGAAAATCAATTTAAGGGCTTTTGTGACTTCGTGGGTCGAAATAGAAAGTCCCAATTGGGCCTTTTTCCACATGAAACGTTACCAACTAGACACGTGTCTCGATCTGTAACCATGTTTCTAAAATTATATCCGGTTTATCAGACTTTCTGCTTAACCAATTCTGATTCTCGATGAACCGGAAAAATGTAACATTTCGATTCACTTAAACCGCATTTCCTGCAATCTGTTATCGTCGTCACTTCCACTTACACACACAAAGCCCTAAATCCCTTCGGAGCAGCCAAAATCATGGCGCTTCATCTCGCTAGGCGCCAACAAAGGTTGCCATCAAACCCATCTTTGATTCGGTTTTTCTCAAATTCATCATCGGACTCACCTCCTCCAGCTGCAAACGCATCTGTAGAAAAACCCTCTCAGTCGCCGTCTTCTCCGTCTCCGTCGGACTCCTCGTACTCTTCTTCCTTCATTGACATCAAGACCACACTGAAACAGAAATTACAGAATCAGCAGGAGCAAGGGAGGAAACCATTCCCCAGATCCGATGCCCAGTCTCAGAATCGCGGGTCGATTAGTTTCTCCGGTAACCAGTCACGCGTGTCTCTACAGGATTTGGGGATGAACCTCGCCAAGTTTCAGCGGAGATCCACGGTTCCACCTCCGAAGAATCCATCACAATCTCCGCCGCAGTTTTCCTTGGAGTCCCTCTATAAGCAGAACGCCGCACCAAACTCATCGGATCCTAGGAACCGGAAAGCCCAGTCTTTCAATACGAGCACCGTATTGGAGAATTTGAAGAATTTGAGGACGCAAACTAACACTTTTAACAATATGGGGAGGAAAGGAGCATTGTTCGGAAACTTCAAGAGCAGTGGAGGAGAAGCATTGCTGTCTGGCACAGGTATGGATGAGAGGAAGGGAAGGGAAGGTGAAACAGATGAGACGACGACAGAGTTCTTAACGTTCTATAACGAAGAAGAATTAGGTGAGAAACTAAGGACGCTTAGGCCAGAGGGAGATAAAGAAGAAGGATGGTTCTCATTGCAGGAGTTGAACCAGAGGTTGGTTAAGTTAAGGCAAGTGGAAGAGAAAGAGGCCCAATCTCGGACTAAGAATTTTACAGCACTCAAAAGTGTTATGTCATCTATTAGGAATGACTCTGGCCAAAATGAAGTTATTTCTCGTACGTCCTGAGCCTCTTATGACTCTCTCTCTCTCTCTCTATGCGATTTACTTAATTGTTGATTTTTTCTTAGGTGTCAAGGTGTTGAGATCTTGGTTTGATACTGTTGTCTGAAGTTATGTTTTGCTGTCGAATTGTTATATAAGAAGGTTTCTTTGCTTGCAGAGCAGAATCTCGACATTGTGGGCCATTTGGGTGGTATACCTGAATACAAGCTTTTTCCTCCAAAAGGGGAGCTGGTTGAGACTGTAAGTTTTTTAATCTTGCACTTTGAAGCTAGTTACTTGCTAATCTGATTTAGTCGGAATCAAAAGGCTTCTTTGGTTCCTTTAGTGATCTTTCGGCTATGATAGTTTCTACAATTCTCGGTTGTGACCATTAAAAGAAACTGTGGGTATTGATCTTTTTTATTTGACTGCGTCAACAAAGTATTTCCACCCAGATAACATGTCCTCTGCGGAGAAGATGAAAATTGAGCTCACAAAAGTAAGGGAAGAGTTCAAGATGTCGGAATCAGATTGTGGTTCTGCACGTGTGCAAGGTACTTTCTACATAAGGCCAGTGCTCTGATCAATGTTGGCTTTAGCCATCAAAAGGAATACATGTTCTAAGTCCGATTGTCATGTGATGTATGTGGTCTCTCCTTGCAGTGGCACAACTCACTACTAAGATCAAGCATTTATCCTCATCTCTACACAAAAAGGTGAAACGTCAAACTGTTTACGATACTTTTGTGAAGTTAACCGTTGACACCTTATGTTATACCTGTTGGTGGCTTTATAAACGTAGGACAAGCATTCGCGGAAGGGACTTTTAGGAATGGTGCAGAAACGGAAGAAACTGTTGAAATATCTTAGACGAACTGACTGGGATTCTTACTGCCTTGTCCTGTCAAAACTCAGCCTTCGTGACAACCCGGATTACAAGTTCTAAGCTTTATGTGGTAGACACCCCATGATTTTTATCTCTGCACTCTTTTTGGTTCAGGCAACGCTCTGTTGTGAGTGAGACTAAGCTGCTCAAACCCTCTTAGGCATTTTACTTTGTAGGGAAGAAAGTTGCTTTACTTTTTTAGTTCTTTAACTCCATTGTTCCACCTGGAGCTCTTCAATCATGCAATTGTTGCAAAGAAATGAAGTTGTGGATCTCTTTCATTGGTGTCTAGTATTCCCTTTCACATTTGAGTTGTGATAATAAAGTTATTGCGAACAAGCCTCATGATTTCATCTTACAGTTTTCGCAAGCCAATTTAAAGCAATGATTTAATGATCGTTTCCCAAATGTCACATTGAAGAAGAGGAACATTAGGTTTTTGGAGGAGAAATTATATCTACAGACTCAAAAACATCATATGCCGTTTTTTTCACAAACCAAGAACACCAAGAGGCGTTTTCCCCTGCCCGGCCTCAAAGTAAAAGATCAACATGGCAACCATTGCGAGCCTTGAGTGCTTAATCTCTGCCAATTTCAGCCGCTCCAGCTTCTCTCTGTCCGGCTCATAAACACCATCACGATTTTTGCCGGCGAGACCCAACGGATCGAAGAATCTTCCACCGGGATATCCCTGATCACCGGTATAGTTTGCGAAATTCTCGGCGGTCCTTGACCACGGTGTTGCCCACTCAACCGACTGGGAATCCGGGTTGAAGAAATCGACCCATCGCTTGCTCTCCACCCAACCCATGAGAATCAATTGGGTTCCAAGAAGTGACCCGAACGAGAAGGGAGCGATCGCACTTGGCTCGGCTCCAGCTTCAAACCACGGCACACCGCTCCAGGCCTGGCCGACGAAGATCCCAAGAACCGCAGCCATCGCCCATCGCCCATGGATCAGCTCAGCCTCTCTGTACCATTTCAGGAAAGCCGGGTCCTTTCCCAAACCCAAGGGGTCGAACCCGAAATCTCCGGGTAGCCTGCAAGTATCATACACATTTGATTCAATAACTAGATAATAATCCGACCTTCATAACTATCAAAATCTATTGTTCAAGCTCTAAGTCTGTACATGCGAGATTTGCATGAAAAAAACCAGCATCGTTCATACAAGTAACTGAGAGATTTAAGAGAAGAAACTTACGAGCCATCGAGCCATTCAGGGTCAAGGAGGTTGCCGCCACCTTTAACGGCAGGGATCCAAGATTTCTTAGGCTGAGCAGCCGCAGCAGCGACAATAAGAGTTTTCTTGCCAACTCTCTGAGCACCAGTGCCTAGGCCGCTTCCCAATGCGGTGGCACTCCTCTTGCCTCCGGCGAGGAACGAAGAACCAAGCCCACTGAGGACAGCTCCGGAGACCGCCATCGCCATGAGATCTCTAATGTAACTCCTCTGTTTTTTTTCTCTCTCAAGATGTGGAGAAGAAATGTGGTTTGTTTGGTTGTTCTCTCTGTTTTTTGGGAGCAGAAAGAATCGAGATTTAGAGGGACAATGTGAGATAATGAGAATCTATACACGAAATCTGAGAGGCTGTCGTGGATAGATTTCTGACCAATTAGGAGTCAGATACAAACTTCACCATATCCACATCACCAACACTCACTACTGTCTTCTTCTGCCAACTCAGTATTTACTTTTTTATTATAATTTCCTTTTTTAAATCCAATTTCTGAGCTGATAACAAAATGACACGTGGAAACTCAATCCATTTCTTCTTATTCAAATGCAAATGACAGCAATGAATTTGTACAAAGTGGCATTTCGCGGCTTATTACGTTTAGATTACACCATTACATGATTTTTATAATTTTTTTCTTTTTAAACGAGAATTTGAAAATTATAATTAACGATTAAATGGTGGTGAATCCCAAGTGGGAGGAGGAAGCTGAACCAATGGTTGATTTGAACCCATGTCCGGGATTGGTGTAACCGGAATTGGATTATCCGGTATCGTTGGGATGGACTCGATCGGTGGCGCGAATGACGTTACCGGCGGTTGCTCAGGCGGTAGCCATGGATTCGTGACCTCTGGCGGATTGGTAAAAACGGGAGTTTGCGGTGGGAAATCTCCGAGGACTGGCGGTGTGGAGAATACTGGAACTGTCGGTGGGTATTCTACAGTCGGTGGTAATGTGAATACCGGCGGGATCTCTTGAACCGGTGGGGGTAGAATCGGAGGAAATTCTTGTACTGGCGGAGGTAAAATCGTAGGGAGGTCTTCAACCGGTGGAGGTAAGATCGGAGGGAATTCTTGAACCGGTGGAGGTAAGATCGGCGGAAAGTCCTGAACCGGTGGAGGCAAAATTGGCGGGAAATCTTCAGCCGGGGGAGGTAAAATCGAAGGGAGGTTTTCAGTCGGTGGAGGTAAAATTGGCGGGAATTCTTGGACCGGTGGAGGAAGTATCTCGGGAGTGACTGGTGATGAAGGTGTTGGCTGGTCAATTGGTGGTTCGATGATTACATCAGGTGGTGGAAGCTCCGGCGCAGATTGATCAGGGGGCGATGGAATCAGTGGTTGACCGATGACTACATCCGGTGGGAGATCATCTACCGGTGGAGGAGTTCCGATGGCTGTAATCGGCGGTGGAAATTGTGCAGCTGGCGGCGTTAATGTAGACCGGTCTAATGGCGGGGTTGATCCAGTAGGTATATCAGGCGGCGAAAACCATGCTATTGGTGGCATGGGCGGTATGTCGGCAACTAGCGGCGAAGGGGGTGAACCGCTGATACCCGGAACTCCGCCACCTAGAAGGGGAGGAGGTGAACCGGTGATACCCGGAGCTCCGCCACCTAGTAGGGGAGGAGGTGAACCGGTGATACCCGGAGCTCCGTCGCCTAAGAGAGGAGGTGGTGTCATTGTAAACGGTGGCTGTGAAACCGAGCTACCAGGTGGCGGTGGCGATAAAACTAGAGGAAGGGGTGGTGAGGGAAGAGAAGAAGATAACGGTGGCGGAAGCGGCGCAGAGGGTGGAGAAAGGGGTAGAACCGGAGCAGGTGGAGGTAGGATTGGAACAGGGGAAGGCGTCGCCGATGGTGACGGTGGTGGTAGAACGGGAAATAAAGGCGGCAGTGGAGGGAGTATAAGAATCGGTGTAGGGACAAATGGCATAACTGGAGTAACTGGCGGCGACGGACAAGGTACTGGTGTAGGTGGAGCTGGTGCTGGGACGCAAGTAATGCAAGGCTGCGGAGGAGGCGGTTCAGGGGCTGCAACACAAGTAATGCAAGGCTGTGGAGGAGGCGGTGCCGGGGTTGGGACACAGGTTATGCAAGGCTGTGGAGGAGGCGGTGCTGGGGTTGGAACACAAGTAATGCAAGGCTGTGGGGGAGGAGGCGGCGGTGGGGATGGCGGAGGTGGGCAAGGAACAGCAATTGGTGGTGGCGGCGGTGATGCTTGTACACAGGTAACACACGGTGGCGGTGGTGCACCGTTTTCTATGATTGGAGGCGGTGGTGGTGAGCAGGGTGTGACAAGAGGAAGTGAGGGAGGAGGCGGAAGGGGAAGAGGCGGTGGTAAGATCACCGGAGGAGGCAAAAAAGGGTTTTCAGGACAAGGGGAAACAGGGAAATTCCATTGACCGCAAGTGCCGAAAATGCACCGGAAAAACACGTCGCACCTTGTTGAGAAGGCTTCTCCGTTTCTACTTCGGTTTCGTCTTCTGCTTTTGTCTCTCTTATTTCTTCTAGCAAACCTATTCTTGTCTTCGTCTCTGTGTCTGTTGTGTGGATTCTCTATTGCATCTGTTATTGAAACACTGAGCAGAAGAAGTGTAACTACACATCTTAGTACGATTATTTTCATCTTGTTCTTCTGGTAAGGCATGCAAGAACTAAACTAAGTATGTGTAATGTGTTTATATAGTCGAATCGATCATGTTGGACTTTTGGCAATTCTTAAGTTTGTCACTACCAAAGTTTCTAAGGATTCATTGAATATTTCTGGTAATAAAGGAGAATATTTATTTGGTTACACAATTCAATGTAAAAAAAGAGGCAATAACTAAAACTGACTCAGAATTTAGAGCTCTGAGGTAAGTGTTAGCCAGCACACAGCCACTCTGCTCAAAGAATATTGAAGTGAGTATCGACAGAACTATTTTGTCTCTGTTGCAAAGTTACAACAATCTAATACTACTACTTAACACACATAAACCAAGCATAAGTTTATTTCTCGGTTAAGACAAACATTTGGCCAATATCATGTTTGGTTGAATTGAGCAAAAATCACAGAAATTGAATTAAGCACTCTTTTATACTTCGTCTTTTTCTTTTGGTTATTTTCCGGAAGTGGGTCGAGTCTTTCAAATTCAAGAAAGGTCTGTTTCAGCTTAATATCGAGTGCAGGCATTCTTTTTGTTTTGTTTTATGCATACAGTAGTAGCCAAGGGAAGAATATGAACGGCCGGATCGAAACCCGTCGCTACGGGGGTCAATAGGAACGTGTTTAATCTTAATCGAGTTGGTTCAAGAAGTGACAACATCAGAAAAAAATTGAATGTTAAAGATGGAAATTTGAGGCCGTTGGATTAGGATGAAGCGACAAATAAAGAGGGAAGGAAGAGGCGTAGTAGAAGAAGCAAATATAAATGCAAAGAAGACGCATTGATTGATTGAATAAGAGGGGAGTCTTCATCACTTCGAGACTTGTTGTAAATTGTTATCTTATCCCACGCCGTTGCTTCAGCTGGCAGCTCCTCTTCCTTACCTCGTTTAAAACAACCTGACCCACACCGCCACACGCAAACTCTGAAACTACATTGTATGTACATACAGTAGTACTACACTACAGTTTACCGTTTCATATCTCGTATTCCTTCATAGTTTGGGCCCAATGTTTCTAAACTCTCACTTCTGACAGCCCATTGGGTATTAGACAAAATAGGGCTCCGTATAGAGAGGCAAAGGCTAATTTTTCTAGACGAAAGAAATATGTCGATTAAGGAATTTGATGCGTAACTCACTAACTATATGAATAACATAATTTAAAGAAAACATGAAAATGTTTTACGTTACGTTACATCCACGTAAGTTCAGTAACCAGCCACCTAGAGGTAAAATAGAAAGTAAAGAAAAGACACAAGAGAGACTAGAAAATGATCAGTGGGGGAGATTCCATTAACGGTGGAGGTATCTGATCAGAAGTCTCATCAACCGCCGGTGAGGATTGGGCGGGAACATCAGGAGGAGGCAGCCAAGTTATTGGTGGCATTGGCGGAAACTCATCCTCGGGGGGTGGAAGAGAGAACACCGGCGGCGTTTCGTCTTGGAATGCTGGTGGCGGTAGCCAAAACGGCGGGGGCTGTGTCATCGAGTCGCCACCTGGTAGCGGCGGAGGAGGAGACGGCACCAAAGGTGGTGGAAACACTATAACGGGCGGTGGCGGTGAAGGGAAGAAGAAAAATGGTGGCGGAGAGGGAGGAGGGGGCGAGGGAACAAGCGGTGAAGGTGGCGGTGGAGGCGGCGATGGAACTAAAGGTGGTGGAGACGGCACAAAAGGCGGTAGGCGTGGGGGCGGTCTTGGACGCATTGGTGGGGGTGGAGACGGAACCAAAGGTGGTGGTAGACGTGGAGACGGCCTTGGACGCGGCCTCGGACGTGGCGGTGGACGCAGTGATTGGAAAGGGAGAAAGGGGTTGTCCGGTGAAGGCGTTGTAGGAAAAGGCCAGTGGCCACATGTTCCAAATAAGTACTGATACAGAGGATCGCAGCTTCTGCGTCCACGGTTCTGACCGCTACCGCTGCGTCTTCCTCTGTTTGACTGTTTTTGCTCCTTTACGGTTGCAGCTTCAGCGTTCTCTTTGTGATCTTGTATGGACTCTGTTGTGTGGGTGACTAAAAGGAGTAGAGACAACAAAAATCCAACCACAAGTAGTTGTTTTGCTTTCATCATCCCCTCCCCTTGTTTGTTTATCTTTTAGCTACTTCTCTTCTTCTTTGATAGAAAACTTCTACGTACAAATACAATTATATATATGATCAATAGACTTAAAGACCATTTAATATGTTTTTTTCTCCCCTAATTGCCTATTTCGTATTCATGAATATAAATGTGAGATACGGAGCTGGATGCATGTCATGGGAAATTGTAGAAAATAGTAAATGTCGAGAGACGGATGAGGATTATCCATGATTACTGCTTACACAAATTGGCAGATGACAAAAAAAGTTACAACTCATTTATGGCACAGGACCTCTGTATAACATCGGATCAGAATATCTCTAGTAGAATCTGATTCTAAATCATAAGTTTCCTAGCTAGTTTTATAGTTTTACACTTCAATATATACATATGGCCTTGTTGTTAAATTAAGTAGGTGAATCATAAGTTGCTTAGAATGATGTGCCACCGTTTGTAATTGAATGCTATGCAGTTGCACATTCACTACATGCTTATCTTTATCATCTGCAGACTCTACTTTCCTTGAAAACGTTTGACTTTCAATATACATGAAGCTTTACTATAATCAAAACCAAACCAAAAACAAATGATAAAACTATAATAATTTTTGTGGAAGTAAATAAATAGGTCGGGCCTTATATTCACCAAATAAAACAAAAAGCCTGTTTAATTTTAAAGCCCAAATAACTCCAATGAACAAAAATATCTGTCAAGTACACACCACACACACACAGACACAAAACGGCGTTCACTAGAATCAGAGAAGACTAAAAACATAAACACAGAAGGTAGCAGAGTAGTAGATGAAAGCAGGAGTTAGAGGAGCTAAACAAATCCGATAGAAAAGATAGATTAATCTCAAACGATGTATCTTCCTACTTCATCAAATCCCATCTCTTCATCCTCTTTGGTAAGAAATCTCAAATAGAGATTGAAATATCTGTATTTCTCTTTTTGACTCAAATCTTTTAAAATTGTGGAGGAAAGAATCAATTTTTAGTGTTTTTCCTTTGCTGTTTTTGTTTAAGAGCATTAATCCAATGTGAAAAAACCCTAACTTGATGGTTAATACTGTTTTCTTCTGTCAGATCAGTTTAATTTTTTATTTTTTATTTTTTATTTTTATCAGACACCAAAGAGGATGATGCTACAGAGATGCGACTGTGGGTTCAAGCTAAGGAGGCTTAATGATACTGTTGAAGAAGGTAACGCGATGGAGATCCAGTCTAACACTACTCGTCATGAGGAGAATAATCTCGTTTCCGGACCAGAAGCAGATTTGGGGACTCACACAGCAGAGCCCACTGCTACTGAAGGTACTCTTTTGTGGCTTTTTTGACTTCTAGGGATGAAATGCAAAGCTACGTTTATGTAATATTATGACTGTTTAGTGCGTTGTGTTTGCTTTCTCGGAGAGCTGCTATCGCATTAGATAATCAGAAAGCTAAAAACTTGTCAATTATTACTATCATCTCTTAGATTTTTTGAATTTGATTTATTGACATTTTGTTCCGTTGTTCACATGCATGTTGTTTAGAGGAGACTCAAAGACTCTCAGCCAAATCACAGTTGTATCAGCTATGTTCTGCGAGGCATTGGAAAACACCAATATATGAGAGTTTCGCCGAGGGACCTTGCCATAGGATATCGTAAGGGGACACCAATTTCTGCACTTTCTTTTTACATTTTCAGGCCATCACTCAGTTAGTGAGTTAGCATCCATATTGTTGTTGTTTTATAATGTTCAGATTTACAGTCAAAGCTACGATTGAAGTTAAGGAAAAGGATTCTCGGATAACGGTTTTGGAATGTTTTGGGGATCCACATCACAAGAAGAAACTTGCAGCTGAGCAGGCAGCGGAAGCAGCGCTTTGGTATCTTAAGAACATGGGTCATACTCTTCAGACGGAGAAAGCTTCTCGTCGTCAAGGGCGTACGAAGCCGATATAAAAGATGATGGTGACAGGTGATCCCGCACAATGAGCTTTGTCCAGTTAGAGGTGATCAAATAGTCTAGTTTTTGTTTTTATTTATTGACTTTGACATTTTATTAGGCTTTTTATAAGCTCTAACTAGGGAGCGCAAAAGGGTAACCTCTATCACAAAATGTATTTATCTACTAGAACTAGACTATGCTGTTGTGTGTCTGTAGTATCAGTTGTAAGTAAACAGGAAAGTGTGGTTATCACCTGTGGATACAAATGGAATGATATCGGCAGAGATATATGCAGCACATAATTTGGGACTCAAATGATTTGAAACTGCTCATTTTCCATATGTAGAAATCAGTTTGTTGCAGAAAAATCAGCCCAAAATGAGTTTTGACTCGGCCTTCACATCGGATTCCTGAACCAAGACAATATCATCTGTTAAGACGTGAAAATGCTCGAATCTTGCAATACAATTCAATGATATGGCAACTAGCCAATGGGAAATGTACCTCTGCGAGGTGAAAGTATATACATATACTGGTCTTGGCAGCATGTGGGTTGTGATACCTGGAAAAAGAGATGCAAAACACGAATGATTAAGTTCGTTGCTTCACCAATCTACAACTGTTTAAGGTTGAAGATTAAAGAGCAAATAGTATTTGCCCAGTATGTAGTATTTGAAAGTGATTTAAGTACGATATCAGGTGAAATGTGAAGGTGTATAATACAGGCTTGTCAAGAAAGAAGATTGTGGTGGAAAAGTCGAAGAACACCAGAATCAACCTCTATTATTGCGCGAAAGAAAGTGAAGAATGCTTCATTGTATATTTTTGTGAGCATTTTTGGTGGTTTTTAAAGCTGAAGCCCATTTAAGCTTTTTTTTTTGTTTACATATTAGGCCGAAGATTTAACTCTCGTCACAACCTTATCTCCTTTATGATTGATTATCCCGGTAAAACGGTAACCATGGATCTACGAGGCGGCTACATTTTACACAGAGAATGTAGTAAATTTATCACTAATATGAAATTGTTATAAAAACAAAAAAATTAGAAAGCAAAATAATATATAAAATATGAAAACTAGCAATTGATTCTAGAACTAAAATTTTAAATGTAATTATATAAAACTTAAAACATATCATATATATAAAATAGAAGAATTTATATACATATAGAAAACATGAAATCTATACAAGTTGATTACTTTTCTATTTTTATGTAAATACATCTTGATTTTGACCAAACAAAAAAAAAAGGAAATAAAATAAGTAAATTGTGTGTCATATATATACTTAGATCGGATTAGAAAAAGGAAAAAAGGAAAAAAAGCAGCAGTACATATAAAAAGGTGTTGGGGGAAGTAATCGAGAGAGGAAATCGTATACTAGACTTAGTAGTAGTAGATTGTCGTCTCTCTCTCTCTATCTCTTCCAATCAGGTGGCCTCTCGTCAGTCTTCTCGCCGTCTCTCAGAATCAGATAAATATTTTTGATTTGTTTTGTTTGCCCAATCCAATCTTTAAAGAGAAGCTCTCTCCTCTCTTCCCCCCCCCTGGTCTGCCTCTTCTCTCTCTCTCTCTCTTTTCTTTCCTTTTCTCTCTTTTTGTTAATTTTCTCCTTTTCTTTTGCTTATAAATTATTATGTATATGTATAGAATTTAACTTGTTTCTTCCCCCACAACTCTCGTCCCTATCTCTTGATTTCGTGCGATTCTTATCAAATTCTGCAGAGATGCGTCGCTCTTCATCCAAGAAGAAATCAGCTGAATCAGTCACCACGGATCTCTTTCGCTCAGGTTTCGGTTCTTTTCTCCTAGGGTTTATGTGATTCTGTTCTCTAAGTTTTCCTCTTTTTTTTTTTTTTTTTGTTATCTCTTGGTTTGGATTTTGTTGATTTCTTGTGAATTCCATCTTTTCTAATTCGAATTTGGATCACAATCTCATTACTCTTTAATGGGTTTTGGGGGTGATGAACGAATCATTGGTTTATCATAATTGAGCACAGATGAAAGCTATCAAATCCAGTAGCTGACGACTGAAATTGAATTACTCTATCCAATCAAGAATTTTACTTTTCGAATCACTTGCTTCTGCATATTTTTTTTTTTTTTTTTGTGATCACAGACTTTGTGTAATTGCCCGTGGCTTCGTAGAAACGTTTTTATTTGTTACTTTGTTTGACTTTTGTGTATTTTGGTTCAGCTTCGAGCAAGGCCTCGACTAAAGAGATGGATCGTATAGATCACTTATTTAATCAGTATGCCAATCGATCTTCCAATCTCATTGAGTAAGTATTCACTGATCCACCAATCAATGTTTCTTTTCACTACTTTGAGATACTTTTGGTACTAATACGTTTGCTTCTTTCTACTACCTGAAACAGCCCTGAAGGAATTGAGGAACTATGCTCCAATTTGGAAGTGTCACATACTGATATCAGAATCTTGATGCTTGCTTGGTAATTTATTTAGTAGAGTCCATTAAACCCTTATTTCTGTTCTTTTTTTTTCTTCTTTACCACAATCACATATCCTTAAACCTTTAAATTCTTGCCATCGCAGGAAGATGAAAGCTGAGAAACAAGGTTACTTTACACATGTAAGGAATGCATAATACATAAGAGCTACAGATCCTTTTTTCTCTTTGATACTCTCGAGTTTACTTTGTGTTTGTTTTTTTTTTTAAATCTTAACCCAATGTGCAATCTGTAGGAGGAGTGGAGAAGAGGCCTGAAGGCTTTAAGAGCTGATACTATCAATAAGTTGAAGAAAGCCCTTCCGGAGCTTGAGAAAGAGGTTCAAACGTTTATCCTTGTTTTTCATATTTAGTTAAATCTCTTCCCAGAGGTATTCTAAAGACTGGATCAATGTTAAGCTTTTCTTCCTTATTGTTGTCTCTTTAAGGTCAGGAGGCCTTCAAATTTTGCAGATTTCTATGCTTATGCCTTCCGCTATTGTTTAACAGGTAGGATTAAATTCTGATTCTTCATGAGACATTTGTATTTTGCTGTTTCCCTTTCACCTTTTATGTTTGTGTGACCTTTGTTTACTGTTCAATGCAGAGGAAAAACAGAAGAGTATAGACATAGAGACTATCTGCCAACTCCTAGAAATTGTAATGGGATCTACTTTCCGAGCCCAAGTTGACTACTTTGTCGAGTATCTGAAGGTTTGGATCACTCAAGCGTTTCACATTTTGTCCTTTTCACAATGTTTTTTTTTGCAATGTTTTTCATCACATGATTGGGTTATATACATGTTTGACACAGATCCAAAATGACTACAAAGTCATAAACATGGACCAATGGATGGGCCTTTACCGGTTCTGTAACGAGGTATGTTTCCCAATTCTTTTATCCCCTGACTTAGCAGCTTCATCAGCCAACTCGAATTGTTTTTATCATGTACAGATAAGTTTCCCGGACATGGGGAACTACAATCCAGAGCTTGCATGGCCGTTGGTTCTTGACAATTTTGTTGAGTGGATTCTTGAAAAACAAGCCTGAAATCATTATGTGTCCCCTCAAGTCTCAGCTTCAAAGCGACAAATCATTTACTTGAGTAGGTAACCTATTCCGAAAGCAATTTTAATTTGAACCCTTTTTAGGCCTTTTTTTCGTTTGCTCGGGTGATTTAATTCTCTCTGTTACGGTATGGTTTTGCAGGATCAGGTGGACTCATCAAACAGCTTTCAGCACAATTTTACTTCAGTTTTTCATCTTTCAAACATTAAAAAGACACATTATATGATTCTTGTTACATGTGATTAACTTCAATAGAGGGAACACATTATGTTTGGTTTATTACAATCAAGTTCTATTCTTAATAACTAATTGATTTTAAATTAGCTCTGAACACTGTGCATATGTATAGACTTCAGACTTGTGATCAAGTCATCTCTACATGGACGCCATTCTGGAAACGTTCTTACCTCTTTATAACCATCAGATTCATTTTGAAAATGGACGGTCTAGATTAGCTTATACAACATTACTAAAAAGAATCCTAAAACCCCTCCAGGAGAATCAATCCTCCATGAATTTCAGCTGCTACCTTAAACCCTAGGAAAATCCCCAACCTTAGCTACTCGTTAGTTCTTCATGGCTCGTTTCGTAAGATTTCTGAGAAGAACAGTGATTAGTTCATCGCCTTCAATTCTTTACCGAAACCCTACAACTTGTGTTCAGTCAAATCGAAACACTAGTCTCTTGATCAGCCGTAAGTTTCTTAGCTCGGGGAGTTATGTGTCGGAAATGAGGAAATCAGCTTTCGAGGGTAACATTCTTCGATTAATTCGTTCTGAGATTCAGTCCGAGCTCGATCACTCGCCTCCTCTTCAGGTATTCTCATTATATTTTCATTTATGTAATTGCTTGGCATCGGTAATCTGTTACTACAGTCTAGGACCTTTCGAAAATGGAATCTAAGATTTGAATCATCTAAAACGCAAAATGATGATCCGGAGTTCGAATTATGTTTGTTCCCAATTGAATTGAGTTTTTTTTTTTTCTGTTGTTGAATCAACAAGGTTAATACCCTTGTGAGAGCATAATTCGAGTAACAATGAAACTCTGGTTTGTCTATGTCTGATTGAGATAGATCACAATTCTTACATGAGAAAGCGGTTCCTTTGTCTGCCTGAGCTGAGCAATTGTTTCATTTGTTTGTACACAAAATTTCAGCCTGAGGAGAGGTTTGGCCCATTCACAGTGGATGAGCGGCCGGGGGAGCAATGGATTAGCTTGACAAGAAAATTTGGGGAGAAGGAAGATATTAAAGTGGAAGCAACCATGTTTGATGGATCAGTTCCATCATCAAAATCTACAAGCGCCGACCCTGAAGATGTTCAGCTTCATATTACTTTCATTGTCAACATCTCTAAGGGTGATCGTGAGACGTTAGAGATCATGTGTTCTGCTTGGCCTGATACCATACAGATCTCCAAGTTCTTTGTTCGTAAAAGCAGCAACAACTCACCAAATGCTTATATTGGACCAGAATTCCAGTACTGTGATTTGATCCCCTGTTCTACAAACTTCAAATTTCCTTCTTTTCTTTTCTATGTTTCTGACATGATGAAACTTATGTTGGTCTACTGAATTATTTTACAGGGAAATGGAAGATGAACTTCAAGACTCGGTTTATCGTTTTTTGGAGGAAAGAGGTATAAGTGATGATCTTGCTGAGTTCTTGCATCAGTACATGAAGAACAAAGATAAAGCGGAGTATATTAGATGGATGGAGACTGTTAAATCTTATGTTGAGCAAAAATGAAATCTTTTAATTACTACATTCTTAGGTGTTGATCCAATGAAAGTTCCGTTGGATATGGCTTTTAGAAAGATTTTTTTTTGGCATGGTTCTTAGTTGCCAGACGTATGTGATATTTATGGATCTAAATATGATGAAATTGCGTTCATACTTGTACTCTTCTCAATGCAGCAACGCAATCCACAGCCAAATCTTTTGACAAGATGAGAGAAACAATGGTTGTTGTATACATACGTGTGGCATCTCCAAAATAACTGAACACTTTCGTCTAAACTACAAAGACAGGGATGAAAATTTGCTGTACACAATATTTATGTTTTTGATATTTAGATTCTTTACTAGAACACCAATAATTGCAGAACAAATTAACATCATGGGAAAACCAGACGTGGCCCAACATAAAGAAGAAACGAAAGAAATGGGCAAATTTTACTTGGTTATCCAGTAAATGAATATGAGAAATGTGCATACAGCCGCAACAAGTGAAAGAATGATTGTATCCATCGACTTTTTTCTCTTTATCGCTGACAGAATAGTGTTCACCTGCAGAGGTTTTAACCATCACGTTGCAGGGTAAGATATATGTGTGTATCCATACCCGAACATACAGAGAGCAAAGAGCAAACAAGTGTGTAAATAAGAAGAGGAAAGTTCTTTGTACCGTGGGTAGACGGCTGGTGACATTGCTAAGCTTTGAGTTGATGCCTCCAAAAGTTGAACGTTGAAACACAAGTGTACCGAGTGTGGCCTGAGCTTGTGAAATGACACCATCCATCTGCACCGTTTATATAATAGGCAGCTCACATAAGTCCTGGGGTGTTCAATTAACAGGGGAAAGTCCATTGTAATGTATGCAACAGCTGTAGAGTGTATGGAGTTTATTTACTTGCGCTGTATTGCGGTTGATTCCCATATGTTCCTTGAGAAGAGATTGTTCAGACCCATCCCCAGCTTCTAAATCTAACTTAGTCCGATCAAATTCTCTAAAGTCCTCAAGAAGTGAAGCATGCTCTTGTTTTGCTTTAAGACTGGAGCGATGTCGATAAAACTCCTGCAATTTGAGTGAATCATACACACAGGAACAAGACTAATATAACAAAGGTTGAGATATAAACTAATCGAGAAGAAGAGGGTGAACTGAAGGTTAAGAAGATAACAGACGTTCCATAGCGAATCAGCATATAGTCAACGCAAGCTATAGAATAAGGCAATATGTTAAAAGCAATGAGAGAAGAAAAAGAGAATACCTGTGTCAGATCCTGTAGGATCTCTTGGTGTCGAGTTAAAGTATGTGAGACCATTTCAGATCCACCTGAAGACACCCATGCTTGCATCTGAGCGTTCACTTGTTGTAGTTGCCTAAGAAGTAAGTCAATCCCAGCTTCAAGATCACTCTCTGTGCCATCTAACTTTGTTAAAGCCTTTGTGGAGACAAGTCTACGATAAGAATGCATCTGCTCATCGAGCTGAGCTTCAATCTTTCTGGCCTGTGGGATTTCACATGAGAACAGCACAAAGCAGATTCATTTAAGTAAGTATCCCAAGGTAAATTCCCTAATTCAAATCCACCCAACATGCGAGACCTCAAAAACCAAATTTTAGGATAGAGTTTCAACGATTATAGACGCTACGAGCTTCTCAAATGTGTTCTTCTAAAATCAAATTAAACTGAAAGAAAAAAATCACCTGTTTCCGTAAAGCATCCCAAGAGCTAGGCACATCCATGGCGTCCACAGAATCTGTAGAAACCTCTCCTTTGCGAAACGGATCAAGTCGGATCGTGTCGTTTCCGGGAAGAGACGTTTACCCCCGGGTATAAATCAGATGCGGCAGTTATCCCGGAGCAAAGATTCTTCTTCTCTTCCTCGTAAGCAGAGGTTCGAGCCCCAGAGAGATGCGATCTTATCGATTCGACAAGTAGTAATCGGATCGGATCGCGAGAGTTGGTACGGAGACGCAGACAATTTCTGCGTGTCCCTTCAACACCAGCAAATTGCTTCGATTTTGCGTAATCCACTAAATTAAACAATATTCCTTAATCCAATTCGGCGGGTATGATCATGTGTTTTGCATCCTACAATACACGCTTAATTTATATATGTTGACCCACTTGTTCTAAGTCAACCTTTTTTTAAAGCGACACGTCGGATAATAAATTATCCTGAAGCCACCGGGTTCTCGGTTTTTTCTTCTCATCAAACCGAATTCATATCGCGAACAGAACACCTTCATCAATCCATCCAAGCATTTGCGTTGCCGCCGGTAACTACTTCTCTTTCATCATCTTCGTATTTCCATTGGTAATCCTTCTTTACCTCCTGTAGCGTTTATTGCTCCCTTTGATTCACATTGCATTCATGGTCAGAGGCTCATAGCCCCCTCATTCTGGTGAACAGAAAAGATGACAAAGAAGATGTTCAGTTTAGGCTACGTCTTATCAATTCAACTATGATTTTTTTTTTCTTTTCTTTAGCACTGTTGCTTTTTATACCTGCCAAATAATTACGGGAAGGAACTTCCAAAGTATTACATTAGTCAGAAAGAGTTTTCTTCATTTCATATCTCTTGTTTAGTCATACACTCAACTTCCCTGGAAGTAGCTGCCACTTTTTTTATAACATTTTATCGAATTATTGACGATATCCGAACAAACATCTGTCACTTTCAATATGTACCTAAAGAAATTGCAGTTTGACTTTTTGTTTTCTGATCAAGTCAGCAAGGCACGATTTCCTGAGGCTATTTGGTATGTATACATGTATTTTCTCTTTCTCTTCTCCCATTTAGTCCTTTCTCTTGCGTTTTTCTTCCTCGCAAATATTTTCAGCTGCTTTCTAGAAAAGTTTGAGCAAAATGGGGAACTGTGTCTCACTAGAAATGTCCAGCGATGAGAACGGCATGCACATAGATGAGGCAAATCTCGAGGCTCTTCAGAAGGCTATGCAAGAACTCAATAAGAGACGAGATGATTTGCTAAGAAAAGTTCTCATAGAAGAATATGAAGGTTTACAACGGCTTGGTCAAGTCCAGGGATGGTTTTCAAAAGTGGAAAATGTTGAGTCTCAAGTCAAGGATCTGCTTGAGGCTAGGTCAACTCAAACTAAAAGATTGTGTCTTTGCGGTTATTGTTCTCTGCATTTCATATCAGGTTGCAGTTATGGTAGAAAAGGTATTAAAGAAGTTGAACGAAGTTGAAGGACTTCTAACTAATGGAGTTTTTCAAGTGTTGGCGGAGAAATACTTTAAACCTAAGGGGGAGAAGAAGCATATCCAAACACCTATTGGTTTGAATAAAAGGGTTGAAATGGTACTCTGCTACCACCAGTTATATGCAGAAAAAACTTTCGGTCTTTATGGTATGGGTGGAATAGGCAAGACCACTCTCTTAGCTAGTATTAACAATATGTTTCTTGAAACGGTAAATGACTTTGATGTTGTTATTTGGGTTGTGGTCTCCAATGATTTGCAATATCTGAGTATTCAGGAACAGATTTTGCGAAGACTAAGTCCTGACAAGGATTTGGGACAAGACACAGAAGAGGAGAGAGCTTCTGAGATATACAACATCCTTAATGGGAGGAAGTTTGTGCTATTATTGGATGATCTAGGGAGCAAAGTAGATCTGAACAAGGTAGGTGTTCCACCTATAACTTATCAAAACAGATCAATAATATGTTTTACCACTCGTTCTGAGGAAGTTTGCAAGGACATGGAGGCTGTTGGTATAGAAGTTAAACGTTTGTCAATAGATGAATCTTGGGAATTGTTTCAAAAGCAACTTGGAGGATTCACTTTAAATATCCATCCGGATATACCCGAACTTGCAAGAGCAGTTGCTGGTAAATGTAATGGTTTGCCTCTTGCACTCAGTGTCATTGGCAAAACCATGGCGCAGAAAACTGTACAAGAATGGAGTCACGCGAAGACTGCTCTGAATTTGACTAGCGGCGAGTTTCTTCTTAGTAAGGAAGGAGGGATTCTTCCTCTTTTAAAGGTCAGTTATGATAGTTTAGCGAATGCAAAAGTCAAATTATGCTTCCTATATTGTTCTTTATTTCCGGATGATTATGAAATAGAGAAGGATGAATTGATAGAATATTGGATATGCGAAGGATTTATTGGTGTAAACAGAGATAAGGATGGAGCTAACAAGGAAGGTCTTGATATAATTAATTTGCTGGTTTCTTCTCATCTACTGATGAATGGTGGAGTCACAACGAAAGTGAAAATGCATGGTGTGGTGCGCGAGATGGCTCTTTGGATAGCGACTAACTTTGGAAAACAGGAAGAAATACTTTGCGTTAAATCCGGTGAGTGGTTACAACAGATACCGGAGGACATCAGTTCAAAGGTTGTAAGAAGGATGTCTTTAATGAATAATCAGATTGCAGAGATATTTTGCAGTCCCAAGTGCCCCGACCTTTTGACCTTATTGCTCCAGAACAATAAGCTGGTGGATATCTCAGGTGAATTCTTTAGGTTTATGCCAGCAGTTGTAGTCTTGGATCTTTCTGAGAACAAGAGCCTTATTGGATTGCCGGAAGAAATTTCGAACTTAAGTTCCTTGCAATACCTTAACTTGTCATACACAGGGATAAAATCATTACCAGCTGGTCTGACGGCATTGAGGAAATTAATCTACTTAAATGTGGATTATACTTATAAACTTGGAAGCATTGTTGGGATAGTGATGAGTTTACGAAATCTCCAAGTGTTAAAGTTCTATAATTCCGGTGTTTGTATTGATGCCAGATTACTGGAAGAGTTACAACTCTTGGAGAACTTAAAGCTTTTAAAAGCTACGGTCGATGATGCTGTGATTTTGGAGAGAATACAAGGAGTCGACCGATTAGGGAGCAGTATTCAAAGTTTATGCCTCAGAAAGATGTCAGCAGCGGTTGTGGTATTAAACACGGTAGCTCTGCGTGGTCTTCAACGACTTGTAATTCGGAATTGCAAAATACTTGACATAATGATAGATTGGGAAAGCAAAGAAAGGAAGGAAGTTCTACCAAGTACAAGTTCTCCAAGCTTCAAGAACCTATCCAGTATTTTGATAAGTGATTTGGAAGGTCCAAGGGATTTGACATGGCTGGCATTTGCTCAAAATCTCGTGTATCTAGATGTGATGAGGTCATCAAGCATAGAAGAGATAATAAACAAAGAGAAAGGAATCAGTATTAGAAATGCTCATCCACATTTTGTTGCACCGTTTAGGAAACTGGACTACCTTACGATAGCCGACATGTCTGAAGTAAAGATAATCTGCGGGTATCCTCGGGCTCCTCGAAAGCTGACAGAATTCATTGTCAGAAATTGCCCAAAGCTGCCACTGAGTTTGAGAGACAAGGGAGATAGTAGTGGGTGGATCGGCGAAGAATGAGAGAAGTAAGCCAGTGGATGGTTCCTCACAGCTACAAACTACTATTCAAGTTACTAGAGATGCTTTTGTTTGAAAGACCTTATATATAAACTCAGTGTGCATTTCGAGACAGTGTAATAATTTTAAAAACTTGTTTGGCTCAAATCTCTCATCGTGTGACTGCTTCCTTCTTTCACTGTTTAATCCGTTGTTGGTGTGCTTATGAACTGGTTTTGTTTAAATGACCAGTAGTAGTAACTTGCATTTCCTTAAAGTTAGAAACTTTTCATTTCAAAGACTTTGTTGGTATCTCTCCTTTTTCCTTAAAGTCCATTGTTTCAAACAATCCTATTTCTCCCCCAGTTTTGGTAAGCCATAGATGGAGAGACAAGTTGTTCAAGGGGGAGGAGAAGATCCTTGGCTTGCTCCAGACAAATTCTACCATGTGATATTCTGTTTCTCCATCTCTATCCTCTTCTCCACGATCGCCTCTCTCTCGCGCTACTCCTTTCTACGACGTCACTCCATCTGGATCGGATCTGCGTTCTCACTCTCCGCCGGTGCGGCAAAAGAAGCTGGCGATCAATTTGGTATCTTCCCTTCCGCAGGCGCCTCCGCCAGAGACGCCGTGGCGGACGCAGTTGGAGTTGTGATTGCTGCTTTGGTTCTCTTCCTTTGGAAATCTCGTTCTGAATCCAGTCAAAAACGACCCATCCTTCCGATTTGAATAGAAGAAACATTGAAAAGCTTGTTAGAGTCCTCCGAGAATCTCGCAGTTTTATTTTTAAAAAGGTTGATCGATTTGATCGTCACAGTTTTGGTAATCTCGTTGATTCTAATTGTTGAAATTCAAAACTTGGAACAATTTCTATGAGTGCGACTGTTTGGTTCATGTAAATGTTGCTAAAGTATACATGTATGAAACATTGGCTCGCTAGCCCCCATTTCGATCAAGAAGAAACTTCAAGTGAGAAAGTGAGAATAGTCAGAAGATCCCATCTCATAGATAATTGGCTGGACATCAAAATTCGAAAACCAAGCAAAAGTTATAGACTGATTACTACGTTCAAGCAAAATGAAAATTTAGTCAAAACACAAGTCATGATGGTCCCAAAGGGCGTCAGTTCAAATCTCAATCTTGACACAACAATATGGTTTTTTTACTTTATTTTATCGTTTTTTGCTTTTCTCTAGCTAACTTTATTGGAGCATTTTTTTTAGAAATTTCATTGGATTCCTCAGTCGGTTCTCACTCTCTATAATTCTCTCGTCAGACGCTTCTCTTCATCAATTGTTGCTTCTTCACCGTGTTTCCCCTTCCTTCCCTGTCTAACGTAAGCTCACGATTTCTTCTATACTCTGTTTTAACAGTTAGTTCTCGTAATGCATTTTTTTAATTGTATCTTGTTTCGTTTGGGCATCTCACTTCTTCCGCACTGTATTTTGGATTTAGATAGGTTTCTTATCTTGCATGCGTCAATCTCGTTGCCGATTTTGTTAATGCTGTTTCAATTTCGTCTCTTTTGCTCTTTCCAATGTCTTCTTTTTAGTTCCAGTTCAAGCCTAGGGTTTCTCTTGCTCTTTAAATTTTGGATCTATGGACTCAGTTTGCTAGAAATGGAGTCTCTTTTTGGGCCGTTTCCATGAATTCATCATGAAGGGCGGTGACCAGCAAACTTTGCTGCATGAACTATCCGGTGGAGTTCTGCTTTCTCATTTTGAGTCAAAAAGACATTTTCTTTAGCTTGTTTGGTGAATGGAATCATCCTCGTCATTGCTTATTTCTTCACTTGTAAAACTCCCTTTCTCAATAAATGTTCCAATTGTGTTACAGGTGAAGCAGGTTGGATGGGTATTTCATCTGATGAAGAGTCTGAGATCAGCGAGTCAGAGATTGATGACTATTCTGAAACACCCTACCTTCTATTGCAGAACGGAAGCTACAAGGTTAAAGTGAACGGACAGCTGAGATGCCCCTTTTGTTCTGGCAAGAAGAAGCAAGATTACAAGTACAAGGAGTTATATGCACATGCTTCTGGGGTTTCCAAAGGATCTGCCACTAGAAGTGCTAAACAGAAGGCTAATCATCTCGCTTTGGCTAAGTTTTTAGATAATGAGCTTGCTGGTCATGCAGAACCTGTTCCACCCCCTCCAGTTCCTCAGTTAGACAAGACAAAACCAAACCCCGGTGAGGTCTATGTCTGGCCATGGATGGGGATTGTCCTTAATCCTTTGAAGGACGCTGATGAAAAGGAAGTTCTACTTACTTCAGCATATTGGTTCGAGAGGCTTTCTAAATTCAAGCCTATTGAGGTCAATGCCTTTTGGGTCGAGCAAGATTCCATTGTTGGGGTTATTGCTAAGTTTATCAGCGACTGGAGCGGATTTGCAAATGCTGCAGCGCTTGAAAAGGAATTTGAGAACGAAGGGTGCAGCAAAAAGGAGTGGACTGAGAGGAGCGGAGTTGCAGAGTCAAAGGCCTATGGTTGGTGTGCACGTGAGGAAGACTATAACTCGCAAGGTCCAATAGGTGAGTACCTCTCCAAGGAGGGAAAGCTAAGAACAGTGTCAGATATTTCGCAAGAAAAAACGCAGGACAGAAATGTTGTACTAGAGGAACTTTCAACGATGATTGCTATGACAAACGAAGATCTGAGCAACATCCAATACAGTTACAACAGGACGGCAATGTCACTGCAGAGGGTCCTAGACGAAAAGAAAAACTTGCATGAAGCTTTTGCTGAGGGTATTTACTGACACACTAATATATTTACTACTCATATATTATGAGTTATGCTATCTGACTATTATTTGTATTTATCTCCACAGAAACAAAGAAGATGCAGCAGATGTCGCTTCGCAAGATCCAGAAGATTCTAAATGACAAAGAGAAGCTTAGCGATGAACTGGATCGTAAGATGCGGGACTTGGAGTCTCGGGCCAAACAATTGGACAAACAGGAAGCACTAACTGAACTGGAGAGACAAAAGCTTGATGAGGAAAAGAGAAAGGTAATATCCATAGTCAGTATGATATAGAATCAATCAGTCTGCATATGTATGCATTTATCTTTTCCGTGGAACCTATGATCATTATATGTTTTCTTTCCTTGGCAGAGTGATGCTATGAACAAATCCCTGCTGTTAGCCTCGCATGAGCAGAAAAAGTCCGACGAAAGCGTCTTGAGACTTGTAGAGGAGCATAAGGTTTATTTCATAGTACACTATTTAAATTCACTATCAAGTTAATCCCAAAATTAAGAGGCAAAGCCTTACCTTATTTGCGTCTGAGTGTGAAACTCTCTCCTTTTAAACTTCCAGAGGCAAAAAGAAGACGCTTTGAACAAGATTCTTCTGCTTGAGAAGCAGCTAGACACCAAACAGACACTGGAAATGGAGATTCAAGAGCTAAAAGGAAAATTGCAAGTGATGAAGCATTTGGGGAATGATGATGATGAGGCGGTCAAACAGAAAATGCAAGAGATGAATGAAACGCTGGAGGAAAAGAAATCTGAGTTAGAAGGGCTTGAGCATATGAACTCAGTGTTGATGACAAAAGAACGTGAAAGCAATGATGAGATACAAGCAGCACGGAAAAAATTGATTGCGGTACAGATTTCCAATGCTTTAGTGTTTCTGGGTACTAACACACTTGCAATTTGCCATTACGTAGCATTTATACCAAAATGTTCCTGAGAGATTGTTTGCTTTAGTGGTATTTAAAATACCGCAGAGATGGTCAAAACACTCTCGTTTTGTTCAATTTCTCCAGCTGACCAGTTGAACTTACAAATTAAAATGTACTGATTAACCTGTTTGATGGGGATGGATTGACGATGAGTTTTCATCTGATAAGATTACATCTATGACGGCTGTAGGAATCTGGTAAAGATCACAGATATTTACCACTATATTTTGTCTTGAATATAAATTCTGCCTATACAACGACCAAAGTTGAAATAATCTTGTGAGTGGTTAATTGTTGTTGTGGTTAAAGTACTCAAAGGAAAACTCTTTGTTCCAGGTTTTGACAGTATTGTTGGGTGCCGAAACGGAGATCGGAGTAAAAAGAATGGGTGAACTGGATGAGAAACCTTTCCTGAATGTTTGCAAACGGAGATACTCTGCAAATGAAGCTACGGTTGAAGCTGCCACCCTTTGCTCTACATGGCAAGAGAACCTCAAGAATCCATCGTGGCTTCCATTCAAACGTGAAGGAACCGGGGACAAAGTAAAGGTAGGTTCATTCATCTTACGAGTCTTTATCTCACTGAATCAATGATTTAGGTTGAGGCCATTATGACGTTTGAAAAGTGTCTGGTCTTTCTTACCCTTCCTGGGCCACTGTTTTAGGTAAATATGTAGGAGTAACCTGTGATTCTGTGAATGTTGATACTTGTATCCATATGTTATTACAACTGTTTATATGAGTTAGTAGTAATGGCATGAGACGGCTATGGTTACAGGAAGTGGTAGATGAGGAGGATGAGCAGCTGAAGAAACTTAGAAGAGAGTGGGGAGAAGAGGTGCATAACGCTGTTAAAACAGCTCTTGAGGAGATGAATGAGTATAATGCAAGTGGTCGGTACACAACTCCAGAACTGTGGAACTTCAAAGAAGGAAGAAAAGCAACACTGAAGGAAGTGATTTGTTTCATTTCAGACAACATCAAAACTCTGAAACGCAAAAGAACCTGAAGGTATGCTTAATCTTCTTCAGTTCTCCTTATAGAGCTTATATGTAATGTGGTGGTTTAAAAACTAGATACACCCCATAATCTGAAAAGAAACGTGTAAAAAGGCTTTATAAGGCGTAGGGTAAAGTCGTCAAGAAGTAGTGCAGAGTCATGACCTCGTTTGTTGACTTGAGTTAATAAAGGACTACAATTCTGATATTGTGTGATTTTTGAATCCAATGGTCTTACACTTTGGTTGCAGGATGGAGGAAGAAGAAGAAGAAGAAGAAGAAGAAGAAGAAGAAGAAGAAGAAGAAGAAGAAGAAGAAGAAGAAGAAATAACTGAGAATTGATGTTAAATAATTAGAAATGTAGAATGCTCATATGCATGCTCTCTGTATGAGAAGACTTTAAATTTCTTCCACTTGTAACTTCGAAAGATTTTGAACAGTTCAATCTAAACAATGCTTTAGTTAATAATGTTCTGGTTTATATATGTTTTAGTTTCAAATGGTCAATCTTATAGTAGTACATGAAATCCTTTGGTGGGCAGGTTTTACAGAAAATGATGATCATATAAAATTTGTGGGATTTGGCAAGTTAAAGATTATTTTGTCATGTAATAAAGTCCCTAAAGTAAATACTCTTGCAGTAAAAGAGTTTTTTTTTTTTTTTTTGGGAAGAAATTGAGAACCTTAAAAAAAAAAAGAAAAAAAAAAAACACGACCAAATTATATATTTTGGTGCAGAAAGAAAATATTTTGTGGCAAAGAGATGGATAAAAAAGAGAAGAGCGAGGGAAAACAAAATAAATTAATAAAGAGAAAAAGGTAAAATCGAAATATTATTCGTTTTATTTTGGGGGGCAGAGTCGAGAAAGTTTTTTGATTTATAAATATCTGTAAATTCCTTAATAACCTCTTCTTCTTCCCCACCTTCTCCTCCTCCTCGTCCTCCCCAGTTTCGCATCATTCTCTTCGATAAAACCACCAACTCCTCTGAAACCCTAATCTGGAGAATCGCCGCCTTCTCCAGAAAGTAAATATTTGTACACCTTCTTCGTTTGATTTCCAGGTTCGCCTCCTCCTCGTTTCTACATCTCTCCATTTGAAAATCTTCGTCTTCCCTGGGATTGATTGTTCTTCTGGTATATTTGAATTTGATTTTTGCAGATTCTGATGAAACCGGATCGGATCTTTCTCTAGATCCGTTCTAGGTTTTTTTTTTTTGTTTTCTGTTTCGCTCTTTCGTTATATCAATCACCGTATCCGGATGCTCTTGAAGCGGATTCATCAGAAATCGACAGAGAAATGTCGCAGGTTCCGAATCCAAAAGATGAAGACGATTCGATTGAAATCCGTGAGGTCTGGAACCATAACCTCGAGGAAGAGATGGCTCTGATTGAACAAGCTATCGACGATTTCCCTTTCGTCGCCATGGATACAGAGTTCCCAGGAATCGTTTGCAAGACAGTCACGGCGAATCCAAGCCCAAACCCTAAACACTACGAATACAACTACGAGACCTTGAAGACGAATGTGAATATGCTCAAGTTGATTCAGCTCGGCCTCACGTTGTCAGATGAGCGGGGAAACTTGCCAACCTGTGGGACTAACAACAAGCAATGCATCTGGCAGTTCAATTTCAGAGAATTCAATCTCAAGTCCGACATGTTCGCCATGGATTCCATCCAGCTCCTCCGTGACTCCAACATCGATTTCGAAAAAAACAACGAGTGCGGCGTCGATTCAGCACGGTTCGCGGAGCTGCTAATGGGTTCAGGAGTTGTGCTCAACGACAAGATACAGTGGGTGACGTTCCACTGCGGATACGATTTTGGATACTTGCTGAAACTCTTGTCGGGGAAAGATTTGCCGGAGGAGAAAACGGACTTCTTCGAACAGGTGACGAGCTATTTCCCGGTAGTGTACGATATCAAATACTTGATGGGATTCTGCGCCTCGCTCTATGGAGGGCTGGAGAGAGTAGCGGAGATACTTGGTGTTAAACGAGTTGGGATCTCTCACCAGGCTGGATCAGATAGCTTGTTAACGTTGCGTGCCTTCAACAAGATGAAAGACATCTTCTTCCCTGGTTCCTTGGACAGATATTCTGGTTTTTTGTATGGGTTAGATAATCCTCAGCTGCTTGCTGTTGCTGGAACCAAAAAATTAAAATAAAAAAATACAACCAACAAAAAAAAAAATTAAAACTGTTTGTGGTGTCTTTGTTTTTGCTCTGCTTCGTTAGTAGAGATGGTTAGGCTGTGTTTGGCTATGTGCGTTACAATTAGGTGTTTAGAGCGGATATCATGATGATGCACAATAATCCCTATATTAGTCAAACAAGAAGCAAGAGCCATTTAAAAGTAATTCATAATCTTATTAGGTGAATGAATTGTACAAGTAAGCTTGATTGGTATGGTGGAATGAATGATTGTCCGATTTGTATTTCAGCAATTATACCCGCTTTGTGGGATTTCGATTTTTAGATTCCGCGAAAGCTAATCACAAAATAAAATGAAAATATCACATTGTGGGAGATGCTATGCGAGGGAAGAAGCTCGGACAAAATATAATTGTCTCGAATCAAAACGACGTCGTCGATAATGCCAACTAATAGAGGCCATGTCAAGCCCAAAAAATGCAAATATTTGGGCCGTGTCCGCGACGATCCGTCAAAGCGTTATTCTGGTGAAATTAGGGTTTTTAGTAAACTCGCCATATAAATTGTTCCAAATTTCTTTCTCATCCTTTCCGCTGCTGCCGTCTTCGTCTGTTGAGGTCAGTGTGTCAGCTCCTCAAACGTTGTACAATCTTTACCGATTTTGCGTGTTTGTAATCTTGGCTACGTATTGGACTGTCGAGCTTTGTTCTTACGCCTTCGATTTTGCTCTTTTTGTTGATTTTGATTTGCTTGGTTTTTCTATTGGCAGATAACAAAGATCTTCTGTTTACCTCGGTCGTTTAAACAACATTCAAACAGACAACATGTCAGGGTAAGCTTAGTATTACCTGGTTCTTTCCTGCATTCTTAAATATTCTCTATCAGTGTTCAAAATAGCGAAACTTCTCTGATTCATCCCCTTTTCCTGAACTCGAGTTTTAACTATTTCATGCTATCTGTATTTGCATTGCTGAAGTTGATGCGTGTTCCTTTCGATTGCTTGTACGATTCTACTGTGCTGCGAATAAATGTTTTGCTGTACTTGGCCAATAAAAAAAACCTTCATTTATGTTTAACCTCTAGCTTGTCTGATTTTAATCAGATATTCTAGTCATATTTTATATGCTTTAGAAGTATTAATGCTTATCACTTGTAATCTGGATTATTATCACAATCTATTACATCAATTTGTGTTGCTCTGTCTAAATCCTGATTGTTTTTTCACTTATATTAGTGATGAGGCTGCCCCTGTTGTTCCTCCCGTTGCTGAGCCAGCGGCTATCCCAGAGGATATGGATTTGTTGACTGCATTGGAGTTGACTCTGAGGAAAGCTCGTGCTCATGGTGGTGTTGTTCGTGGTCTCCATGAGAGTGCTAAGCTTATTGAGAAGCGTGTGGCTCAGCTATGTGTCTTGGCTGAAGACTGCAACCAGCCTGATTACGTCAAGCTTGTTAAAGCTCTCTGTGCTGATCACAACATCAATTTGCTTACTGTTCCAAGTGCCAAGACCCTCGGTGAATGGGCTGGTGTAAGTTTGTTACCTATATACCATTTTTTTTGTGAAGCTCAGTTTGTTCCAAATAAATGTTATTGGTTACCAACAGCGAGCTGAATCATTGATGTTATTTTTCAGCTCTGCAAGATTGATTCTGAGGGTAATGCCAGGAAGGTTGTTGGGTGCTCATGTCTTGTTGTCAAGGTAAATATACAGTCCTTACACCTAACTTCATGTATCCCCTGTATCATCTAACTTAGAGGATTTATCTATTATCGTCCCTAGCCTTTGACTCAATGCGTATATTTGATTTCTTGTCAGGACTACGGCGAGGAGACAACCGCTCTCAATATCGTCAAGAAGCATATTGAATCTCAATAAATTTCATGAAGCATTTCTAAACTCGAATGAATTTCAGATGTTTATCATCCCAGTGCTGTTTTCTCTTGGTTTTGATATTGAATATTTAGCGGACATCTGTTGAGATTTGTTTGGAACATGTTAAAGTTTTGTTGTTATCTAGGCTCTACTCTTCCTAAGGCCAAATTTGCTTGAGCTTTTTTTTTAGTCTCACTTTCATTATCATAAAATAAATGTTTAAAAATTGCAGATAGAAAAGGTACTGAAATGTCCTAAGTAAAGGATGAAGAAAGCTTCTTATCTAATTATGATTTTTACCTTGGGTGTTTATTGGTATTTTGTTTAATAGTTACTGTGAGTGTCTAAGGGATAAATAAAGCTTTTAGAATCTATTTTCTAATTTTTTTAGTCCATTCAAAATAAAATATCTATATGATAATATTAAAGCTTAGATGCGTCTACTTTCATATTTTTTGTTCTATACGGCCGGCAATCATAAGAAGCTTTGGATTTTACGTTTTACACGAATACAAAAACACTTGTAAATTTTCAATTTTTTTGAAGTGAAAAAGCTCCGGGAGAAGGGCGGGAAGAGGTGAATCCCATCTTGCCAGCGATTAGTAGTTCTGGTAATCTGGTATTAGAGAGCAACAATTAACTAGTATAACTTAATAATCAAATTTCATAATGCAGTATGTCTCTCCCATAATTTTTTTTTGTTTTTTTTTAAATATTGTCAACACTGACAATAATCGAGTTTAAAGAGTAGCGTTTTTTGTTTTGTTTTGTTTGTTTGTTAATGAGTTAATTAAAATCATGTACGGGTACATAGAGCAGTTCTTGCATGTTCTACACCGCATTTAAAAGGCGCAAAGTGGTGTCATTTTTATTTTCCCTTTGCTCCAACCATTTGGATTTGAGGCTCCGAGAGGTCACAGTCTTTTTTTCCTTTTTTTGCTTTCGGGAATGTTTCTTTGTTTTCTAGGGTTTTGAAATCTCCAGAAGAACAAAACAAAATGGGTCCTCTTGTCGGAGCGACCGAGCTCTCCAAAGCACTCGCCGAGGCTGCCAATAATCTCGTCAAGCCTCATTCCTCAACTGATGCGACTCTCACTCTTCTCGATGTACGAATCCTTCTCTTTCTCTCTTGTCTTCCTGTTTTCTAACGCTTCCTCGACAAATGGGGTTTTTGTTGTTTTCGTTCTTGAGTTTTGTGAAATTCCTCTGTTGTGAGGGGGTTAGATTATATAGGAAACGATTAGGGTTTCTCTTTTTTTTAGTGTTCGTTAGTGATTTCGTAGCGCTTCCTGAGACATTTTTGGGATTCTATTTCATAAAGGTGAAACCTTTTAGGGTTCCATGGCTTTCAAATCCCTAGGGGAAGATTTTTTCTGCGCTTTATGTTCTATCATCTGATTTTTGAAGCTTCTATGTGTAGGAAATCGAGTCTCTGCTTGCCACTGTTGAGCAAGATCCTACTGCACCAGTACAAAATGCCCTGTTTCCGTTGATGAAGGCTATGGTATCTGCTGATCTCTTAAGAAACCCTGATTCTGATGTTAGGGTTTCTGTTGTCTCCTGCTTGACCGAAATTATGAGGATTACTGCTCCAGAGGCCCCTTATAACGATGACCAAATGAAGGTTGATATACCTTTAGTCCACAAGTTGTGTACCTTTTGGATTCCAGTCGAACTGGTCTCTTCTTTTTCCATTGCTTGTTTCAAATATTCTCTCATGAGGCATTGGCTTTGCTTATCTGGCTTGCAGGATATTTTCCAGGTGACAATAGAAGCATTTGATAAACTAGTTGATGCTTCCAGTCGCAGTTATAGGAAAGCTGAGGTCGTTCTTGAGACTGTTGCAAAGGTCAGATCATCCTTAGTTATGTTGGACTTGGAGTGCGATGATCTTGTCCTAGAAATGTTTCGACAGTTCTTGAAAATCATAAGGTAGGTATATGACCTGATTTCACAAAGCTCAATTAACTCTTAGGTACTTTATGCGAAACTGATGGTTTTTCTTTGTGCATCTGTTTAGGCCGGATCATCCTCTACTGGTGCTTCTCTCAATGGAAACGATTATGATCACAGTTATAGATGAAAGTGAAGAAGTACCCATGGATTTGCTCGAGATTCTCTTAACTTCTGTCAAGAAGGAAAGTCAGGTAAGTTTTTCCCAGTTGAGGTTATATTCTCCCAGTTTTTCAATAGACTTGAGGTTTAATTTTTCTGCTTGTCATGCCTTAGAATGTCTCACCAGCGGCTTCGACGCTTGTGGAGAAGGTTCTCAGTAGTTGCGCATGTAAGCTTCAGCCTTGCATCATGGAAGCTTTGAAGTCCACAGGGGCCAGCTTGGACATGTATTCTCCAGTAGTTTCATCAATATGCCAAAACGAATCTGCCATTACTCAAGGGCACAGTGATGTTAAGGCCAAAGAAAATGAGGTATTCGTAATGTTCTGAGCTCTTGGTTTGATTGGTAGTAGAGTAGTTGTGTGGTATAATCTTGAAGTTGCATCTGCCAGTACTTATCAAGTTTCCTCTATCTTTTTCAATTATTCAGGCAGATGAAAAAATATCAGAAGAACACGTAATTCCGAGCGATTCATTGGAGGTACTGAATTTGAAAGGCTTTTTTATTGCAAGTGTTCAGCTTTACGTTGTTTATTACTTTACCAATGTTTTTAAAATCTGTTGAATTAGGTCAAATTGAATTTGGGGATTTCTCTCAAGGGAAATAGATCAAAGAGAACTGCTAGAGGTGGAACTCGTCAGGCCAATATAGATGAAAAAGTACCAACTGAAAATGAAGGGCAGTCCGAAAGTACAGATGCAGAGACTGCATCAGGGTCTAAACGGAAGAGAGGGCGGAAACCCAATTCTCTGATGAATGCTGAGGAAGGTTATTCGTTTAAAACGTCTTCAAGCAAGAAGGTGCAGGAAAAAGAACTCGAAGATCCATCACTGGCGAAGGTGGCTGCTAAGAAAGCAACTTCACCTACTAAAGTTGGTCAAACGAATCAGTCAGTTGCTAAGACGGGGTCAAGTAAACGAAGCCGAACTAAGATGGAAGAGACAAATCATGATGTAGGTTCCTCAGCTTTACCACCATCAAAGAAACAGATTGTAAAGAAAGATAATAGGGAAGAAGAAGATTTGATGGAATCTGACCTTGAAAAGCCTGAAGATGGCGTTAAGACTGGAAGGTCAAGTAAAAAGGAGAAAACACAGAATGGTTTAGCAAAAACATCTGCAAAAAAGCCACTTGCAGACACTAAGAATGTGAAGCCCAGTGGCAAAAAATCAGACCATTTAGATGCTAAGAAAGAGACTAAAGAAAGTGCAAGCATGAAAAAATTAGTCCATTCAGATGCTAAGAAAAAGACTTCGGGAGGTGCAAGCATGAAAAAGTTGGTCCATTCAGATGCTAAGAAGAAAAATTCAGCAGGTGCAAGTGAGAATACACCTATTCCCCGATCATCAAAAAGCAAGGTAGCAAGTTTTATGAACCATGATCTTTCTTATCATTATTATAGAAATACCCTAGAGCGTCCTTTATACTTACAATGGTATAACTGCGCAGAAGAAGGATTCTCTTGCAATGACGCCATCAACCAAAAAATCTGAACAAACTCCTAAGAACCATCCCAAGAGAAAACGGACAGCAGGGGAGGATATGGTATGAAATTTGCTGCTTTCTCTGTCCATCCTAGGAGGTATTGACTTGTCACCTGTATTCATTCATATGTTATAAATTCCTCTTTTCAGGAGTCTAATACAAATGATCTTAGTGAGGGATTGGTTGGTAAGAAAGTTAGCGTCTGGTGGCCACTTGACAAGGCGTAAGTTTACTGTAAACCTTGCTTCATTTTTTTGGGGATGAAATGGTAGCAATCTTACCATTTATGTTTGCACAGATTTTACGAAGGTGTGATAGACTCCTATTCTAGTATTAAGAAGATGCATAAAGTGAGTTTACTTCTCTATTTGCTGGTTTAAATTCTCTCTTTGCTGGATAATTGCTTAATATAGAGTATTTCCACTGCTGGTCTCGTTGCAGGTGACATATTTAGATGGGGATGAAGAAGAGCTTAATCTCAAAAACGAACGATATAAGATAATCCAGGTTGATTCTTCAGCCAGTGGGAAAATTCCTTACATTGAGACTCTCTTTTTGTTCATTCTCCATTCTTTATATTCCCCAAAACATCTTATGTTCCCCTGAATTTTATTAAGCAGGAAAGTGATGATGAGTCTAAGCAGGAAAGTGATGATGAGACTATTCCTTTATCTGAACTGTAAGTGAAACTCTTAAAGTTCTGTGATAACCCAAAATTTTAACGTTAATTTAGCTTGGTATCGCTTTACCCTTGATTTTTTGCTGTTATGTGCACTTGTCCAGTATCATACAGAAGCAGAAAGCCAAGAAGAGCAAAAATGTGTCTAAGAATGTGGAACCAATTAGTTCACCAGAACTCGGGTATGAATGTTTATAATGATAATTATTATTGTTATTGGTAGGTTTTTGATCTTTTAATGAATTGGTTTACAAATATGGATATAGATCCTCTATGCAAACGACAAAGATGAAAGACTCGGTAGGAGACTCCGGTAAGCAAGCGAAAAGAACCAAAGGTGCACTTAGCAACAAATCAGAAAGCACTGAAGGGAAAAACCGTAAATCCTTGGAAGGCCTGAACGGTGATCCTGTTAAAACAAAAAGCAGGACTGGCAAAAAGCAGAAGGTGACCCGAGCTATGCACCCGGAGAGTGAAAAAGATTGTGATGATAAGGAAGACCTGAAAACTAAAGGTGAAGCCTGTCTGACATTGGGGAAAGAATCAGAGGCAGAGCCTATTGCTATGGAAGGACACCAACAGCTGCCTGAAAATCAAAATGCAGAAACCAAAACTGAGGGAGAAGAGGAAAAATCAGCAAAAGAGCCAAATGAAGAAACTGACACTGATGGAAAAGAGTGTAACTCACTGAGGGAGCCAAATGAAGATCCCAAAACTGATGGAGAAGAGCAGGAGGCAGGGAAAGAGCCAACTGGGGAAACTAAAATTGACGAGGAAGAAGAGCACAAGGTAGCAAAAGATACAAATCTAGAAATTGAAACTGACGGGGAAGAGAAAGAGTCACTGAAAGAGACACATGTAGAACCCACAACTGAGGGAGAAGAGCGAATGTCAGTGAAAGAGTCACTGAAAGAGACGCATGTAGAACCCACAACAGAGGGAGAAGAGCGAATGTCAGTGAAAGAGCCAAATGCAGAACCTGAAACCAAGGTACAAGAGAAAGAAGAGTCAGGAAAAGATCAAACTACAGGCAGAAAATTGATTGAGAAGGAGGATATGTCTGAGGCAAAGGAAGAAGAGGTCGACAAAGAAACAGAAACAAGCATGCCTGAGACTGGTAAAGTAGAAAATGAAGCTGAAGAAGATGACCAGAGAGTGATAAAGGAACTAGAAGCCGTGTCTGATAAAGGAGAAGTCAGTACAACCGTGCTTCAGGTTGATCTATGAATAAAGCATGGTTAGGTAAATGTTTAACTCTGGAAAAAAGATTGGTACTTGTTGTTTAGGTAACTTTTGTGTTGAGTGAAGCTCTGCTTGTTTAGAGACTAATGTTGCTCCTGCTAGTAGATTCTTCTGACCTATGTCTTATTATGGATCTAGTTTGATCATGTCACCTGAGTAGCAGCATATATTTATATTTATATGTTTAGAGACATGCCTATGATAAGAGTCCGAAAAGTCGCTATCAGATTAGATAATGCAAACAAATGATCATATATTCGGATGTATAGTCATTGCAGCATTTATGATATTGGACACAAAACTTTGATCATACATTACATAGAAAAGTGTTCGGATCTAGTCATATCATATCGACGAAGAAGTAACATAACATAATCTTGACATTTACACGCAAAATAAAGAAAAGAGAAAAGCACAGTAACAATAAAATAAATCTATAACAAAAGAAAAAAATATATATATCAAACCTATAATTCTCTTTCATTTCCATCCATACATCATCCAAAAATGTATCAGTATGTCTTTATCAACAATTATATTTGTAGTTATAATACCCAGGGTAAAATGATTGTAGGTATAAATTAAATATTTTGTCCAAGAATAGGAGTTTTCTCTAAGGATAATATTAAAAAGAACAAAGAAAAAAAGGTGTATAGCTCCAGATGTTTCTTCTTCCACCAACCACACTTTCTATAAAAAAATTTCTTTTAATAATTATGTTGTAGTTATAGTTTTGCTAAGATATGAATATAAAAATATATAGAAAAAAATCATATTATTTACCATTGTTAGGTGAACTTTTGGCAAATGTGTAAATAAAATTATAAAGATAACTTACCTTTTTGTTCATTTATATAAACGAAACGTAGCACAATTTGTAACTACGCATCCTCATAGCCTTTTAGAGCCTCTCTCTTCGACACCACAACAACAACAACCTTAGCTCTTTTACTATCGATCACCGGCGGGTAATATGCCAGTCGACGGAACATCACCGGCCGGGAAAACCGTTTGTGTCACCGGAGCCGGTGGATACATCGCTTCTTGGATAGTTAAGTCACTTCTTGAGAGAGGCTACACGGTCAAAGGAACCGTACGCAATCCAGGTCCATTATTTATATATACGTTTTGCTCATTATTTATATAAACCATAATACTGTAATAATCTAAAGAACTTGTTAAGGTCAGTATTTATTGACAATTGGGGATTTTTTTATATATATTTTCTTTGCAGATGATCCAAAGAATACACATTTAAGGGAACTAGAAGGAGCAAAGGAGAGACTGATTCTGTGCAAAGCAGATCTTCAAGACTATGAGGCTCTCAAGGCGGCGGTTGATGGTTGCGACGGTGTCTTCCATACGGCTTCTCCGGTCACCGACGATCCTGTAAGTATTCTTCTCTCCTTTGGCTTTTCTATATTGCACTTTCTCGGTGGCTTACTGTTACAGAGAGAAATGAATAAAAGTTAAGAAAAGGACCTTCACTAAAATTAAACAAATAATACTATTGTGGTAGTGGAGCTGATTTCATTTAATAATTAATACTATTTCTTTTGTCATTTCTTCACTAGAACCTGCCGTTATCGAATCATGAAAATGATTTAAATCTATTTAAAGATATATTGTATGATGATTATGAAAAGGTTAAAATTTCTTGCATTATTGTTCAGTGGGTATGTTAAGTATGTATGGTCAATGTTGAAAAATCCGAGAAAGTCAGTATCTTCGTTTTCTTGTAATGATGAATTTTTTTGTATGAAAGACTTCAAAAATGAAGAAAAAGATGGTTATGTGAAACGAGGTAGTGTTTAAGTAATACTATAACAATGTATAATAATAATAAATGTTCAGGAGCAAATGGTGGAGCCGGCGGTGAACGGAGCCAAGTTCGTAATCAATGCTGCGGCTGAAGCTAAGGTTAAGCGTGTGGTCATCACATCCTCTATTGGTGCTGTCTACATGGACCCGAATCGTGACCCTGACGCAGTCGTTGACGAAAGTTGTTGGAGTGATCTTGACTTCTGCAAAAACACCAAGGTCTTCTTTCTTCTTTAATCTTTTCCTTCTTGTTTTTTTTTCACTAATTAAGCCTTTCAAATTCTTTTTGGTTTTATTGTGAAAACACACACATATATATATAGATTTTTTTTAATGTTAGGTTGGGTCTACTGAGAATTTGTTTGTGTATTTGTAGAATTGGTATTGTTACGGTAAGATGGTGGCGGAACAAGCGGCTTGGGAGACAGCAAAAGAGAAAGGTGTTGACTTGGTTGTGTTGAATCCGGTTCTGGTCCTTGGACCACCGTTACAGCCAACTATTAACGCCAGTCTCTTCCACGTCCTCAAATATCTAACCGGCTCGGCTAAGACCTACGCTAACTTGACTCAAGCTTATGTGGATGTTCGCGATGTCGCGCTAGCTCATGTTCTGGTCTATGAGGCCCCTTCAGCCTCCGGACGTTATCTCCTTGCCGAGAGTGCGCTTCACCGCGGTGAAGTTGTTGAGATCCTGGCTAAGTTATTCCCGGAATATCCACTTCCAACCAAGTAAGTGAACTTTGCTCTGAGCACTTTAATATTTTCTGACTAATTAATGTCGTTTCGCAAATGCAGGGTTTTAGTTTTATTTAGAAACGAAAACCATATTAGAGAATTTAGAGCTTTTAGTTAGTCAAGTAAGTCAATTCAATGTGTGAACCTTGTAAATCTAGTATCAGCTTTTATGGCGAATAGACACATACACTTGGCTCCCATGCACAAATAACGCCTAGTCACCTCATATACATATACTACTTTTTGACTTACTCGAGTCACTGGCACTTTCTTCTGTAAACCTGAAAATAAAAGAGTAAATAATAACGCCTTGCCTTCTAATCACTATGTTAGTTAGGTCTTTGTGTAGCAATTAAGACTAGGATTGGTCTTAAGTACTATGCTTGGTAACTTACATTATTATTTCTATTATATGGCTTTGTATTATACAAATTACATACACACACGTGTCATGTTTAGTATAATAATAAGAATAAGTCGTCACCAACACTAATCAGTAAACATTTGAATACTTAAAGCTGACTATGAAGGCAATTTGACGTACGTCACTTATTGTCTTCGCTAATTTGATCGACATAGCTTTATCCTATATGATATAATTCTTTCATTATTTGCTTACCATGTGACCATTACTTTTCTCCTTTTGATCAATTCTTTCTATCTCTTTCTTTGATATAAAGCCAATGATGTCTAGCTCTGAGTTTGGTCCCAATATCCTTTTTTGATCGTTTGTGGTGAAAGTTGGTATACCCAACAACCCCCGAGGCAAAAAGTCACTCGTCACCTACCGCTGACGTGGACATTTTACAAACCATGGCATATGTTGAATTGAAAAGAACGGTAGTTGTAGCGGAGCTAGTCTTTGCTCTTTGTCTAACCTTAATTAGACAATTCAGTCGCTTTAGAGTGAATAATGTTCAACTATAAACTTATTGCTAACTAACCAAAATATATAAAAAAATAATAATAAAAGATTGTGGTAAGTATCAACGATGTTGATTTGTGTAATAATATATGTTTTCAGGTGCAAGGACGAGAAGAGCCCCAGAGCCAAACCATACAAATTCACTAACCAAAAGATTAAGGACTTGGGCTTGGAGTTCACATCCACCAAGCAAAGCCTCTACGACACTGTCAAGAGCTTGCAAGAGAAAGGTCATCTTCCTCCTCCTCCTCCTTCCCCTTCAGCATCACAAGAATCCATCGAAAACGGCATCAAGATCGGGTCTTGAAAAGCTTATTCACCACCTATAGTATCTTTAGCCATTGCTTTTGCTTTATAAAAGAAAAATACAAAAACAAAAAAGACCAGATCTTTGTTTCTTGTCTTTGGTTGTGTGAAACTTCTGTTTTAATATGTCTTGTCCTGGTTATGATGAATCTATAGACACATGCAGATCTTTAGCCAAACCGTTTGATGGATTTTGTAGACAAGGCTTCATGTTTAATCTTTGTAATAGATCAAGTCAACAACTTCATATAAATTATATCTATGTTATTAATTTTGAAGTATATCTTGTGTTCTACCCTTGAAGTTATGTTTATTTAATAAGTTATTTACAAATTTAATCCTTAAAATTTGCAATTATTACAATTTTTTAATTTTAAAAATATGTATTATACACGAGTTGTATGACGAGACCCCTTGAAGTTATGTTTATTTAATAGGTTATTTACAAATTTAATCCTTAAAAATTGCAATTATTACAATTTTTTAATTTTAAAAATATGTATTATACACGAGTTGTATGACGAGACGGATTTGGATATTACTAAAATATTAGAATATTATTTATCTTATTTCAAAACGGTTTAAAGCTTCATTATACTATTTTCTGACGAAGAATCAAACTGATTTAATTAACTTTGATATTATGCAATTTTAATAATTTTTAAACAAAATCCAGCATAACAGAAAATTTTGAGTTTAAAAATAAAAAATGTAAATTGTTTGAATATAGTGCGATAGACTAAATAAGTAAACAATGTATCTTCTATCTTAAATTATATAACTCTTCAATTCAAGTCGCCTGTAACTGTAGGTAAACGCATGTTCACAATGTCTTCTCTTGGAAGTGTTTCTGCGGTCTGAGAGTTACCAGAAGGGAGGTCTTTTATGGAGGACTCTCTGTTTTTGCGGAGAACAAGGTAACCAATGGCAGCTAAGTAAATAGCAATGCCTAAGAATCCAAGAATTCCTATGAAGACATTGGCTACAAGCTTCATGTGACCATGGAGAAGCAGCTTGATGAAGCTACTTACTAGATAGTATATGTTTATACCCATAATAAGTCCACCAATGATCCAAGTCACAGATGAAATCTACAAAATTCCCACAGGTTTAGTTAGATTTCTTTCCTTCCATCAAATGTTAATTAGGTATATATAACGAGCAGAGAAGTGAAGGTGATTATTACCAGAAGTGAATTGGCGTGTGAGCCCATTTTGGTTCTGCTGCTTGTGAATTTGAGAAGTGGGACTAAAGCAAATGGGAGTTCAAAGGATAAGATCATCTGCAAACAGATAGTAAGATGATTACTGTTAAGAATGTATACATGATTCAGGGATTGGATTTGAGTTACTGAGAGAGGGTTATACCGAGGCAATGATGATTAGCTGCCCTGCTCCAGCTGAGCCACCAATGAGGGCAACTATCAAACTTGGGATTATAGCTAAGCATCTTGTTAAGAAGTTTCTGAGCCATGGCTTTAGTTTTAAATCAAGAAACCCCTGTGGCAAAGAAGAACATGAACAAGTTTTAGACACAAGTTAGGACTTTGGAAGCCTTTATCTGGGGTTCTTGATCACACCTGCATAACGTACTGTCCAGCATATGTTCCGGTTATTGTTGAACTCTGACCGGAAGCAAGCAACGCAATGGCAAATAGCTTTGAGCTCCATTTACCCACAACGTTCTGTGAGACCAGAAGAAGAAAGCAAGAAAAGTCTAAATATCTATAATCTTGTGAAAAGTTGTGCTATAAATTGAAACCAAAACCTAATAGGATTCATGCATTTACCCTTAGCAGAAATGAAGCTTTGTTTAGATCCAAATCTTCGCAACTGGCTCGATCTTCTGGACTCAAATCTGAGGCATTACAAACTGCACCACTCACTGATATCACAGAGACGTTTATGAGAAATGCCATGCCAAGTGCTAATCCGCTTTCGATCAAGTAATACCGACAAGCTTCCTGTAAACGAGATTATGAAAATGAGCAACTTAGACAGACTCATAACGTCCATGAGAGTGCATGTATGATAGATTATTAGTTACCTTGATGCCGGTTACTGAACGAGGGATCTTTCTTGAAAGGACTAAAGCTGAGTGGAGAAAGAGATTGTGCCTGTGAAGCAAAAACAGATGAGAATTTTCGTAATTTGGGTGAGGGAAAGAGAGAAAGAGAGTTGCTTACGGCATAACCATGGCACCGAGGAGAGATATTGCTAAACCAGTTGCGCCATTACCCTTTAACTGAGGAACAAAGAGACCATAGAGGACTTCTTTTGGGTCAGGCTTTGAGTAATGAAGCTCAACAAAGAAGCACAGAGCAATGGTTAACACAAGGAACGCGATCAAGAACTCTAGCTTCCTAATCTGTAAGGACATAAAAAAAACAACCAGAATACAAATTTAAAGACTTGAAGAAAGCCACAGGAAACAGATAAGAATAAAAACCTTAACAGAGGTAAGAGTTGATACCCCATATCGTTGAAGTGCAAGAAGAATCAATGTACTAAGTCCTGTGAGAAGTACACCAATCCAAACCGGGATATTGAAAAGAATGTTTAAAGCAAATGCTGTTCCAATTACTGTATACAAAGAAAAAAACAATGATTGATTGCATTAGACAGCATTTGCTTCACAGACTAACAGAATGAGAATACTCCCATCAACATCATCACTGCAACAAAAGAAGAAAACTCATGCCTTCTGGAATGTCACAAGCGACAACAGCAATTTCAGCTACTACCCATAACATAAAGTTTGGAACTTTGGGGTATTCAGCTCTGCAATGCTCTGCTAAGTGCTTTCCTGAAATCACCATTTATTGATGTATGTAAAGACTAGAACAGAAGAAAGACTTTGTTCGGTATTTTGGATTAATTTAAACCTGTGACGACACCAAGATTTGCAGCAAGAGACTGAATCACCAAAGCTGCACAAGACGCCACCAATATGATCCAGAGTAACTAGCTCAACGTGACCAAGAAAACGATAAATCAAAATCAACAAACAAGAAGAAGTGAAGAACGTAAAGGCTAAACCAACAGATTGTGTAACGCACCTCGTACTTGTACTGAGCTCCTGCTTGGAGATCAGTCTCAACTGTAACAACAACAACAACAACAAATAATGCATAGTTTGTGTGTAATTTATGCATATTATCTATATATAAAATAAAGGTTAATCCTTACAGTTTCCAGGATCAATGTAAGCAATTGAGACAAGAAACCCAGGGCCTAAGTATGAGAAGAAGTTTTTCCAGCTCTTCTTCTGCATGTATAATAATAGTATAGAGACACTTATTAGCATTAAAACCACAAGTCACTGCATCCTTAAACGAACACTTTGAAGTCGATAAAATCTTTATCAAAATAAATGATAGACACCAATTATGATACAAGAGTAGGAGAGTAAAATGTAGAGAGACATATCAGAAACAAAAACAAAAAAATAAAAAGTGAGGGAGGCCAAAAGGAAAGAAAGAGAAACCTCAGGGACAAGAATCTGATCAGCATCAGAGTTTTTGATGAGAGGAGAACTTCCGTTGCTGCCACTGCCACCTGCTGTTGCAGCCGCCATCTCTTCTCTCTCTCTCTCTCTCTCTATCTGTTACGTTTCTCCTCTCTCTCTCTCTCTCTCTCTCTCTCTCTCTCTCTCTCTCTCTCTCTCTCTCTCTCTCTCTCTCTCTCTCTCTCTCTCACTCTCACTCACTCGTTAGTCTCTCTCTATGAAGCAAGATCAAAAGATATATGCAGAGAGATATATATGCACGTGTCTGGGTCAAATGTGAGAGGTAAGAATCTCATTGAAATTTCTTCCCTTTTTTTTTTTTTTTGGTAAATATTTCTTCCCTTTTATTAGTTTTGGTAATGAATTCTCAGTAAATTAAAAAAATATATGTTTTTTTTTTCTTTTTTTTTGGTCATGTTTCCTTTTTCAATAAATAAAATTTCAAAGCTATTATATTGGGAAAAGAATTATAATAAATAATAATATTTAATTCCTAGCCAATCTTACATACATGTGTTGATTTTTCGAAAATGTAAGGAGAAAAGAAAAACAATATTATTTACCAAAATTATGTTGATTTTTCGAAAATGTAATGGGAAAGGAATTATAATAAATAACAATATTTAATTCCTAGGCAATCTTACATACATGTGATGATTTTTCGAAAATGTAATGAGAAAAGAAAAACAAGATTATTTACCAATAAATTACCAGAATTCCATCTGATCACCACAATAAATTAAAAATTATGAACTAGAAACTCTTTAAAATATTATTTTATTTATTCAATTTGTTAAAATAGACAAGTAGGAAAAGGTGATTGAGATTAATATTTGTAAAACTAACAGTAAATGAAACTTACATTTTCTTCAAATCAGCTTAAGAAACTAGTAATAATAAATAGCAATAAGCCAAACAGTAATAGAAAAGTTCCCTACCAAAGTACAACTAGTAATAAGTAGTATTGTATCCAAAACAAACATAAAGACGAAGAAGAAGAAGAAGAAGAAGAAGAGATTTCTGAAAAAATGGGGTCAAGTGGCCAACGTAAACGGTAAAAAAAAGAAAAAGATAGAAAGATTGGGAGTCCCACAAGGAAGTAGGGGCGTGGTTATGATATATGCAAAAGTGGGATACATCACCATCCATCTTTCCCACTTTTCTTTATTTTGGTTAAGAATTAAGATTCGACGGTCAACACACGTCAACACTCTACTACTATACATACTTGTCTCTATTTGTAAATCGACACGTAAATTTATAATCTTGTTGACATATCAAAATTCAAGATTGACACCTACTTCTGTAGTCTGTGATTAGCTCTTTCGATCAAAATATATCGAGTTTTTAAGGAAATAATGGAAAGAGATGATTGTAATTTTGTACTTGGCTGCATGTTGTTGATCCACAAAAAAAAATTACTTGAGACTTTTTCATGTCACTGACCGACTAAGATGGGTTGCCTACTACCACCATAGGCTCTTTCTTCAATTTATCGTTTTTTTTTAAGGAAATAAGACTTGAGTTTCAACAAATCGATGGATCGTTTCTTGTACTGTATGTTGTTGAATTGCTGATCCACGGAATGAAAGCCAAAAAACAAATGTAATAATTGACTAATATGCCTAGTATAGATAGGCTAGGCTATGTAACACACGAAGAAAAACCATTGATTTCGATTATAGATGTCAGAAAAGCTCAAGAGAGCAAATACAGGAATATGCCAAATATGAATTCGACCTCCACAATGCACGGCTCTTATCCATCCCGAATGTTTTCTTCTTTCTTTTTTAACAACTAAGTTTTTCTCTAAACTCAATCAAAGATCAAAATTACTTTTTTTTTTTTTTTAATTAAGCACTCTACACTTAGCTATGTATTATATAGGTCAAGATAAGATGAGGTAACTTGACGAATACAGTTTCTCCTTGTCTATAGTTCAGACCAATTGGACTATATGTCTATTATATATGTAAATCATTTGGTTAAATAAAGAGTTCAAAAAACGTCTTGTAGCACGTAATCGATTCACAGTCCGGTCTAAGGATTCAATGCAGCATCCTACTATGCATAAACCGATAACCAAAACAAACATCTATACAACGCAAAAGAAAAACACTTCACGGTAACAAAATCTCAGTTGTGTCAATAAATCTTTCCAAAGCAAAGCAGAAAAAAACAACAACATGGTACTCAAATACGTTAATTAGCTTGTTTTCAGAAATTGCTCTTCTATGTCACTCGCGCTCATTCTTCTTCTTGGCCTTGGTTGTTATCGTCTCTGCCTCTACGCAACAATCTTGGTATCTAAAGCACCCTATGAGATGGTCGTTTGTGAGCCCAGCTGCTTGCATGAAGGAGTATATAACCGTTGGACTTACACTGCGAAAGCCTCTGCGTACAAGATCTTTGCTTATAAATTCAGCTTTCGATGTCTTCACAGGAACTTGGCGTTGATACCTGAATTGGCTCTGTGTAGGCTTGTTGTTTACAAAGTTCCACATGTACTTCCTAAAGGATCCGTATTCTGCTATAATCTGGATTAAGTTCAGAATTAACAGCCATAGAGATTGTTACATTTTTAAGAGATGTAATTTTTCAGTAATGTAGATCAGTAAATACGAGTATAACTAATGTTACCTTGCGCACATGACGTGAGTTATCGAGGATTGACCGTATCTTGACCTCTGATAGTAAGGAAATGGTAGCAGTGCTGCCAGGCGCAGTTAACTTTTTGTCACTCAACTCAGATACAGCTACTGGATCGAAGTCCATGAAAATTTCCCTGTTTCAAATAAGAAGCAAATTAAGCAATCTGAGAGATCAGAGCTACTACTAGCTTGGCATCAGAAGTTCAAATTCGGATTACAAAGAACTTGGTATGGTTACCTGAGTAATTGTCTTCTGGAGAGAATGTCGGTCCAGGAGAGTTCGGCTAGAGCACCGGAGAGGCATAATAACTCGAAAAGCTTCCTACAAAATTAAACCAAGTGGTAAGAGACTCTTATAATTACAGAGAGCACCTCTAAATAAAAGGAAAATAATTGAGGATGTCACATACTTGTCGTCATGTACAGGAACTCCCCATTCTTCGTCGTGGAAAGCAACATAGCACGGGTCTTTATAAGAATGAAAAACACAATATTATTAGTCGATTACAGCAGAGAAAGATATGGGATATAAGAGAGCAACAAAGCATACTAAGCGCCTCTTAGCCTGGAAACTTTCAGCTCATAAGCACAGAAGATCCAGAAACCCTGCTCGGTTTACACCAATATCACAGGATCTAATCAGGTTTCCATAGTAGCTAATCATCTTGAACAGTGAGAAGTTAAAATATCTATAAGAGAACTTCAGAAGAAGCTACTACATAAGTTATGTAACGTAACAAATTACCTACAACATGCTCACTGAACAAAGTACAGAGCAATGCAAGCATTTTGTTGACCATTGAGTTACTTCACTATCCTCATACAGAAGACGATAATTGTATCAAAATAATAATCACTAGCTCCTTGTCTCAGTCTCATTGATTCAACCAGATAACTTCATCGTATCAGATCAAAACTCAATGTAACATTAACATTCTTGCTCGTTTCTACATGTAAAGTCAAAACTCTTGCATTTTGAAATCGGTGAGATTGATAGGTGAAAATATGACTCTTACCAGCTTTAGGTGTGATCCAAGCACACCTTTTACGGCCATCAGTGAAGCAATCACCAGCACCTTTCTCCTCTTCCTTGCCAACACTCGGCTTCCTGGCAGAAGAGACAGACCCGCTTCGTCTCACAACCTTCTTACAGCTCGAAGAAGACGCCACACTCAAAGGCGATGACTCGCACGAAGACGAAGCATCAGAGGAATACGAAGCAGTCATCGAGGCACTGTTCTTTCTCAGAATCGACGAGCAAAGAGACGAGCATTGCTTCAGAGTCGTCCTTGGCGAAGCAGGAGTAGTTGGTTTCTTCGTTTTCTCATCTTTTGACTCGATGATGGACTTCTCCATCATCGGCTTCTCCAGTTTCATCCCCGGTGGTTTCCTCTGCAGCTTGTTTCCGGTTGGACCAAGAACCGATCGGAATTCTCGTTCACCGGAATCCACTGACCGGAATCGAGGAGGAACCGACATTGACCCGACTCTCACAAAAAACAAAAAAAAAGCTTTTCGATTTCACAGATCTAACACTGGAGATATCACAAGTAGAATCAAAATTGCTATTTAAACAGTCTCGGAACCAATTTCAAGAGATTATATATCGAAAGCCCTAGACTTTATAGCTACATTAGCACCCAAATGAAACTTTTTTTGGTCACCGCTAAATAACTCATTTTTAGGAATCTTCTAGCAAAACATAGCCAAGTTACTTGCTGTGTTCACGAGAAAAGTATAATTAGAAACAATGAGAAGAAACTAAAGGAACACACACACACACAAAATAATATCTAGGAACAGTGGAGAAAGAAAGAAAAAAAAAAAACCCTTTTGACTTCAGGAAAGAAAAAACCCAGAAAGCTTTTCTGATCGAGGACGAAACGAATCAAATCGAAAGAGAGAGGAGAGAGACGAGAAGAAAAGGTCGTTCACCAGTCACAGCTTACCACGTCACATTTGGTTCTTCCGCCTTTTTCTGATCTTTTGTTCCTCGACCCGACATTGAAACGGGTACTTATTGCTCGACCCGACAAATTAAAAATGTATTTAATCTGAGATTGGCTTGATTGCTTATTACTAGTGCTTACTGTAAAGTTACTTGCATAATCATTTAATTAATGCTTCTGCAATTAGGAATGTCTTGCTCGTGCGTATTATCAATCAACCCATGTCAAGACAAAAGTTTTAATTAATCAAACAGAGAATAATTTATTTTTCAAATCTGCCATAACCAAAAAATATATTAAAATGACAATTTTCTTCTTCTACGGTCGGGAAATAGCCACAAAAGGGACCCACTTATCCGAAGTTTCTAAAAGACAACTCTTTTCTTTCACAAACATTTAAAAATCCAAACTTTTTTCTTTCGTTGGCTCAAAAGACCTCTCTCTCTCTCTCTCTGTTATGGCTTCTTCACTTCCTCTATTACCCAAACCCATTTCACCATTCTTCAATACGCCGCCGTTTCCCACCACCACCAAACCACTCGTCTTCCTCAACTTTCAAACTCGGCCTACTTCGAGATCCTCCGATGTCTCCGTCAATCTCAAGAAGAAGAAGAACGAATGGCTCGACCCGTTTGACAGCGGTGAAGACCCGGACAACGAATACGGGTCCTTATTCGTCGACGGCAAGCAAGACGAGGATCCACGACCACCGGATAATCCTGATAACCCTTATGGTTTCTTGAAGTTTCCCAAGGGTTACACCGTCGAGCTCGCTTCTTTGCCGTTGAAAATCAGGGGAGATGTTCGACGATGTTGCTGCGTTATCTCCGGTGGCGTTTACGAGAATTTACTCTTTTTCCCGACTATTCAGCTAATCAAAGACAGGTAACAGTGAACTAACTCTTTCTCCAATTTGACCTTTTCGAAGCCTTAAGTTGTAATGCAGAGCATTGTCCGTACGTTTCATGTTGTTTTTGTAAGGTATCCTGGTGTTCAGGTCGATGTCCTAACGACTGACAGGGGAAAACAAACATACGAGTTAAACAAAAACGTGAGATGGGCAAATGTGTATGATCCAGATGATCATTGGCCTGAACCAGCTGAATACACAGACATGATCGGAATTCTCAAAGTTTGTAACTTTACAATTTTTCCAACCTTTGTTTTATCTTTTCCGTTATCAGACTAGTTAATTAACTTTTCTTGAAGTCATGTTTCAGGGAAGGTACTATGACATGATTCTGTCCACGAAGCTCGCAGGGTTAGGCCACGCAGCGTTCTTGTTCATGACTACGGCTCGAGACAGAGTTAGTTATATTTACCCGAATGTTAACTCTGCTGGAGCTGGTCTAATGCTGTCTGAAACTTTTACAGCAGAGAATACCAACCTTTCAGAATTAGGTTATAGCATGTGAGTTCCTTGAAACCAACGTAATTGCATATTTTCTTTCAACAGTCTAAACTGACTATTGATGGTTTCAGGTATGATCAGATGGAAGATTGGTTAGGAAGACCTTTTAGGAGTGTTCCAAGGACTCCTGTGCTGCCACTCAGGGTATCGATTTCGCGGAGACTGAAAGAGGTCGTGGCTGAGAAGTATAGGAACGCCGGAGCAGCGACAGGGAAGTTTATAGTAATTCATGGGATTGAGTCAGATTCAAAGGCATCAATGCAATCAAAAGGAGATAGTGATAGTTTACTTTCACTTGAAAAATGGGCTAAGATTATTAAGGGTATAAGGTAGGTAACTAACTATACACCCTCAAAATGTAAGATTGAAATTTTCTCTGAGGTATGATTCTGAAAACTTGCCAGGGGATTCAAGCCGGTCTTTGTGATTCCACATGAGAAAGAGAGAGAAAACGTTGAAGATTTTGTGGGTGATGATACGTCTATGGTGTTCATCACAACACCAGGACAGGTATGCATGCAGATTTGTCTGTATTTATTATGAATTAAGTTGAACAGACTGATCTTACTATTCTTTTTCTTGATGTTACTTAGTTGGCTGCTCTGATAAACGACTCTGCTGGAGTTATTGCTACAAACACAGCTGCGATCCAACTAGCTAATGCACGAGACAAACCCAGGTGAAACTATCTAAATTAAGATAAAATTGAGTGATCAACGTTTTCAAGAATTGACAAGTGTGTGCGCTTCTTTTTCTTCCAGTATTGGGTTGTTCTCTTCAGAAGAGAAAGCAAAGCTCTTTGTACCATACGCAGAAGAGAAGAACAGCTGTGTAATTGTTTCTTCGAAGACCGGAAAGCTAGCAGATATCGACATAGGAACTGTTAAAAATGCAATGCAAGTCTTTGAAGGATCATTGGCTCTCGTGTAAATAATCTTACAGTTTCTGAAACAAGTTATTTATATAGCATTTATGTGTATAAATCAATTATATTGTCTCTGTTCTGACGTTGACCTCTCTGCACAAGTATTGGATTACTCGGCACCAAAATCAGGTTCCGGAGGCTTTTGTAGACTCAGCAAGTTCGTTGAACTCTCTGAGCTCCTTAGTCTGTGCCCTTTCAATGCATTAGCAGCAAATCTTGATGCCAAGATAGTTGAACGTAGCCTAGAAGAAGACTCAGTTCTAGTGATGACCATAGGCCTTTTGTCGCTTTCTTCATCATAGTCATCTTCATAACCCATTTCTTCTCCTTCTTCTTCAATGCGTCTCAATTCAGCGATTTTCCTTCTAGAATAACGACGCCAAGCAGCTTGGATGAAGCAAGAAGCCCAAGTTCTCCATTGCTGCGAATAAAACCTAAACGTTTGTTGAACCTGTCGACTATGGAGTCTCCTAAACTGACTAGCTACAAACTTCAGCTCTTCAGCTTCAAGAGCGAAAGCCTCTACTTCAGTCAGAGCCTTCACAGTTCTTGTGGAAGAAGGTAAGTTGGAGCCTGCTTTAGGGTCAAGTGCCCATGTCAGCAGCTCTTCACCACAAAAGTCTCCTTCTTTCAATAACCCTCTATTGAAGAAACCACTTCTTCCTCCATCTGTTGTTACACTCTCTAACCGACCTCGGATTATGAACATCATTTCGTTAACCGGGTCTCCTTCACGCACAATGTATGTGCTTTCTGTGTATAAAGTCGGCTTTAATCTCTCACAGATCGCGTCAAGTAATCTTTCATCCATATTAGCAAACAGAGGAACCTGCAGAAACAGAACACAGAATTAATTAGTTAGTTAGTATCTTAAGCAATTTTAGGCTTAGCATTCTGATTCTAAAAACCTTACCCTTCTAACTAAATTCAGACAGAGATGGCGTTTGATGTCTCTCCTGAGATCCTTGGGTAAACTCTGGACTATGTTTTCTTCGTCGACACCTCTTGTCTCTAACCATTTGTATTGATCATAGCGTCTGACTCTTTCCCTCAGATTTTGTGGAAGTGACCTGTGATGCATCCACTGTTCGGAGTCACGTCTTTTGATCCTCATTTCCTCGAGACGAACAGTAAGTGACTGAAGATAAGTCTGCATATTCCCGATTAGAAGCGCGAAAAGAAGAAGCCCAGCTATTGCAATCGCAATAGAAAACAAAACCTCTCCGGGAAATGTACTAGTTTGCAGCCCTTGACCTAACGTGCTGTTCAAGAAGATACCAAATATATCAAAATTACTGCCTAAGCTAACGGTTGATTGATCGTTTTCAGCACCTTACCTGAGATTTTGAAGACCCCACCAAAGACAATAACAGAACTTGGAGAAAAACGATGTTGATGATACAATGCCTGAAGATATAGCTTGACCGTATATCCCATAGTTAAACTTTGAATCATCTTGTTTAGCAGAACAATTGCTTTTGAGAAGCTCAGGGACAGTTTTGATCCATTCATTTTCACGACTGCTCACAAATTTACTCCCACAATACAGAATTTGAACACAGAGTCGCGGATCTGGCTGGACTTTACAAGCAAATCTCCAACAAGTATCGTTACGTTCCACTGACAACATGTACCAAAACGCTCCAGTAATCTGCAAAAACAAAGGTAGTGTATCAATAAGAAATGACACAAGCATAAATAAATGTCTCAAAACTTAATGAAGAAGAGTCATGCAGTCATACATATATAGAGAGAAAGAGACTTACGTGGCTTGCAAGCATATACCAGAGGAGATAATAAGCAGCACCAGCCCAAGCTCCTTCAGCAAAAGCTCCTGCAGTTTTCTTCAGTTCTGATGTTAACGGTATAAACCTAACGAATCTCGGAATATATTGCACGATCACAATGTTCAATAGTGCTGTTTTCGTGGGTAACACATCTGATCCCTTCGACCCGTGAAGAAACTTCCACACCGCAATCTGTAATATCCACGCAAAACATTATAACCAATCCTAAGAAAACACAAGTAACCATCAGATTATATTTTTTTGGTAAACTCTGTTTTACCTGAGGTAAAGGAAACACAGCAAGGAAATCAACGATGAAATAACGGGTTAAGTAGCGTTCAGCGATCTTTGCAGGATCAATCACAAGCTCACCACGACCAAAGACACGAGAAGAAGGAGCTATATAAGCTGTACGAAACTGAAGAGCCATTCGAGTCAAGTAGAAAACGTCAACGATGGTTCTAAGAGTCGTGGTTGCAACAGCTAGTTTCGTGTCAATCCCTATACAGCTGCTTCCGGAATTATCGACAACGGGAAGATAGAAGAACAATGGGTCAACCGAGACAGCTAGAATACAAGAAATGACGAACAATCTGTTCCATATGAGAAGTGTCTTGTCTTGTGGGTCGAATATTTTCTTCTCTGTTATCCTCAAATCTTCTGGAAAAACCGCTCTCGTTACGGATTTACCGATGGTTATTAGACCTTCCGATCCGATTTTTTTGACTCCTTCCCTGAAAGATTTGGATACTTTCTTCTTTTCTCCTCCTCGATTCTTTAGGTTAAATCCTAAACAATTCGTCTTCATCATCATTCCAGTCGCAGGAGAAGAAGTTGAATCTATATCATCTAACCTGTGAATTCAATGTTAAAAACGTACGTCATATTCATAGATCTAACGAAAACAAAGAAAAATAGCATTGGAAAATTACCTAACGAATTTTTCTCTCTGGCCGCTTATGTATTGTGATTTGTACATTTTTTGTTCTGAGAAACAATCATACGCTTAGCCTAGCTAGATAATATCACCACAGATCTCGAGAGAGCCGATTAAAGAGATCATCAAAAGATTAAAAGAGTGACTCGTAACAAATGTGAAGTTGGTTGATTAATCATTACCTACATACTCACCATGTTTTGATGAGGAGCGTATTTACCGCGTATTTTTGACGAGGCGCCAAGAGTTATTATAGCTCCCTTGTAATTTTGGCTGAAATTGTAATCGAATAAAGTTATAACGGTTTTACACTAATATATAACAAAATAAGGGGTTCGAAATGTCATTATGAGAAAGAGAAAGTTTGTTGTTGGGGCCTTAATTTAAGGCCCATATATATATGTTACTAAAGACCTTCTACAGCCCAACAGGTGTACTTTGACTTTAATTATGTGATTGATAAACCCTGTGGACCGGACGGAAGGAAAAAGTAATTAGAGAGAAGAGATCTGAAATGGGAAATGAGACGAAGACCAACGGCGGTGCGGCGAGTATGGGCGGAGGCGGAGGATTCAGAGCGAAAATGGAACATTACGTTTACAGCGGTGAGAAGAAGCACGTCATGGTAGGGATCGGAATCGTCACTCTCATCTTCGGAGTTCCTTGGTATTTGATGACTCAAGGTCCCATCTCTATCTCTCTTTCTCATCGTTTAATCATTTCATTTGTATATATGAAGTCGAATCAGTTCTTATAGATTCTGGGTTCGGAAGAAGATGATATATAAATCATATAGGCTTGGCTGCTAGCCTAAATTCACTTACTCTTCTGATTTTACTTGTTGCAAATTGAGAAATATTATGTGATACCTGGATAAACTGAAAAAAATGGATTTCTCAGTATTTCTGAAAATGGATCACATTGGTTTACTCTGTATATACTAAATGCTTGAGCTTCTTTGGTTTCTTTCAGGGTCAAAGCATCAGTCTCACCAAGATTACATGGACAAGGCTGATAAAGCTCGAAAAGCACGTCTTTCTTCGTCTCCTTCATCTAACAAGTAGTCTGTCTTAAGGGTCGAGTCACAATTCTACACAAGTTAAGAACTCAGTCAAAGTCTTGAGGTTTTGTGGTTTAGATACCAAGCCATTCTCATTTTCATGAATGTTTGAGGTACCATGTTTGGTTATCACATTTGGATTCTAATAAGAAGATCAAAGATTGTATCACATTTGGATTCACAACATCTATGATTAAAAATTGCTGAATAATTCCATCGTGAAAAGGAAACAAATCGTTAATTTGTGACCAACATAACAAATAGAAGCTTTATGTCTACTTTCTGGGTGGCACCTTCATGTCTCTCTCTCTCTCTCTCTCTCTCTCTCTCACTCTCTTTATAGAGGCATCAGTCTTCTATACTTGAAGAACCAGACGAATGCAGAAAAAATAACAAAGCCACATACTCCAGTTATTATGAGTACCCATCTGAATGCACCTGGCTGGTTGAAGAAGTCTATCTCAAAGTTCATCCCAAAGATCCCAGCAACCACCCCAAATATGGCCACAACAAATGTTGCAGTCGTCAGGAGCAACTCAAATTGGATCAGCTGATTCCGCACATTATCCTGCACAAATTGAATACTTTTTCAGCAGGCTCTTATGGTTTCTCAAACTAGATGTGGAACATGGAAAAGTTTTTATACTGTATGTTGAGGTATTACCAGTTGAATGTTAATGAAATCTTCAGTGTCATCAATATACTCCTTTAACTGTCAAGTAAAGAGTTTGATACTGATTATTAAAGCTTCATAACAAAGAAAGACGGAAAGTGAAAAAGAGAGGAGGCATTAAAGTACCGATGTCAACTTGTTGAGAGTGCTATCAATGACGACAAAGTAAGCTTCCAGCAACATCTCTAGTTCTTCTATGTTCTCCTGGACGCCTTCTGAACTCCTTGAACTGTCATGCCGGCTCCTCGCAATGCTCAAGCTTTTATCAAGTCTTCGGGAATCAGGTGGAGAAGAAACAGGAGAGACTGGTGCAGAAACAGACAGACCATCATTTGACCTGTAACCCAATACGGATTGGTCACCGTACAAAGATCCTTCCATTCTCTTCTTCTTCTCTGTTAGATACATTTCTGCCATATCTCCATCATCATCCATTAGCTGCTCGATCTCATCCCGAACTTTCTGAACTCTTCTTGTCAGTGCTACAAGCCTGCTCTTTAATCTACGTACACGCTCCAAGTTTAGTGTACTGATCTTTGAGGTAAGCTCATCTAATAATGGGTATGCCTCAATCTCCAACTCTGAAGCCTATTCAAAGAAAGATCAAATCTAATCAACTTAGTGTGTAGAGGTCAAAATCAATCCCAGCATCAGTCTGTTTTTTTTTCTAAGAGAGAAACAAAATCTAAGCTAAACTCTGTTACTAACCTGGGAATCGAGAAAGGTACAAGCAGCTTCAAGGGCTATTTCAAGAGCTCTAAACTCGAAAGGTAAATAATCAGGGGATGAATTCTCAAAAGCATTGTCAAAACTCCTGCTCCTCCTCCTACTCAACTGTGAATTCTCCTGCTGCCACATCTCACCTACAGCACTAGTCTTTAGTCTCTGCTGCAACTCAACAACATACCGCAGAACGTAGTTGTCAAGAGAATTCAGGAGCAGAACTTCATCTGCAGTGATAATACAACGAATTTGCTCTAAGTTGACGACAATAGCCTTTTCTCGGCCAAGGATAGTTGAGGGATACACAAATAAGGGATCAAGCAGCCTCAAATCACGGGCAGGTAAGTCACATCTGCGCATCATAGTGAACTTGTCGACCTCCATGACCTGAGTATTGCCAGAAGTATCAACACGAATCCAAGAGCGTAGGCCTTGTCCACGCTTCTTCAGACCCAAGACATCAACTCCGAGAAGGGGGGCTCTTCCAGAAGCAGAAGGGCGAGACACAGCAGTATCTCTGAGGTTCATAGCTGAAGCAGGTCTTGGAGGAAGCAGGCGCTCTTTCAGTTCAGACATTGTTGAAAATTCAAAAACTGAAATGCCAAATAATAATACATATCAACATAAACAACAACGGAAAAGTAGATACTTAGCTTCAGATACCGAATAGCAAAATAACCAGAAACACTGCAAGCATCAAAATAACAAGAATTTCCTCAATGAATCTGGATACTCAAGAAGATTATGCAGTTTCGTGCTCAACTAGTTTTTTAGATCTTGAGACTAGGCTATTGGGAGCAGATTAAGAACGTAAACCACAGACCAAAGGCTACTAAGAAAACGAAACAGAAAAATTACAGGACGTTATTCAAAAATCACAACATAGGCTTAAAGGAGAAAATACCAGTTAAATCAAGGGTGATGTCGTCGTCGTTCTTACTCTATCCAAGCCAACTGTAACCAGAAAATAAATAATCTCAGATTCCGATAAAAAGTGACCAAGGAAAAAAAAATAAAAAAATTTCGAAACTCAGAACCAAACGAACCACAAAGCCATACCAGAGTTAAAAACGCCGTAATATCCAACCAGCCACCGGATCAAACAGCTGCAGATTGGAAATAAAACGAACCCAAAATCATACCAATCGGTAAGAACAAAAAAAGAAGAAGAAAAAAAACCTAGCATATGTATCTGAATTTACCTCTGACACGGAGATTTGTTTCATCACTCGAGCTAAACTGTGAAAACTAGATACAGAGACTCATGAACCAAAAGAAGACGACTTTATAAATAAAATAAAAAAACCCTAAACAGATCGATCGAAGGATCTCGTGAGAAACACCGAATGGCTCGTCGGATATTGTTTTTCTCCAATATACCTTTTTTATGTCTGAAACATTAGAGCGATGGAGACAAGACCAATACACACGCAAAAGCTTTTCTATTAGTCGTGAGTAGTGGTGGTGAATACGAGAACTACTCCCTCGTCCCACCACTTGAGGGTTAACCGGAATGCTAACCGACCGACTTATACAGTTTATTCACCGGTTACCACTAACTTCCCCAGTACATTTGTATAATATAAAATCTACTTTAGATCATTTATCATTATCTCTCCCAATATATTTAATGTTTAATTATTAACCGAGTAAAAGACCAAAGATGACGTAAGCTGTGGAGAATCTAGAATTATTCGGTTACCCGTTTCAGATATTGACCCGATTCTCTGATGATCCGACCCGGTTTCCTCCGCGAAATTTTTCAGTGGCGGGTAGCTGTCCACCTGCTCTTCTTCTTCCTTGATCCTTGTCGTAAATTTTCTACTGAAATCAGCTCAATCGGTCCCATTCCTAGCCCTTTATCGAGTTTGGGTTTTGAAAATTTGAGCTTTCCACCAATCTGAAGTTGAGTAATTGTTGTGGTTCGTGAATCTGTCCCCCATCGTTGAAACTATTGCCTCTCCGCGAAGACTGGTTTACTCATTGGAGTTCCCCTCTTTGAATTCGTCCTCAAGGTAGTAAATTTCCAAATTTCCTCTTCTTATCCGCTTTTATTACTTCTCAGAGAGCCCCAAAATAGTAACTTTTCTCTTCTTGATAGATGGGTTCTTGGGTCTTCCTATTAGGAACCTTGTTTTCGGTTTGAGTGCCGTGAGTTGAATCACCAATGCGGCCTTGAAAACCTCAAGTTACTTTGGGATTTTGTAGTAGAGTATGTATATACCAGAAACAACCAGTTTTAACATGCTTGATTTCTGAAGCGTTCCTGGCATTGTATGTCAGGGTGTTTATGACCTCGTAGAAGCTACCGGAAATGGTGTCCGTGAGTTCTGCTGATGAAAGCCTTCGACTTTGCGTGTTTGATTTGAGGAGAGGTCAAACCGAAGGACAAGAGCTAGACAAGATTTTGTTCTTTTATCCTCCCGAGTTAGACTTATCCACGCAGTTATCAGTTACAGGGCTCAGTGAAGGGCTTATTACTTTTACTAGGTTAGCTACCGCTGATTCTTCTTCCCTTTTACTGTGAAATGTGTTTTTTTTTTCAATACTGGTGGTGTTCGAGATATGGTTGCATTTGTCATTTTTTTTATGAGATTAATCATTGATTGAATGATGGATAGATCAAGCTCCTTAATCAATAGTCTGTGTGAATTTTGTTCATATTTTGAGGCTTGGTGTGACTATAAATGTAGACTTTTCTCTCCGGAGGCAGCTTGTGAGGTAATAGAAGCAGAAAGACATTCCCATATCTTCTATGAGGCTGAATCCGATATCTGGATGGTTATGGTAACACATTTTCTTACTTTTGCCTTACCTTTACTTGTTTTAGCACATAATTATCTTTTTATGAACGATGCACCGGATGTTGTCTTAGTAATGTCAATGAACAAGATCTGATCTAGACATTGGCAGGTTGTGGAGAAAAATAAAGAGACTGGGGCAATATGGAGGATTGATGCATTGAGGAGGGTGCTTAAGGAAGTGCACTCACTCTTTGTGATGTTTCACGGGTCAATTAGGGCATTAATCCAAAAAGAACCAACAGGAGAACTTACCCGATCACAGTTATACCCCTTCATCTCGGATTATTTAAGCAGTACGTGATTCTCACATAATTTAGCACATAGAATTTCCAGTGTTTTCTTTTTCCTTCTGTTTCCAGCTTCAATACATTTTATGTCGCTAATTGTCAGCATTTGAAAAGCTGTCTCGCTCGGAATGCTGCTGCTGTGGTAAAATGCTGAAGTTGCTGTGTCGAATGCCTTCCTTTGGATTTGTGCAAAACCGCATTATGCTCAAGTTGGTTCGTGTGTAATAGCTTATGCAAAGGTTTTCTTTTTCCGGCAGATCTTTTTGTTGGGAAGAAACTTCAGCTACCAACTTTCCGTGAAACTTTGAGAGAGCGTGGAACTGTTCAGATGCTTACTTTAGCAAGGGACACCGCACTTGAAGTTCAGGTTTATTTCTCCAAATTATTTGGACTAATTTATTACACACATAATATTTTGGTATGTGACAAGCATTTTTTGGATATACAGTCTCTTGTTCAAGTACTAGATTCATGTGCTGGAAGCTTTAGATGCCACTCTATGATCTTATTTGAAGATCTGTTGGTTTCAACAACTGTCCCAGCTGATGATACCGTCAACTTATTTACATTTGCTGTAATGAGGTTGACCTCAAAAGCTTTATCTTCTGATGGGAGTTCGTGGTCATATGTACGGAAGGGGCCTGGTGTATCTGAAATCTCTTATAAATCTACTTTGGCACCCTTTGGCTCAATTGATTCCCTACCCTCAGGAAATGGTAATAACATGCATCATGTTATTAGGCCACTACAGGATGATAAGTGGAAAAAAGGGAAAGATGGTTTTTTAATAACCGATATTTGGGGTCTAGAGACTGGCGGTTCCCCTGATTCGGCCATCCCTACAATATGGCTTCAGCAAACACAAGAAAGAGTGTATCTCCTTGCTTATCAATATAAAAGTCTCACCTTACTTCTTCTCATGCCTATAAATGCCATTGTCAATGGAGATCTAAACGTCTCAGCCGTGAAACAAAAAGTTATTGAAGATGTTAGCACATCACCCATCGATTTTTCATGGTGAATATCGTTTGTGGGTGTCTTCTAATATATACCCAATATCTCTTTTCCAGGCATCACTGAGAATTTGGAAAATTGAAGAGAAGATTTCAAAAGGGTGGGTCGGTAAAAATGCTTACCATATTAAAGGATATCGTTACTTAGTAGTTGATAATGACATGGAAGTTTCCAGAGCGTCTCCTACAGGAAAAGTAGCAACGCTTGCAAAGGTAACGTCTTTCAGTTTTTATGGTTTACTAGCTGAATACTACCACCTTGGACTCAAAAGTGTGTGAATTCTGAAAACACAGGAGTCTCTACTTGCACTAAACAAGCTTAGAGAAGAAGTGGATTTAGAAAAAAACCGTGTGAAAAGGCAGGAGAAAGACATCGAAATATGCATCAGAGCTAAGAACAACGCATGGGTGATTGCCCGTCTGACCAGAGGCAAAGAGCTTTATATGGCTTTGGAGAAAGGCAGCAACACTCTTCTTGAAACCACAGATACTGTTGGAAGATTCAGCAACAGGTATTGCTACTTACCAACCAAATACTCTGCCTTGGAAACAAATTCATGACTTTTCTGACAAAAAGTGCTGGGACTGAATCAGGTATTGCAGCGGAGCATTCTTGATGGACTAAGTTTTGTGTTCTTTCTTCTTTAGTTTTGGGAAGAGGTTCCTTTTAGTTTCATGTAGTAAGCGAACAATAGCTCAGAAGAAGTAATGAGTCCTCTCTCAGCCATTAATTTTGTTGTGGGAAGTTAATTGTGTTCTTGGTTGGCCTGTAGGTATGTAATAATGATTCCACTTTCGATCAGTGTGCAAACAAAATTTTTTTGTTTTTTGCGTAGGAAAGCATCTTTTTCGTGGTTCTTTATTCTCGGTTTGGTTGGATGTACCCACTCCTAACTATTAGTACTATACAAGTGTTACTCCATTTTCTTTCCAATAGATTTTTCAAAAGTTTACAATATTTAGTACATATGTTCACTCTCAGGTTAAGACATTTGTTTAGGCACAACAGAATCTTATTGACATGTCGAAAGAAGGTAATGAAAACATTATAAAACCAGTGAATAGAACGGATGCAGCGGAGAAGAACAACGCTGGCCGATGGTCCAGGGTGGCATTACCTTTTTTTGGAGATGCTTTCCGCCCTCCGCCTCTTCCACCTGCAACTCCATGACTTCCTTTCCCTGCCCGAAAGATGTCAATGCTTTTGTCATCTTCTTCTCCTTTTATGTCTTTGATTGTAACTTCTTCTATAAAAAGGACAAACACGAGTTAGTGATGCTTATCTTCTCTGGTCATATTAATATAAGAGAAACAATTTCTGCTTAAAACAGAACACCATGGGCTTGTTCTTGGATGAGTAAGCTCGTGGATGGATTGACTTTCTGGGAATCTGATGAGAAGGGGAAGCAGAGAAAGAAGAGGAAAAGGAATAACAATGCAACAGATCCTCTCTCCATTGCTTGTCTGAGCTTTGTGGATTTGAGATGTGACTGTTATGAAGATAGAATGTGTATATATATATATATATCTGTGGGTGGGGCCAAGACAGAACATGTTCTGAAGTGACAAGTTAGGGATCAAACATTCTTTCCTTCTGACACAGAAAGTTCAAAATTCTCTGTTCTGACTCTTCCTTTATCAGGACAAAGACAAATCCAACAAGCAAAGGAAATCTATTGTTATCAACACACTTCCTTAAGCATATGTGTTAGATGAGAAGTCTCAATGAACATATTCATAGAGAACATATTTATAGAGAGTTGTGTTTGTGCAACAAATACTGCACAAATTTCATGTAGAACTGTCAATGGAACAGTAGCCACACTCTTGAGAAAAGAAAACTTTCTTTATTACTCGAAATACAGAAACGTGTATAGCATACAACTAAATTACTTTCAGTGGTCTATCTAGCAGCACACCTATGAACACTCTTAAAACTCTCAGATAATAGTACAATACAAAGAAAGACTCCAATGGCGCATAACCACTTATTGCACTCTGCACTCTGCACTCTGCACTCTGCATACGTTCTAGTCCACCTCTTCGATCTTTGGACCTCCAGCACCACTGGAACCACCAAAGCCACCATCTGTTGGCATGCCCCCTGTGGGACCTCCGGCACCAGCACTACCCTGATACATTTTTGAGATGATTGGGTTGCAAATACCCTCTAGCTCTTTCAACTTATACTCGAACTCATCAACTTCTGCCAGCTGGTTTCCTTCAATCCATTCGATTGTCTCATCGATTGCCTTCTCTATCTTCTGCTTATCCTCTTGCTCTAGCTTCTGGGCGAGCTTCTCATCCTTAATAGTGTTTCTCATGTTGTAGGCATAGTTCTCCAGTGAGTTCTTGGCCTCGACCTTCTTCTTCACTTGCTCATCCTCAGCCTTATACTTCTCAGCGTCTTGCACCATCTTCTCAATCTCCTCTTTACTCAACCTTCCTTTATCGTTCGTGATTGTGATCTGGTTCTTTACACCAGCGGTTTTGTCCTCCGCCGACACATTTAAGATCCCATTTGCATCGATGTCAAAGCAAACATTGATTTGAGGAACTCCACGTGGGGCAGGAGGAATGCCCTTGAGCTCAAAGGTACCAAGAAGGTTGTTGTCTTTGGTCCTTGCCCGTTCCCCTTCAAAGACTTGGATCAGAACGCCTGGCTGATTGTCCGAATACGTGGAGAACACTTGCTCCTTCTTACAAGGAACCGTGGTGTTCCTCGGAATTAACACAGTCATCACCCCACCTGCTGTCTCAATTCCAAGGCTTAGCGGTGCAACATCAAGAAGCAAGAGATCTTGAACCTTGTCGCTTCCTTCACCAGTCAGGATAGCAGCCTGAACCGCAGCTCCATAAGCAACGGCTTCATCAGGGTTAATGCTCTTGCATAGCTCCTTCCCGTTAAAGAAGTCTTGCAAAAGCTGTTGAATTTTCGGAATCCTTGTAGATCCTCCGACAAGAACCACCTCGTGCACACGGGCCTTGTCAAGCTTGGCGTCTTTAAGAACTTTCTCCACAGGATCCATACATTTCCTGAACAAATCCATGTTCATCTCCTCAAACCTGGCACGTGAGATGGTCGCATAGAAGTCGATACCCTCATGCAGAGAATCAATCTCAATAGTTGTCTGGGCTGTGGAAGAAAGCGTTCTCTTTGCCCTCTCACAAGCCGTCCTCAACCTCCTAAGAGCCCTCGCATTCCCAGCAATATCCTTCTTGTGTTTCCTCCTGAACTCCGCAGCGAAATGGTTCACGAGTCTGTTGTCAAAGTCTTCACCTCCAAGATGAGTATCTCCAGCGGTGGCTTTCACTTCAAAAACGCCTTCTTCAATCGTCAAGAGCGAAACATCAAAGGTTCCACCCCCGAGATCGAAAATCAAAACGTTCCTCTCACCAGTCTTCGTGCCCTTCTTATCCAGACCGTAAGCTATAGCTGCTGCAGTCGGTTCATTGATAATCCGCAGTACATTAAGCCCAGAGATAGCTCCGGCGTCCTTGGTAGCCTGTCTCTGTGAGTCGTTGAAGTAAGCAGGAACAGTCACAACAGCGTTATTAACAGCGTGACCAAGGAAAGACTCAGCGACTTCCCTCATCTTCACCAACACCATGGAAGATATCTCCTCAGGAGAAAACTGCTTCTCTTCGTTCTTGTACGAGACGACAATCATCGGCTTGTCTCCAGGACCGGAAACAACCTTGAACGGCCAGTGTCGCATATCACTCTGTACAGAAGGATCAGTGAATCTCCTTCCGATGAGACGTTTCGCATCGAAGACAGTGTTCTGAGGGTTCAACGCAACTTGATTCTTCGCCGCGTCTCCGATCATCCGCTCGGTGTCAGTGAATGCGACGTACGACGGTGTCGTGCGGTTCCCCTGATCGTTAGGGATGATCTCCACACGGTCGTTCATCCAAACTCCGACACAGCTGTATGTAGTGCCGAGATCGATGCCAATAGCTTTATCTGATTTAGTCGCCATTGTTTGCTAAAAATAAGCTTCAGTAAAATTGAAGATTTCGCTGAATTAGAAAAGGTAGGTTTTTATCGACCTCTTTGATGTGTAATTGTTTGTTTATCTGCTTGATGAAGAATTCGAACCGGTGGAAGCAGCTATATATATGAACCCGAGGAGAGAAACGAGACATTTCGAGAGAAAAGCTCCCACGGGAATGTGGAAAGATGGGGAAGTCCCGCTAATCTACCAGAGACTTCTGGATTCGCCGGCACATACATACATAATTAACTCCGGCCACCGCTTACCAAAAAAATCCGTGGGCCTATTAAAGCCCATTAATGTAAGGGTCATATATAGAATAAAAGCCCAAAATTTTTCTGCGTCTTCTTTACTCGTTCCCGATTTCGAAAGACCCCGGAAGAGAAAGCTATGAAAGAAGCGATGAAGAGGAAGAAGCCAGGTGTGTCGATATCAGCTTCGGGGGCTTTTCTTGTTTATTTGATAACTGGTTTGTTTCTGGCCGTCGGGTTCTGGGTGGTCCGTGAAAAGTACTCCGTCGATCTCGTTTCGGATCCATCTCTCACTCTGCGTCTCCTATGGGTACTAAAACTATATTTTACAACCTGGTTATTAAATGTGTTAGTGTGTGTGTGGGTTTCAGCTAAATTATGTTAAATTTTCAGATTATTGAGTTCCCGATCGTGGTAGTCACTTACAGCTTGTTCAGAATAAACCCAGAGAAATGCTCGGTGAGTGTACTTCATCTCCGCGTTCTCTGTGATTAAAAGAAGCTGGCTTTCTCGTTTAGCTCGATTGCTTTGTGCTTGGTTCATTTCCCTTGTTTATAGAAATCGACAAAGCAACCCAAGTATCATCACTTTTTTATTTCATATAGAGAAGATTTTGGTTTCCTATGTTTTTGACTCTCTGAATTATTTATTCCTCATTGCTTTCCAGTACGTTAGAGCTATTGGGCGAAGCATAATAGGACTAATTTCCGGTTAGTAATCTTGTTTTTCAGCTTGTTATAGCTCACTGCTTTTTCAAATAAGTTAATTGCTGGATGAGTTCAGTTTAAAATTCAAAAGTGTTAATCTTGGCCTGAAGATGTGAATGAGTATTACCTTCTTTTGCCTCTTGCCGATTCGTTATCCCTTGATTGTGAGTTTGTGACTTATCTAAACTTGTGTGTTTTGTTGTTTAACAGGGGCTCTCATAAATGCTTTGGGAGCAGTTTCTTTGGGTGCACCTATTGGACTGCAGTATGTTTCATCAATGATCTTGCTTCTCTTAATCTTTTGGTTTCTTTCTTATTCTGGAAATGTTGTTTGTAAAGCGGTCCAGATAACAAATGAGCCCCCTGGGTGGTGATTGTGATCACATTTTTACTAAGCGGTTACCTGATTTTCAACTGCTGAAATGAGCATTACCTTTTCTCATCTTATGCAGATCTCTACCAAAAACAATACACTGGTCCTTTCTAATGTCTGTTTTCACGGTTAGTTGCCTGCTTTGCTTTCAATGACTTCAAAAATGTAACAATGTTGATACACTACATTTGTGTGTATATCTGCAGTTTGGAACAATCCGTTGATGGTATCTAACAATTTTGATTTTCATAGATTGTACCAGCAACTGCAGTTTTTGGTGCATCATGGACAAATTGGCATCGCGTGTTCGCTTCACTAAAGTAAGTTGTCGGTGTTACCTTATATGATTTCACACAATATATGTTGTTAATCTATCTTTCTGTTTCTTTTTAGACCAACCGGAAACGTAGAATATATGATCTTGATTCCAACATATGGAGCAATTATTGGAGGATGGTTTGGAGCTTGGCCTATGCCACTTGACTGGGAAAGGCCATGGCAGGTAATGTCCATTTACCTCAATATACAATTAAGACATTGGTTCTTGGTTCTTGGTTCTTGCTGAGTACATTTATAAGAGAAACTAATCCTTCTATCATTATTCTAAACAGGAGTGGCCTATATGTGTGTGTTATGGAGCTATAGGAGGCTACATTGTTGGGCAAATTTTCTCCTTGAGTTTGATGTTATATGTCAGGAAACACAAGAATTTGAAGTTAGCCTAGAATAGATCAATCCCTGGGGATCTGCAGAATGAGTTTCATTTTGTTTTGACTTGATTGCTAGATTGAGAGACAACAATAGGGCTTGGATTTTTTTGTCAGCTTGAACAAAAATTTCTTATTTTCCCACATAGAATCAAGTGTTCAAGAATTGCAATTGCAAAATTTTAACGTCAACCGAACGATCACAGACTTGAGAGACAAGATTATACATACTTTGGCGAAATGCAAATGATAACAAGAACATAAACAAAAAATACAGAGAAATTTGTCCTACGCAATATTATTGTACACGATGCCAAGCACAGTGTTTGACTGTACGGGACATCTACTATGGCCAGACTCTGTCGGGGTGATGTGGCGTGTGGTTATTGGGTGACAGGGACTCAGTTGGGTCACGTAAAATGGTTAAATGCTGCCAAGTGAGAGCTCTGAAAGATGGACCAACGCCGTAAAAAGATGGCATACCCGAAAAGGTGACCACTGCTTGCATTTAGTCATCCATCTCTCACGCATCATTTTCTCATCTTTTTTCCCCTCAAGGGACAACAGAAGAAAACAAATTATTTGGTTTCAACTGTGTCGACAATGTTAAAACAAGATTTTATAATATACAATAGCACTAAACGTACGTAGTTATATCTATGAAGTTCATTTGTTGAATATGTGAGAGCATTAGAGCAATGCAAATATAATACTAGTTACTAGTTAAGAGCAAGGGGACGATCTAAATATGTGGAAAACTTTTAAAACAGGGTTTTACTTATGATTACATCGTCATTTCTATAGGAAAGCTAGCCTCATCATCCGTTCAAAATATAATTTGTATTAATACTTCAACTATTAGTATGGAATTCAGTATCTCATTAGGTTTCAAACATGTAATTTGTCAAGTGTATCTCTTAATTAAGTTGGTGATTCATTGCATTTCTTAACACGCAATGTATCATGTGGCCCGTTTTAGATTGGACTCTTGTAGACAAATTTTACCATAAGTGTTGACATTTGCTCCCATCTAATTAAGGGGCAGGTACACCCATTAAATTACAACTTGTTATTCAATAGAAATGATATTAAGAAAAGACTGTCTTAAACTTACTAGAAAAACGCACTCGTAAAATCCAAGTATCGGCTTCTATTACGTTAACAGTAGTAGTAATACACGTAAAGAAAATAAAATCACCTCCTACACGGCTAACACTATGTAGTATTTATTTTCACATATTATGATGTTAAAGCTTTAGTATTGTTGGGTTGATCACTTTCTTTCTTTTCTTTTTGCTATGAATCTTAAGTATGAAATATTAAAAATGAAAAGGGTTGGCTTTACACTGTGGGATGATCACTTTCTTGTTTTTGTGTTTGGAGGTTTAAGGCTATATATATTGCCTTTATATCTTGCAAGGAAAACACACGTCTCTGCATAAACATGTAAAATATATAGTTCTGCATATCTTGGGGGGTTTTTTTTTTGTGGGGTGCATATTTTACAATTTAATCAAAGATTTCAATCAAATGCTAAATTTCTTGGAAGGACATAATTATATTATGGAACAAAAAAAAAAAAAAAAAAAAAAAAAGAAGAAGGTAGTGTGTCTTTTAGCATAGCATTATTAATATATACTACTTATTATATAACACGGCCCGACCAAAAAGTAGATCAACCAAGAAGACGAGAAATTATGGAGCTCCGATTTTGCTTGCCTACTTTCTCCAAGTTTTTTTTTTTTTGGCTAAGCGGATCCCAAACCTCCACATGTCAATTCCTCATTTGTGTCTCAGTTTAAACTTTTTTAATTCAAAGCTAAATCACTTAATTCAGGTACAAGAGATTAGGAATTTAAATTTAATGAGAAAAATCTAAAATTACACAAGGAGTACAAAGAGGGCCGTAGCTATGGAAAATCATCTTTTAAAGCTAAACAATTTTTGAAATTAAATAAACGGAAACTTTTTTTTTAATTTAAATAATGTTCTCAACCATTTCTCTTTATAGTCAGTCAGACAGTCAGTGAGTCTCTCCTTATATATAGAAAAAAAAAAAACAACTCCATTCATAAGTTTCTCATCTTTCTTGTGTTTCTCTTCTTGATTTATGTACATCGCCGTCGAAGTAACTCCGGTCATGGAAGAGATCACACGGAGGAGCAAGAAAACTTTGGTTGAGAATGAAACAGGGGATGAAACAGCGGGGCAAGTGGTGATAAAAGCAAAACGCAAACGCCGATCGCAACCACGAGAAGCTCCTCCACAACGCAGCTCCGTCCATAGAGGAGTCACCAGGTTTGCAGCCATCATTGAGAACAACAATACCCACACACACACACTTTAAAAAAAAAAAAAACCGTCAGGGTTTTGAATATGCCTTTTTCCGATTATATAGGCATAGATGGACAGGAAGGTACGAAGCACATTTGTGGGACAAGAATAGTTGGAACGATACTCAGACCAAGAAAGGACGACAAGGTCTCTCTAATATTTCATATTTTATGAAGAGTTATTTATTTTTTAAAAGATTGATGATGATATATATTCGCTATGATCTTTTCACTCCGATTTCTCCGGAGAAATGAATGAGTTCGTCGTTACTGTTCTTTATTTCAACATTTTGATTTGTATATTTTAGTTTTTCTTGTTGTTAATATGTTTTTTTTTTTTTTTTTGTGTGGTTGTTCTGACGATGCTGACCGGAAAATTGGCTGACTCATCACGTGCAGTATATTTAGGTGAGTTTTTTGTTGGTCATTTTACATATGGCGTTTTCTTTCTTTTCTTTTTGCACTCCCAAATTGGTAGACACTACTGCTTTTTATTTAGTGAATGTTGATGCCTTAGTTACCTCACTCTTAAATCTTAATTATGCTTTAATTTTTAGAACGTTAATTATTAATCAGTGCTTTTTAAAAGCCAACTTGGTGGTTCAAAAAAATCTATATAATAAAAGCGTACATGTTAGCATCATCTAATCTATGGCGTGAAATAAAACAAACAAATAATCTGATCACTGAAGAAAGTACTATTTGATTTGCCTTTTTATAAAGGGCTTACATTATACACAACTAATTGACATATATATGTAACGGAATAAAAATGAAAATTTGTAAAAACAGTAATAATATATATGGGGGTTTTTGTTTGAGCAGGGGCATATGACGAGGAAGATGCAGCAGCACGTGCCTACGACTTAGCAGCATTGAAATATTGGGGACGAGACACCATCTTGAATTTCCCTGTAATTTTTCTCGGAATCTATAATCTATATATAAGTTATCTTTTCTTTTATTTTCACATGATCTTTTTGTTTGATTCACGATCTTTTCTTACCTACGTGTTTTTACATAAGAAAAAAAAAAAAGGAATTAAGAAGAGTGTTTATTACATTACATTACATACATCTACAGCTATCACATTTTCTAAGTTTTATAATTTTTGTATATATTTATAGTTGTGTAATTATGAAGAAGACATGAAAGAAATGGAAAGCCAGTCAAAGGAAGAGTATATTGGATCTTTGAGAAGGTAATTATTAATTCAGTTATTGGTTTTTTTTGAATGATTGGTGATTAACTCATTTCTTTTTGTTTAACAAACTTTAAAGAGTTGATTAATATAAAATTATTTTTGGAGTAAAACAGGAAAAGCAGTGGGTTTTCACGTGGTGTGTCAAAATACAGAGGCGTTGCAAAGTAAACTTTGAATCATCCTCCATAAACAAACATATTTAGTAGTATTAGAAAATTTAACAATATCATCAAATACGTACACTAATAATTCCCAATGCTAACTAAAATTGGTTATTATGGATTTATTGCAGGCATCACCATAATGGAAGATGGGAAGCTCGAATCGGAAGAGTCTTTGGCAATAAGTATTTATACCTTGGCACCTACGGTAACCTTTTTCCCCTTAACTAAAACAAAACAAAAAAGAAAGTTTACATATTTAAATACTTTAAATTATAGATATCCAAGACAAAATATCATACATTAAAAGATATTTTACACACACTCTTCATAGTAACAAAACTTCTTTTTACAACTTAGAAATCTTTTTAATAGGGGTTGATATGCACGTAATCAGATCTTGTGTTAGTTGGGAAATAGATCACCAAACCCAACCACTTAGTCAAGCCTTCTATTTATTATATTGTTCTTTTCTTTCTTTTCTCTTATGTTATTATACATCAATAATATTTATTGGTTTAAATTATATGTTGCTCATCTAATTTTACTGGCCAATTTAATTCTATTTATTATGTTGTCCTATATCAGCGGATTTTTTTATTTTATTTTTTAAAATAATTATAATGTGATTATTGAATTACCGCATGATAATGTTACGTTACGTATTGCGCGAATACATAATAGTTTGGGTAGTTTGGGCGTAATCTAATAAGTCCATAAATTATCTTTTACCTCCTCAAGGTTTTGTTTGTGACATTTTGCACCCCTTGATGTTTTGCGTAGCTACACAAGAGGAAGCGGCCATAGCGTATGATATAGCAGCAATCGAGTATCGTGGACTTAACGCCGTTACTAACTTCGATATCAGCCGTTATCTAAAACTCCCGGCGCCGGAGAACCTTACTGACTCCGCCAAGCATCCCCTCGAGATCCCGCGGTCTGATCTCAGCCCAAATCACGAGTCGGAGTTATCACAGAGCCAATCATCGTCAGACGACAACGATGATCGGAAAACAAAGCTCTTAAAGTCTTCACCTTTGAATGCAGAAGAGTTGGTCGGACCATCGACGCCTCCGGAGATTGCTCCTCCTCGCCGAAGCTTCCCGGAAGATATACAGACGTATTTTGGGTGTCAAAACTCCGGCAAGTTAACGACGGAGGAAGATGATGTGATCTTCGGTGATTTAGATTCGTTCCTTACGCCTGATTTCTACAGTGAGTTACATGATTGCTAAAAGTATTACTTCTGATAAGATAAAGAAGAAGGATTTGATAAGTTTTGTTTTTAGTTATTTTTTTCTTTTGGAATCTCGGTTGTGAAAATCAACATTGACACATCGATTATTCTTTCTTGTGACAGTCTTATATAATAAAGTATGAATCTTTTTAACTGTTCTCCAGTATCAGTTTCCTTGTGGGTGATTTTGATTTGAGAGGTAGGCACTGAAGTAATTTGTGAAACTCAGATTGAAATATTGATTATCTAGAAAAGATAGGAATTACAGATGATGATGATCATTGGAGGGATGTTCAGAGATTGAACTCGTCTAATTATAGTGATCAAACAGTACAACAAAGTTTGGAATCAATGGAAGCCAAGCAAATGCAGAATGCTTGGTAGCCTGAGAATGGATACCTGCAAACATATAAAGCAAAGGTTGTTGTATGATCCACTAAATCTTTGATCTCCAAAGCCTTAATCTGAAGCTAAAAAGTATGGAATGTTCATCTCATCCGGGTTCGAGCAACTGAGCAAGTACCTGAAATCGATTACATATTTTGCTTTGTCCACCCTTCCCATTTGAATAATTGTTTGCCTGGGATTTTCCTATAAGCCAAGTTACTCAGGGTTTTAGGATTCTTGAGAGATTGGTTTTGAATAATAGCTAAAAGAAGTTGTGGAAACGTACCGTAAGTGTGAGCTGAAAGTTCTTCACCGAGCTTTGTATTCTCAGTCCTGTTCGCCCTCTGTCTCTGAAGTCTAACTCATGCTGTTTGGTGATCTGAAGATAGGGAAACAGTATCATCAATTTAAGCTTCTGTAAATGGAAGATGATACCAATGAAGCCCTATGGGACTTACTTTGTTGTAATGTGGTATCTTTGAGCATAGCTTCTGAACTTGTTCCTTATTCTCAAGCCAATCAAGTGGTAGTTTACTTACCTGTTGGACCTATAAAAAGAGATACAAATGTAGTGTATTAACAGTTGTATGTTTCGGAATGCTAGATTGATAAAGAGAAGTTTTAAGACTAGGCATTTACCTGTTTATTGTTGCTCTTCTGCACTGGCTGTTGCTTTGGTAGGATAGCTCTCATCCTTCTGTAGGTCCCTGTCCAAGTAGCTATGGTGGGTGTAAATCTGCAGAAACCAACATTGGCATTAGCAGACCAAACATAAAGGGAGAGTCATTGTCAAAAGACACAAAACATAAAATCCCCAAAGCTCACATTACAACCGAAAGAAGCGGCTTCACCAATTTACCTACAGGACTAACTCGAACTCCCTGCAATGGAATCACAAGACCAGAAACATTCAGCTTGAATCCCAAACCTTTGAGCAGAAGCACAGAGAATATATCAGATTTGACTGATTATACTAGTGAGCAAGAACCTTATCCCATATGTAGTACTTGGAACCCATGAGATTAGCCGTCATAGAACCTACATAACTTTCATCCGAACTGCACAATAATCCCTTAACATTCTGTGCCACCCTAAATACAGATTTCCCGTGACGCCGCCGATGGTAAGCCATTGCCAGCTTCCGGTCTTTTCGCCCCCGACCTTCCTGAAATATTTCATCCAACACTTGTAAGCTATCAGAACGTTTTGACATCACTGCTTGTCACTTCTCAAACAACATCATATTAGTTAAGATATCAGTATACTTACATGTGTATAAAGAGAAAATACAGATCCATCGCGTAAGCCTTCTGGTGATTGTTCTTTAACAAGTAGACAAGTGCATCTACCCACATCCAAAGGTAGTGTCTTACACAACAACGCCCTGTTTAACAAATTGTATATCTAGTTTCAGACATGTTTAGGACAAGAAAAGCATAAGAATTTCGGTAATTGGAATGTTTTTACCTGTTGGGCAAAGTAGACCAAGAGGAAGCAGGGGCAGCTTCGGAATCAGAAAACTCCCACACTTTCAACGAACTGGAATGCTCAGAATCAACACTAGTCCAAGTTTTCATTCCGAAGCTACCCTTATCGACCTCACTGTTCATCTGCATACACGCTTGCAGCGATGTCTGCTTCAGAGCCGTTCGGCCACCAGTTGAGAAAGACTTGAAATTTGTAACTTCCGTGGGAAACCCAGAACTGCCCTTCATCGATTGAGACTTCAAAGCTCGATCTTGTTTCCGAGTTTCAACAGACGTCGAGCTTTTTTCCGGCGAGACATTCTCTTTATTCTCTCCTTTCTTAACGGAGACAGAACCTGAGAATGTGTCCACATTTTCCTTATTTTCACCCAACAAATCATTCTCTTTGCTTGAAGCAGCCATGTTTCTCCTTTCCCTTTTTGGGTTGCTTTCAAGTTCAGAGCTTTCTGTGAGCTAAGTGTTTTTATATCTTTATAGACTTTGAAGATAAAAATCTAGAAATAGGTGTTTGACAATGGTGTTGGGTTAGGTTTGACCTGAAATTAACGTTTTATAAAAGTTCCACAATGTTTCCATTTGAATTTGAATAAGCCATTGGGGATTGTGCGAGCACAAAGCCAAAGACACAGATGGACTTCTTTACTTGTCTTAACACATAGGATTTTAGATGTCTGTGTTTTGTTTTGCCTTTACTCTATTTTACAAGGACCCAACGGTCACTATAAATAATAGTGGGATTTTGATTTATCTTTTTGTCGTTTTCCTTTGTCGGGAAACTGAAGGTTGATGATTGGATTGAGGCTCCGCGGGAACTGTGTTTTAACTTTCAAACACGTACAGTTTTATACTACATGCTGTTTTGCTTTTAATTTATTTAACGTCATGCCGTTTTATCCTCGTGACTCATCCAAAACCGATAAGCTAGAGCCTCAAACCATCGAGTGGCTATTAGACCATCACTGTTCCAAAATAGTCCACACCATGAGAGGCCACAACGTCGTCGAAGCCCATTATCGTCATCATGGCTAAAGCCAGCAGTACTCTGTTTGCTGTTTCCTGCTCCGCTTCAGCTCGTTTCTCTCTCCTCCGACACTCTGAATCCATTAAACCCTCACTTCGGAGTGTGAGATTCTCCGTCCCAATGGCTATGGCTGCATCTGTTGCAACCGCTAAAAAGCTGGCTCCAGCCGTTATTGTGGGTGGCGGAAGAGTCGGACGAGCGTTACAGGAAATGGGTAATGGCGAGGATTTGTTGGTGAAGAGAGGAGAAGCAGTTCCGGTTGATTTTGAAGGACCCATTTTGGTTTGTACTAGGAATGATGATCTCGATGCTGTTCTTGAAGCTACTCCTCCGTCTAGATGGAAAGGTATAAACTTTCGTACGCACTTAGAATCGTTTACTGAACCAAATTGTTAGATGTTTTAAGGGTTCGATCGTGGCAGAGCTCAGTCTACATTGTATCCGAATTTGTAAGGATCAAATTATCAGATTATCAAATTTGATTGGATGTGTAAACAATATGATAAGTTTCTTCAATTACATGAACTTCGTCTACTAAAAATGTTGTGTGTAATCAGATTTGGTCTTCTTCCAAAATGGAATGATGGAGCCGTGGTTTGAGAGCAAAGGTTTAGGTGATACAGACCAAGTATTGGCCTATTTTGCTGTGTCAAAGCTCGGCGAACCTCCAGTGGATGGAAAGACTGACACTAATCCAGAAGGTCTAACTGCTGCTTATGGAAAATGGGCTTCAGAGGTAGCTGCAAGATTGCAATCTGGTGGCCTCTCTTGCAAGGTTATTACTAGAAGCTTATCTTTTGTTCTATATTGATTAAACAGCAACTGCCTGAATTAACTAAATGTGTTGTTTTTTTGGTGTTTGTGAGGTTAGGTACTTGACAAAGAAGCTTTTCAAAAGCAAATGTTGGAGAAACTCATTTGGATTTGTGCATTTATGCTTGTTGGAGCTCGTCATCCAGGTGCAAGTGTTGGCATGGTGGAGAAAGAATATAGAGATGAAGTACAAAAATTCAATTCCTTGTTTCGTTTTAGCATTCAAAATCACTGTTTAGTTCTAATTATTTATACCTTCAGGTATCGAGACTCATCCAAGAACTTGCAGCAGCTGCTGCTGCAGAGAAAGGACTAACCTTTGAAGAGAATATGGTGGAGAGACTCTGTGCTTACTCGCGAGCTGTTTCTCATTTCCCGACTGCTGTTAAAGAGGTACATATATGATATATGATATGTATATTCATCATGATCTCTCTTGTTTAACTGCTTGTACACCAGTATCTTGTGTCTCAACTAGTTTACTGATACTGCAGTTTAAATGGAGGAATGGTTGGTTTTATTCGCTCTCTGAGAAGGCGGTTGCAGAAGGGAAACCAGATCCATGTCCCCTCCATACTGAATGGCTGAAAGAGCTTAAAGTGATATAGAGTGTCAGTCCGTGTAAACTGTGAGTGTCTGTATTATTAAGTAGTATTCTTATATCTTTTAAGTAGATGATTTGAAACTAATGTGAACTGTATACACGCATGAGCATGAGAAGGGAAAATAAGATGGATTTGCCTGATAAAGATAATCAGTTCACCACCCATTGTGAAAAGCCCAGACCTTATTTATCTGTGCAAACTGTTCATTTTCAATTAATCAATTTCTGCTCTTCTCATATCAATTAGGGAAGACTATGCTAATTAAAAATAAACAAACTAAGACAGAGACCTATGTAGACTTTTTGCAATTATACAAATTAAGATGCATGAAATGTTTGAAGTTTCAGCGTTGCAGGCAAGGTGGTCCAAATAGGCAACCGATGAGGTTTCTTCGGTTAGTTACTTATTATAACTCATGATTTTACATTAGCTTTAGCATCTTATAACATAATGAAGGACTATTGTTGCAACAACAATTGATTTCGAACGAAGGAAACATTGAGAGGACAAGAGTGTTCAGCTCAGAAGAATTGGAGAAAGCCACAGAAAAACTCAGTGTAAGCTGTGTGCTTGGTCAGGGAGGTGGCAAACCTGGCGAGGAGTTTTCTGAACTTGAATGTGAAGAAACGGCCCAATATGAGAGAGTTCTCAATGGAATTGGAGAGGATTCGATATTCACAAGTCCAACTTCATAACGAGGAAGATGATGAGATGCCATGAGAGATCCTTGGAACATTCTTACTGATTCTTCATCCAACATCACCACCGCATCTTCATGGGAGACCACTAGTGTTAGAACCGTATCATTTGAAAATTTGGTGTGATTCGCTATGTTTAGTTATGTTGATTTATCCGATTTTGGAGAATGATATATTGTGGTTCCTTATTGCTTTGGTCTTCAATAGTATTATATGGACTCTGCTTCAATACTTATCATCAATATTAAGGTTTCGCTTTTAATTTTAGAGTCAACGATTGACAATGACGTCCCAGTAGCTGTCTTAGAATCCAGCACGAACGTAATTGGATTTTACTATTTTTACAAGAACCACAAACATTTATCAACGAAAGTAATAATAGCTCTTGACTAGAACGTTTCGTGAGATCGGACTATGACTAGAATACTAGTCTCTCCATTGCATTTGTAAAACGTTTTAAAAAATATCGCCCACCGTGGGGCTCGAACCCACGACCACAAGGTTAAGAGCCTTGCGCTCTACCAACTGAGCTAGACGGGCTTTGTGCTTATATCTACTGTTAATATTTAATTAATCTCTAAATTATGCTAGTAGCTGCCAAGTCAAATTTTCATACATCTCAAGTCAATGGTCAGCTGGAACGAAAGATCCATATAGAGTTGACTTTTGATATAAAAACTTCGCACGTCTATTCAAACTTGTTTGAACGCGTCACTAGACTGGACTTTTGTCACACACAAGATAAACGAATATCGACCAGATTAATCAAAAAATTGCACAAGTATGAAGAAGACGAAGATTTACATCGTCCTCTGCCTTGCACTCTCTGTCCTAACTATTCAACTCATCAATGTCTCATCCGCAGCAACGCCTCCTCCTCCAAATAGTAATTCTTGTAACAGAGTCTGTGGAGGAATCTCAATTCCGTTCCCATTCGGCGTTGGAAAGGATTGTTATCTCAACGGTTGGTACGAGGTTGCGTGCAAGTACGCAACCTCTTCCGGGTTCTCCGGCACAACTGTCCCGTTCCTCCAACGGATCAACAGGGAAGTTGTGAACATCTCTCTTCCGGATGGTAATAAACCATACGGAGTCGTTCACATCAAAGGTCCACTGACTTCATTGGGTTGCTCTGTTAGTAGTAGTCAAGGACTCGAAAAGTCAACGCCGGATTTGAACGTCACGGGCAAGGGCAGCCCATATTTCTTCACAGACGAGAACCGTCTCTTCGCGGTTGGTTGCGGTTTAAAGGCTTTGATGACGGATATTGAATCAGAGATTTTGGGTTGTGAATCCAGCTGCCAAGATAGCGAGAGTAGTGAAGAGGTAACCAACTCCTTATGTGGCGGTTACAAATGCTGCCAGGCGAGGGTACCTTCTGAGCGTCCTCAGGTTATAGGTATCAATATAGAAAACACTAGTGGCACAAGACAAGAAGGGTGCAGTGTTGCATTCTTGACTAACAAGAGATATGCGCCGATGAATGTTTCCGAGCCAGAGCAATTCCATTCTGGTGGCTATGCGGTGGTAGAGCTAGGTTGGTACTTTGACACTTCGGATTCTCACTTTAGGAGCCCCTTGGGCTGTAAGAATATGACACGTTACAGTTCTTACAGCTCCTTCGATAAATGTAGTTGTGAGTATGATTACTTTTATGGGATGAGTTATAGGATTTGCTATTGCAACTGGGGATACACAGGGAACCCATACCTTCCACATGGCTGTATAGGTAAGTGATTGTTTTCTTTTTCTTTTTCTTACTCTTTTTGCTGCCTTTCTTTTTCCTAGCAAATCATCAATAAATAACTATGACTAAAAAATGTGTAGATGTAGACGAATGCAAAGGACACAACAATTGTGGAGAAATGACTTGTGTGAACTTGCCTGGAAGCTATAGCTGCTCGCCAAAAATAACCAAGCCAGAAAAAGCCTCCGTGCTTCAAGGTGCGTTAAAATAGCATCATGCATTGCACCTATAAGACTACAAGTTAGAAAACAGAAAAGTAGTTTACTTCCTTTTTCTTCGTGGGTGTAGGCGTTCTTATAGGTCTAGGAGTGCTGTTTTTTGTCATCGGAATCTTTGGGCTGTATAAATTCACCAAGAAGCGAAGGAAGGTCATCCGCAGCAAGAACTTCTTTAAACGTAATGGTGGCTTGCTGTTGCAACAACAACTAACTACTTCAAAGGATGGAAATGTTGAGATATCAAGGATATTTAGCTCAAAAGAATTAAAGAAAGCTACTGATAATTTCAACATGAACAGAGTGCTTGGGCAAGGCGGTCAAGGAACTGTGTTTAAGGGAATGCTAGTAGATGGGAGAATCGTTGCGGTTAAGAGATCGGAAGTTGTGTGTAAGGACAAGATGGAAGAGTTTATCAATGAAGTCGTCCTTCTCTCTCATATTAACCATAGGAACATTGTGAAACTCTTGGGATGTTGTCTAGAGACTGAGGTTCCAATCTTGGTTTACGAATATATTCCCAATGGAGATCTGTTCAAGCGTCTTCATGACAAATCCGAAGCCATTGAATACATGATGACTTGGGAAGTGCGTCTTCGTATAGCCATTGAGATCGCAGGAGCTCTTTCATACATGCACTCAGCTGCCTCATTTCCAATATACCATAGAGATATCAAGACTACTAATATACTACTAGATGAAAAATACCAAGCCAAAATATCTGATTTCGGAACTTCAAGATCCATAACCATTGATCAGACTCATTTGACAACATTGGTTGCAGGCACTTTTGGGTACATGGATCCAGAGTACTTTTTATCAAGCCAGTATACTGACAAGAGCGATGTTTACAGTTTCGGGGTTGTCCTGGTGGAGCTCATAACAGGAGAAAAACCGCTGTCCCGAAGCCGGTGTGAAGAAGGAAGAGGATTGGCAACTGATTTTCTTGACGCCGTGAAAGAAAACAGAGTAGTTGACATCATTGATGATCGGATCAAAGACGAAACCAAGCTGGACCAAGTCATGGCAGTAGCAAAACTCGCTCGAAAGTGTCTCAGCAGGAAAGGGAGGAAGCGGCCAAACATGAGAGAGGTTTCACTTCAGCTGGAGAGGATCCGCTCTTCATCACCTAAAGATTTGGAGGTCCATATTTACAATGATGCTGAAGAGGACCAAGCCATGGAAATCAACAGAAGATGATTCAAAGGGCGTGTACAGGATGGGAGTCTGTATCTTTGGATATAAGAAGTTGAGTCATAAGGGCATAGAAACACTTACACACGTGCATATTCTGTAAGCAAGCAATGATTAAATCAAAGATACGCTGTAACTAAAGCACATGAGGTTTCTCGGTCTGGGAAAGCAACTATATGCGCTATAGTGAGACTCTCATGTGCAAAAAATAAGAGAGCAATCAGCACAATAGCTTACCTCTAAATAATGTAGGATTCAGCTAAAACCTTTATTAAGACACATCGTCTAGAAAAATTTCTATCTATGAAATTTTTTCCAGATCTAGTTGGCACAATTAAACTCAACTCCAATATACTAACACACACCAAAACCAAAATAAAACCTGGTTTCCTACAAAGAAATTAATAAACTTAGCTGAGATAATAAGTGACTTTGCTTCTCTGACAACTCGGTCCAACACATAAGCAGAGTACTCTGTTTTCACAACAGAGCCTTTCAGTTGTGCAGTTGCTCTTCTTGTGTTTTGTTTTTTCTTCCAAATTCTGGAGTTTCACTTACCTGGACTAGAAAATCAGAAAACCATAATGGGAGCTTGTACAAAACTGTTCTACTTCTATTAATTTAAAACACACATGAGTTGATTTTTTGATAGAGTTATTTTAATGTTTTGTAACTTGCTTCACGCTTCTATCTATACTTCTATTGACCTTTTCAACAGATCAGGAAAAGTACTTAAAACACTTTTCCTAAAAGAGAAGATTGATCAGATTAAGGTTAAAGAAAACAGAATTATGAGGACAAAGACTTACAACTTCCAGTGTATTATAGCATCTGTCTTTACTCTTCTCATCAGCAGCTCATCAGCAGCAACACCTCCTAACAAAAATTCTTCAACTTCTTGTAATAGAACATGTGGAGGAATCTCGATTCCGTTCCCTTTCGGGATCGGGAAGGATTGTTATCTCAACAGCTGGTATGAGGTTGTCTGCAACAGCACCACTTCAGGATCCCGCACAAACGTTCCCTTCCTCACTAGGATTAACAGAGAAGTGGTGAACATCTCTCTTCCAGAAATATTCGACCAACATGGACTAGTTTATATCAAAAATCACGTCACTTCGTTGGGTTGTTCTACTAATATTAGTCAAGGATCCCAAAAGTCACTCCAGAGTTTCAATGTCACAGGTCAAGGTAGTCCATATTTCCTCACTGACAAGAACCGCCTCGTGGCGGTTGGTTGTGGTACTAAGGCGCTGATGACGGATATTGAATCAGAGATCTTGGGTTGTGAGTCGAGCTGCGAAAACAGCAAGAGTGGTGAACAAGTAACAAACTCGATCTGTGATGGTTACGGATGCTGCCAAGCAAGGATACCGTCGGAGCGTCCTCAGGTTATAAGCGTCAATGCAGAAAGCTCAGGCGAAGGAGAAGGAAGGTGCAAGGTTGCGTTCTTGACGAGCGCAAGGTATTCGCCTTTGAATGTTACAGAGGCAGAACAGTTTCATAGCAACGGATACGTGGTGGTAGAGTTAGGATGGTACTTTTCCACTTCGGACTCTCGCTTTAGGAACCCCTTGGGTTGCGCGAATTTGACCAGCGTTGGTGATTACTTCTCAGATAATAATTGCAGTTGCGAGTATGATTACTTTTCCGGTATGAGTTATAGGAATTGCTATTGCAACTCTGGCTACGCAGGGAACCCATACCTTCGAGGTGGCTGCATAGGTAAGTGATTGTTTTTCTCTTCTTTTTTTTAAGCTAAAAAATGGCTAAAATCATCAAAAATAATGATTCAAAATTGTTAGAAACTGATTTATGTCAAGGACGTCATAGATGTGGGGAAGAGTCGTATTGTGTTAACATGCCTGGACCATCATACACGTGTACGCCTAAGCCCAGTATAAACAAGCCTGCCAAAATCCACATGATTCAAGGTGAGTGGCACCACTTAACTACTAGAATATAAGCCAGAGCAGAGGATAATGTACCTTTTTCTTTGGCTGGTGCAGGTATTGTTATAGGTTTGTCTGGATTATTGTTTTTTGTTGGGATATTCTGGCTGTTTAAATTCGTTAAGAAGCGAAGAAGGATCGTGCAAAGCAAGAAGTTCTTCAAACGAAATGGAGGCTTGTTGTTGAATCAACAAATAACTACAAAGGATGGAAATGTAGAGATGTCAAAGATATTCAGTTCAAAAGAGTTGAAAAAAGCCACTGATAACTTTAGTGTGAAGAGATTTCTTGGGCAAGGTGGTCAAGGCACTGTGTACAAGGGAATGCTAGTAGACGGGAGGATTGTTGCCGTTAAAAGATCAAAACTTGTGGATGAAGACAAAATGGAAGAGTTTATCAATGAGGTCGTTCTTCTCTCACAAATGAATCACCGCAACATAGTGAAACTCTTGGGGTGTTGCTTGGAGACGGAAGTTCCAATCTTAGTGTACGAATATATTCCCAATGGAGATTTGTTCAAACGGCTTCATGATGATTCAGATGATTACACGATGACTTGGGAAGTGCGGCTTCGCATAGCCATAGAGATAGCAGGAGCACTTACATACATGCACTCAGCTGCATCTTTCCCAATATTCCACAGAGATATCAAGACTACTAATATACTATTGGATGAGAAATACAGAGCAAAAGTGTCTGATTTCGGAACTTCAAGATCCATAACTATCGATCAAACTCACTTGACAACATTAGTTGCAGGAACTTTCGGGTACATGGATCCGGAGTACCTTCATGTCGAGCCAATACACTCATAAAAGCGATGTTTATAGTTTTGGGGTTGTGTTGGTGGAGCTCATAACGGGAGAAAAACCAATGTCACGTGTCCGGTCTGAAGAAGGCAGAGGTTTGGCTACTGATTTCCTCGAGGCAATGAAAGAGAATAGAGCTGTTGACATCATTGATATTCGGATCAAAGAAGAAAGGAAGCTTGATCAAGTAATGGCGGTAGCAAAACTCGCCAGAAAATGTCTTAACCGGAAAGGGAAGAAGCGGCCAGACATGAGAGAGGTTTCAATCGAGCTAGAGAGGATCCGTTCATCACCCGAAGAGTTAGATCTCCACACTGAAGACGAAGACGAAGAGGGGGATCAAGTCATGTAATGATGTAAATCAACAGAAAAGATTATTTAAAACCACGGTTGTAAGACTTTGCTGGAACATATATGTGTGCAATGCGTTTGCTAGTAGAAGTACTTATAAAGCATGTTAATAAGTAATAGAACCTGTAAAACAAACAACTATTTTCTCGGGTTTCCAAAGAAGAAGATCACATCGGAGATGAGATTTATTCTTTTTAATCAGAACGTAAAACTAGTAAAGATTGGGATCCAGATTCGTCGGAATTTTCGTTGGTGAAGGAGGCCAGTTACTTTTTTCACTTCCATTTTTTTTTCCCTTAAAAGTTAGACGCAAACTTGGTCCACGTCAATTGCAAAAAAAAAAAAAAAAGATCCACGTCAGCAATTGGTTGCCACACAGGCACACATTACTTGAAAGTTGGACTAGTCGTCGCCATTCCTCTGCTGACTTTTTATTTTTTAAGCTTCAACTGAAGTTCTTCTGGCAGCAATCATTGTTTCATTAGTTAAACTTCAAAATTAATTAAGAGTCAACATTGACTTTTGAACATAGAGTAAGTTTGGTCAACATTGTTTTGCATCTCTTTTCACGCATGATCCATCTTATCACAATTTCGTCAAACTATGGGAGTCTTGATTTTTGTTTTCTCCCTTCATCATTACACGACATTAGAAGACTTCAAAAGTTGAGAGAACATTAACAAGAACAGCATCAGTATGAAGGCAGAGACTCACAACCTCCCCTGTATTCCACTAGTTATCTTTGTCCTACTATTATCTCTGTTCATCATCAATGGCGTCTCATCCGCAAGAAAACCTCCAGATCTGTGTAACAGAGTCTGCGGAGGCATGTCAATTCCTTTCCCGTTTGGTATGGGTGGGAAAGATTGCTATCTAAACCCGTGGTACGAGGTTGCCTGTAAAAACTCTGTTCCGTTTCTCTCAAGGATCAACAGAGAATTAGTAAACATCTCTCTTCCGGATGCTGAGGAGTACTACTCTAACGGAGTTGTGCATATCAAAGGTCCCGTAGTTTCGTCCGGCTGTTCTACCGAGACATCTCAGCCGCTTACATCGCCGCCTTTAAACGTTGCCGGTCAAGGCAGCCCCTATTTTTTCACTGACAAGAACCTCCTCATGGCTGTTGGTTGCAACGTCAAGGCCGTTATGACGGATGTCAAATCGCAGATCATTGGTTGCGAGTCAAGCTGTGACAAGAGAAACAGTAGCAGCCAAAAAACCAGAAACGAAATATGCACTGGTTATAAATGTTGTCAAACGAGGATACCAGAAGGGGAGCTGCAAGTAATTGGAGTCAATATAGAGATACCTGAAGAGAGAAACACAACACAAGGAGGATGCAAAGTTGCTTTTTTGACGAGCAAGAAGTATTCGAGTTTGAATATTACAGAGCCAGAAAAGTTTCATGGTGACGGGTACGCGGTGGTGGAGCTTGGATGGTACTTTGATACTTCGGATCCCCGTGTTTTAAGCCCCATAGGTTGTAAAAATGTATCAGATACATCACAAGATGGCGGGTACGGTGTCGAGACGATTTGCATTTGCTCCTACGGCTACTTCTCTGGATTCAGCTATAGAAATTGCTATTGTAACTCGATGGGTTACACAGGGAATCCATTCCTTCCAAGTGGATGCGTAGGTAGGAGATGCGTTTCTCTTTCTGTCTCCATAGATCAAGTCTTCTATCATTAATTATGAATCAAATTTTGTAGACATCGATGAATGTAAACTAGAAGAAGGACGCAAAAGGTGTAAAGACCAAACTTGTGTGAATAAGCCCGGTTGGTTTACGTGTGAGCCAAAGAAACCAGGGCAGCTCAAGCCTGTGATTCAAGGTAAAAGTCAATTTGAGTTTATCCTGAGCGTTGTGTTGAAAATATTATTGTTCTGTTCTGTTCTGTAAATGCTTTTTTATTTTGTTGGTGTAGGTGTTCTTATAGGTTCAGCACTCTTGATTTTCGCCTTTGGAATTTTCGGGTTGTACAGGTTCATTAAGCAGCGGAGGAGGATAACTCGAAAGAGAGAGTTCTTCAGACGTAACGGAGGTATGTTGCTAAAACAACAGTTAGCTAGAAAAGAAGGCAATGTAGAGATGTCAAAGATATTTAGCTCGAATGAGTTGGAGAAAGCTACTGATAACTTTAACAAGAATAGGGTTCTTGGGCAAGGAGGTCAAGGTACTGTTTACAAAGGTATGCTCGTTGATGGTAGAATCGTCGCAGTGAAAAGGTCGAAAGCCATGGATGAAGACAAGGTAGAAGAGTTCATCAATGAAGTTGTTGTTCTCGCTCAGATCAACCACAGAAACATTGTTAAACTCTTGGGATGTTGTCTTGAGACGGAAGTCCCAGTCCTGGTTTATGAGTACGTTACGAACGGAGACTTATGCAAGCGTCTTCGAGATGAATCTGATGATTATTCAATGACCTGGGAAGTGCGCCTTCACATTGCAATAGAGATAGCAGGAGCACTTTCGTACCTACACTCAGCTGCATCTTTTCCTATATACCATAGAGATATCAAGACTACCAATATACTACTGGATGAGAAATATCAGGCTAAAGTGTCGGATTTTGGAACTTCAAGATCAGTAACCTTAGATCAAACTCACTTGACAACTCAAGTTGCAGGTACTTTTGGGTACGTGGATCCAGAGTACTTTCAGTCAAGCAAGTTTACGGATAAAAGTGATGTGTACAGTTTTGGAGTTGTCCTCGTGGAGCTCATTACCGGAAAGAAACCGTCCTCACGTGTCCAGTCTGAAGAAAACAGGGGATTTGCAGCTAATTTCGTTGCAGCCGTGAAAGAGAACAGAGTTCTTGATATAGTTGATGATCGGATCAAAGATGAATTCAACCTCGACCAAGTGATGGCAGTGGCAAAACTGGCTAAAAGATGTTTAAACCGAAAAGGGAAGAAAAGGCCAAACATGAGAGAAGTTTCGATTGAGCTGGAAAGGATTCGTTCATCACATTATGATTCAGAGATTCATATTGAGGACGATGACGAGGAGGAGGACCAAGTCATGGAACTCAACTTTGACGAGACTTGGGATGTTGGTATTACTGCTCCAGCCTCTATGTTTAATAATGGATCCCCCACGTCTGATGTTGAGCCTCTAGTTCCTCTACGAACATGGTGATGGTCAACTCGGAACAATGCATATGAACATCCTCATTTGCTGAAAAATGTTATATGATTCAGCTAGCTTTTCACCACACACAATTTGCATCATGAAACCGAAAAATAAAGAATGTTGTAGTCTATGCATGAGTTACATTCTGATTGCGTTAGTTGATAATATTAATAAAGGAAGGTATTAATTCGATGTTAAATAAAACGAAGAAGAATGTACCTTGGGCATGTACTCAGAATTCTCACTGATTGATACCTTGGAACCTTCTTTCTTACGCTATCAACTGATCAGTTGGCCAGATTTGTTCATTGGTTCAAACTTTAAAGTCCACGGCATCTATCCGTTAGCCATGTGATCGCCACTACTTGGATTACATTTGATTTAAATGGTCACAGATTCGTTGATATGTTAAGCTAACGTAATTTTGGTCAACTTATTTTTATTTATATTTTTTGTATCCCTGATTCCTGAACGAACATGCTAGCATGGCGACGATGGTCAAATGAGTATAATATAGTTGGTCTACTTTCATATGGTCATCAGAAAAAAAGATTGGAATTTTATAATCCCTCATGCATATTGACATTGACCATATTGTTAGTAGTGTTTCTATTCTTTCTAATGTGCTCTGTAACTTGCTTCTTTACACTTCTTTCTAAAACTACTCTTGACCTTTTACATCAGATCTGGCGGGTCCTTAACTATTTTTTTTCATAGAAAAGCTGATTGAGATTGATAAGAAATTTAACTAAAGAAATATGAAGAGAAAAATTTACTGGCTTCTGTGTATTGTTGTAGTGTGTGTCCTAACTTTTTTCATGAATGGCTCATTAGCAGCAACACCTCCACCTCCAAACAGTAAGAATTCTTCGGCTTCTTGTAATAGAAGCTGTGGAGGTATATCGATTCCGTTCCCATTCGGAATTGGCGGAAAGGATTGTTATCTCAACGGCTGGTACGAGGTTGTCTGCAACACCTCCACTTCTGAGTCGTCTAGCACAACTGTCCCGTTCCTCTCTATGATCAACCGGGAGGTGATGAACATCTCTCTTCCAGATTATCAACCATACGGAGTTGTTCACATCAAAGGCCTTGTGACTTCGTTGGGATGTTCAAGTAATACTAGTCAAGGACCCCAAAAGTCTCTACCGGATTTAAACGTCACAGGCAGGGGAAGCCCATATTTCCTAACAGACGAAAACTGCCTTGTGGCGGTTGGTTGCGGTACAAAGGCATTGATGACAGATATTGAATCAGAGATCTTGGGATGTGAATCGAGCTGCCAAGACAGCAAGAGTAGTCAGCACGTATCAACCTCAACATGTGACGGTTACAATTGTTGCCAGGCGAGGATACCGGTGGAGCGTCCGCAAGTGATAGGTGTCAATATAAATGCCACAGGAGGAGAAGGGTGCAAGGTTGCTTTCTAGTCTAGCAAGAGGTATTCTCCGTCAAAAGTTACTGTACCAGAACAGTTCCATGCTCGTGGCTACGCGGTGGTAGAGCTAGGTTGGTACTTCGATACTTCGGATTCACGCTTTAGAACCCCCTCCGGCTGCATAAATTTAACCTATCACAGATCTTACTCGTCCTGTGATAGTTGCCTTTGTGAGTATGGTTACTTTTCCGAGATGAGTTATAGGAACTGCTATTGCTCCCTTGGCTTCACAGGGAATCCATACCTTCGAGGGGGTTGCATAGGTAACTGTTTGTTTCTTCTTCCTTTTTGTGGCCTTGACTATTGTTCAGAATAAATCAGATCACTAGTTCTGATAATTGATGATATACATGTAGACAATGATGATTGCAAAGAACCCAATATTTGTAAAGAAGGAACTTGTGTAAACATACCGGGAGGCTACAAATGCGAGCCAGAGTCCGAGATAATCAAGCCGGCTAAATCCCTTGTGCTACAAGGTGAGTTCTAATGGCACCTTCCATCTACCATACTACAAGGCAGAGCATGAAGTATTGAAGTTTATGTATTTCTTTGTTGTTGCAGGGGTTCTTATAGGTCTGTTGGGGCTATTGTTTTTAGTTGTTGGGATACTTGGGGCAGCCATTCTTATAAGAAAGCGAAGGTTGGTCATCAGTAGCAGGAAGTTCTTCAGACGTAATGGAGGCTTGCTATTAAAACAACAACTAACTACTACAAATGACGGTAACGTAGAGATGTCGAGGATATTTAGCTCAGAGGAGTTGAAGAAAGCTACCGACAACTTTAGCGTGAAAAGGGTGCTTGGGAAAAGCAGTCAAGGAATAGTGTATAAGGGGATGTTGGTTGATGGCATGATCATTGCGGTTAAAAGATCCAAACTTGTCGATGAAGATCAGCTGGAAAAGTTCATCAATGAGATCATCCTTCTTTCACAGATTAACCATAGGAATATAGTGAAACTCTTGGGATGCTGCCTGGAAACAGAGGTTCCAATCTTGGTTTACGAATATGTTCCCAATGGAGATATGTTCAAGCGCCTTCATGATGAATCCGACGATTATGCGATGACTTGGGAAGTGCGTCTTCGAATAGCCATAGAGATCGCAGGAGCTCTTTCATACATGCACTCGGCTGCATCATTTCCAATATACCACAGAGACATCAAGGCTACCAATATCCTATTGGATGAAAAATACAGAGCTAAAGTTTCTGATTTTGGAACTTCAAGATCTGTAACCATTGATCAAACTCATTTGACAACATTGGTTGCAGGAACTTTTGGGTACATGGATCCGGAGTACTTCCTATCAAGCCAATATACTGACAAGAGTGATGTATATAGTTTCGGGGTTGTCCTAGTAGAGCTCATAACAGGAGAAAAACCGTTGTCACTCATCCGTTCTGAGGAAGGAAGGGGATTGGCAACTCATTTCCTTGAGGCCATGAAAGAAAACAGAGTGATTGATATCATTGATATTCGGATCAAAGATGAAAGCAACCTTGACCAACTGATGGCAGTGGCAAAACTGGCTCGAAAGTGTCTTAGCCGGAAAGGAAGTAAAAGACCAAACATGAGAGAGGCTTCAACTGAGCTGGAGAGGATCCATTCCTTACCTCAAGATTTGGAAGCATATTTTGAAAAATGATGATGAAGAGGACCACGCCATGAAGATCAACAGAGGATGATTCTGGAGGCATGTACAAAAGTAGTCAAGACTTTATGTTCAGTGAATCCCTAAAGTTAGACGAACATGGTGATAAGAAAATCAACAAGAAGACACGGCAACAAGTCATCAATATTTTATCCACAAAAATACTTGAATGAAGCTTATATATACTTTTAAAATGAAGTGTGAATTTGATATTTGATCACTGAAAAGAAACTAAACTTACTTGTCTAGTTGCAGTTACTTATTGGTCAAAGATATGTAAGAAAATGTTTGACTTGTAGCATCGTGGCTTCAGTTTCAGAGTCTAAACTTGTTTGGTTACAAGTCATATCCCGCTGCTATCAGTATCATCATCATTCCGCTGGTAAGCATTCCTAAAACACTGCATATGTATTCTCCCATCTAGCGAAAAATGATTTATCTTTCAATTATGGATATCTGGTTTTTCATCATGTAAAAACACACAAATAGGAACATAGAATCAAAAAAAAGAAAAAATGTTTTATTACAAGATAAATAAATGGGGTTGCAAGGTGTCGCCGATAACACTCTAGAAGAATTTCAGTTTGCCTTTGGAGATAGCTTCAACATGTTGTAATTGACACATGGCCTTGTCTTTCCCTGTCAAGCCATAGCACGACGAGTGCCTAGCGCCTAAAGTGACTGCAAAGTAGAGATAAATAGTGCAGAGGAATGCCAAAAGCGCCAACGCTGTTAAGAGATATCTATGCCTCTGAACAACCGTGGAGCAGCTACCCAACTCTTCCCACTGCTTCTTTAGACACTGTTGCCTCCTTAATGGTGAAGATACATGCCCATCAAGAACCATGGCTTAATAATACCAACCTGCAAAATTGACACAAAGGCCGTTTACACACATACCAAAATAGACTAGGAAGAGGAGAATCATAATCAAATTGAATTAAATGTTGGGATCTTATTCCATCATAAACCATTTCTACAGCAACCAAATAATTAAGAGCCTGGAGATCATAATTGTCAATGAGAATCTCGATCGACTCACGCGAGGTTAAATAACCAAATGTGGAGGTCACATTTAATCCTTTATCTATGATTTGGCTTTTGGATCTTACGCGGAAGAAGGAGATTAGAGCAGCAATGGCCAACAGTAACATCAAACACCAATCACAATTTACAATACACAACAACACAATGGATTAAGGAGATATACGATGAAATGGTTACAAATTATCAATCGAGGGAATAAGAAAACAAAAAGACTAGTGCCGGTGATTGAGGGTAACAGATCCGAAGCAGGTAAAAGAAAAAGAAAAAAAGATTTCGAGAACGAACCGGTGATATAGAAACAGGTGAGGGATCTGGAGATTAATAAAAGCTGATCCCAGCTCCGACAAAATTAAGTCCGCCGGTCTCGATTTGTAGAGGTTGATTCTCCGGCAGCGTTGTTGCGATATGAGTGGGAGAGAGAGATCTCCTCCGTTGGTTGATGGCTCGAGCTGGGCCGATTTACCGGATACGCCGTACGCGGCTTATTAAAGTCCGTTACATAAAACGGGATTCTAGGGATTCCTTTTATATACGAGCAAAAAGGAAGAGAAGATGGGAAAAAAATAAAAATGATGATGCGTTATTAGCTTCCTTCCACTCCTTTGTGTTATAATTTAAAAGATGATGGGCATGTTCTAGAACTAGAAAGTCTAGAATAGATGGATCATGGAATGTAGTATTATATATATACCTAGGATCTCTGGCTCTTGCAGCATCGAGAGGCTGTTCACAAACAAACACGTATTATATAGATAGCATAACCAAATTGTAAAAATCGTTTACGAAATGAAACCACTTTCGAGTATCCTAATCACGAGCTTTGTTTTGTACAAGATGTTACTGTATTTAACATTAAACCCCAAAAAAAAAAAAAGATGTTACTGTATTTTTTGATTTATAGTTTTGTAGAACTCTGACCAGGTAGATTCTCAAGTGAGTATACTGTAAAGTTGCGGTCTATCTCGAAACCATCAGTGTGGTAAAAGGAACTATTTTAAAGATATTGGGGTTTTATTGGGCCATTAGTGGGCTTAATATGAAGGATATATATTGGATGATTATATTGACCCACCAATTCCCTCGTTAGTTTGGTCAAAGTCCGAAATCAAGGAGCGAGAGAACAAAGAAAAAAAGGAAACACCCGAGTTGGTTCTTCTACTTTTCGAGGAGAAAGATAGCTCAAAGGTTTTGATCAATCGCTCGCTCAAGGTATTTTGATTCTCTCTTTCTCAATTCGTTTTTTTTTGTTTTGTATTATTTCTATCATTCTAGAGGTATAATCCGATCAATAGTACCAGCTTCCTCTGTAAAAGTTTTGATCGGAAAACTCTGGTTCCATCTCGATTTTGGGGAAAATAATACTCAGCTTATTTCAATCCTATTCCAATTTCATAGGATCGATTTCTGAGCTGAATTGATTTATTCTCCACTCGATTTTGAAAAAAAGACGCTTTTGTTACCGTCTCCATCCAAATTTAGGGTTTTTGTTGATATGTGTTTGCATTTTTCTTTGGTACTATAAGCAGCTGAATATTGAATACAACCCTTTGATCTTGGGAGGAGATAGAAGATGTTTGCAGCTTCTTGTCTCGCATCGTGCTGTGCTGCTTGTGCATGCGATGCTTGCCGTACTGTGGTTTCTGGTATCAGCAGACGTTCTGCAAGAATTGCTTACTGTGGTCTCTTTGCACTTTCCTTAATCGTTTCATGGATTCTCCGTGAGGTTGCTGCTCCTCTCATGGAGAAGCTCCCTTGTAAGTTGTTTTTTCTTTTCTTTCTTTTAACCTTTTGTTTTTTTTTTTTACCTCTAGTGAGAATATTTTAGCTTATGGAACTAATTATTAACATTGTGCAGGGATTAACCATTTTCACAAGACACCTGATCGTGAATGGTTTGAGACTGATGCTGTGCTGCGTGTCAGCTTAGGGAACTTCTTATTTTTCTCTATTCTATCCGTTATGATGATCGGTGTGAAAAATCAGAAAGACCCTCGTGATGGTATACACCATGGTGGATGGATGATGAAAATAATCAGTTGGTGCATTTTGGTCATCTTGATGTTCTTCCTTCCAAATGAAATCATCAGTTTCTATGGTAAGTTTCATTTTATCATATAGCTAAGTAATGAGTTAATGGATTAGCGTTGAACTAATGATAATCAATTTGACATCTTGCAGAATCGATGTCGAAGTTTGGTGCTGGATTTTTTCTTCTTGTTCAAGTTGTGCTTCTTTTGGATTTCGTTCATGGTTGGAATGACACATGGGTCGGCTATGACGAGCAGTTCTGGTTAGTAGATATAGTATTCAATCAAATCATATGTGAATTCATTATCCCACTGTTAATCTAAGTACTTGACTTTATATATAGGTATGCTGCGTTACTCGTTGTTTCTCTTGTATGTTACTTGGCTACATTCGTCTTCTCTGGGCTTCTCTTCCATTGGTTTACTCCATCTGGACATGATTGTGGACTTAACACCTTCTTCATTGTCATGACTCTGATATTTGTATTCGTCTTTGCTATTGTAGTTTTGCATCCCACTGTAAGTTTCGAATTTATTTCTTTTATATGGATATTACTTGACTCTCAACTTCAGGCTCACTGAAGTCAAGCTAACCTTTTTTGGCAGGTCGGTGGAAGTATTTTACCAGCATCAGTTATATCTCTCTATTGCATGTACCTCTGTTACAGCGGACTTGCAAGTGAACCCCGCGACTATGAGTGCAATGGTCTCCACAAGCACTCCAAAGCTGTTTCAACAGGCACAATGACCATTGGATTACTCACAACTGTTCTCTCTGTTGTTTACTCTGCTGTTCGTGCTGGTTCTTCAACTACTCTTCTCTCCCCTCCTGATTCTCCCCGCGCAGGTATATTTTGGACAAAAAAAACCTTCTCTCAAATTCTGCTTCCTTGTTTTTGCAACATAAGGATATATTTGTTTAAAAACGCGAATCAGGACTGAAATGAAATATGTATTTCAAATCCCAGTTTTTATAACCTTTTTGTGTGAGTGAGTGCATAAGATCTGCTTCTCTAAGTACCATAAGGTATTTCCTCTCATTGAAATTTTTCAGAGAAGCCTCTGCTTCCGTTAGACGGGAAAGCAGATGAGAAGGAAGAGAAAGAGAATAAGAAACCAGTGTCATACTCATACGCATTCTTCCACATCATCTTCTCTCTGGCTAGTATGTACTCTGCAATGCTGTTAACTGGCTGGTCAACTTCAGTGGGTGAAAGTGGTAAGCTGGTCGATGTTGGGTGGCCTTCTGTGTGGGTCCGTGTAGTGACGAGCTGGGCGACTGCTGGTCTCTTCATCTGGTCACTTGTTGCTCCGATTCTCTTCCCTGACCGTGAGTTCTGAGCTAATGCATCATCTACTGGAGATTCCTCAAAGACTTTTCATGAATCTTGAATTTGTAAAAAAAAAAATTCTATCGTTCGACTATTACCGAGTGTCTCGTCTCTCGTGTGCTTAAAATTTACTCATGCTCAGTTGTAATATAAATATATAAATAATTTCCTTCACTAAAAGATTCCAGTTCCACAATTCATATAATTTCCGTATAAATATTTTCCTTTTTTCTTTTTTTCTGTTATGAGATGTTTTTGGTGCAAGCTTAAAATTAGATAGGTAATTAGTGAATAGATTAAGAAACTATACAAGAGAACCTATGCAAGTTCAGCTGCTCCCTCTTCTAAGTTCTAACGAGTAAAGAACTGACAAGGTCTTTCACTCTACTCAGATTCTGAAATGATCACATCCTTCCATTACATCTTCATATTTTACCTTCAAGAATAAACTGCGTCTCCACAATTGCGTTTTGCGTTTGTATTTTGTTTTGTTGTTGTTAGTAGTTGTGTTTTGAAGACATTTAGTGGGAAGAAGATAATTCATAACTTCAATATTTGGGGTAAGGTGGTGGTGGACACTGAGATACTCTCATTAGTCATGATAATATGTACACTATTTTGCTTAGGGTGAATGTCACGTGCGATGCACGTGGGGGTTGCTATTGCCGCGTTTTAAAATCCGAAACGCTAATGTTGAAAGCGACTTGTTTGCTAGAGTCGGCATTGTGCTACAGTTGTTGGAAATCATTAACTTTTTTTTTTTTTAGGTCACTCTGTTTCTCGCTCCCTCGCCGGACTTCGCCGACGCCGACTGTAATATCTTCTTCTAGTCGAACTCGACGACATGAAGCTCACCGTCAAGACTCTCAAGGGTAGTCATTTTGAAATCAGGGTTCTGCCTACTGACACGGTTAATCCTTCTCCATTTCCGCTTCCTTCGTTTCAAATTTTTACGTGTAATTTTGTATCTAGAATCCGGTAAATCTAGATATCTTCGAACAAGTAGAGATGCTGCAATACCAATCTGGGTTATATAACATGGGACTTGTTGATAAACAGTTTTTTTTTAAAAAAAAATGCTAGATTCAGAATTTTGAGTTTTCCGATGGAAATGTATTGGTTGAGTAAGTGTGTTCATCTATTAGTTCTAATATGGTTGTTATCTGGAATTTTTCTATTTCTTTAAAAAGATAATGGCAGTGAAGAAGAATATTGAAGATTCACAAAGCAAAGACAACTATCCTTGTGGACAGCAATTGCTCATTCACAATGGAAAAGTTTTGAAAGATGAAACTACTTTGGTGGAGAACAAGGTCACTGAAGAAGGTTTTCTTGTTGTCATGCTTAGCAAGGTACTTATATTTTAATTTGTTATCTTCGATTAGGTATGATAGTGGTTAGTATGTATGATACTCTCTTAGCAAACTGGATTTGTATATCCTGCTTAAGGACATCAGACATACTGGCTGTATTTTCGATACTGGTAGTCACAATAACAGAAAATCGAATTGAGAAAGCCTTTGTTTTTGTTATAAGCAATACTTGAGATGAATTTGGTTGAAGCTTAGATTAGATAGGTGAATTGTAAATAGATTAAGAAACTCTACAAGAGAACTGACCATGTCTTTGCCTTCTCTTTGCAATGGATAGAGTAAAACTGCAAGTTCAGCTGGTCCCTCTTCTGCTCAGGTAAGTTTATTTATTATTTTTTGACGTTTGTGCATATCACTTGGTCAGTTGAGTATTCCTCATTGGAGAACTTTGTTATCTCACAGCCTACTTCCACTGCTACATCCACTGTCTCTTCAACGACGGTATTTTTGTTACATATATTTTCTGTTGGGAATTATGCAAATTACATTTTGTTTCCTTGGTTAATTTAACACAAGTTTGTATCAATCAACCAGCCTGCAGCTTCATTGACAACCCAGTCAATAGCTGTGTCAGCTCCAAATTCTACTCCTGCACAAGAACAACCAGCGTAAGTTTTATTTTTTTAATAAGAGTCTTCACTGGAGATTTATTTTATCTTCATTAACTTAAGTTACTTAAATTTATATTTTGAGGATTTTATGGATACTCTACGATCGCCACACCATTGTAGGTCACAAAATGACACTTATGGTCAAGCTGCTTCAACTTTAGTTAGTGGCACTAGTATTGAGCAAATGGTTCAACAAATAATGGAGATGGGAGGTGGGAGCTGGGACAAGGAAACAGTTACTCGTGCACTTCGTGCAGCGTATAACAACCCTGAGAGAGCAGTGGATTATCTATATTCTGTATGCCCCTTCTCTGATTAACAGACTTCTGTGATTATTTTAAGGGAATGAAAGTGCTGATATCTATTTTGATTTTCAGGGAATTCCTGAAACAGTAGCTGTTCCAGCGACTCCTTTATCTGGAGTAGGATCTGATGCAGAACGTGCTGCTCCTCCTGCCTCTGGAGGACCTAATTCATCTCCTTTGGATTTGTTTCCCCAGGTAAGAGTTTGGTACTTTTGATGCATGGAAAAGAGATAATTGAAGTTGAGTTCCCATTGCATGCTACGGGTTCTTTCTTTTCCTTTTCAGGAAGCAGTTTCTGATGCTGGAGGTGGAGATCTTGGAACGCTTGAATTCCTTAGAGGCAATGATCAGGTTATCTTTTTATTCTTAACCCCACTTTTCATTTGAGGTCATGTAAAATGATAAGGACTTAAAACTTGGTCACCGGATTTGTTAAATGCCTATTTCATCACCTTCAGGGAGGTGTAGTCTAGCCTACTTTTATGTCGTTTTGTTTTACCCATTCGATGCAGCTTCCTCATACATAATCTTGCTATGTTTCCATTTGTTCTAGTTCCAACAATTACGCACCATGGTCAATTCCAACCCCCAGATTCTTCAGGTAGTGAGTCTGAATCTTTTTGTTGGGTCCATGATTAGTAGGCTAACCTTTTTATCGCTTCTGACATTTCACCATTTCATTGTTGCTTCTGTTACAGCCTATGCTTCAAGAGCTCGGAAAGCAGAACCCCCAACTACTGAGGCTTATTCAAGAGAACCAAGCGGAATTTCTTCAGTTACTAAATGAGCCCTATGAAGGATCTGACGGGTGAGTACTATATAGTCTGCAGATCATTTTCTTGGTTTGGCCACTGCTTGAATGGTTAGATCTGTGATTGAGCAAAGCAATCACGTCTATATGTGACCCCATTGAGTTCATGACTCAATGGCTTTTATTAATTGTTCAAAACTCTCAGGGATATGGATATTTTCGATCAACCCGAGCAAGAAATGCCTCACGCTGTCAATGTTACCCCTGAAGAGCAAGACTCGATTCAACGGGTACATACACTCATACAATCCTCTTCACCATTATAGCGACCTGTAATACCATTTTTTTCATCCCTTCTAAGTCTTGTGTTAAACCTCTTTGCTCAGCTCGAGGCAATGGGGTTTGATAGAGCATTAGTCATAGAAGCCTTCCTTGCGTGTGACCGTAACGAAGAATTGGCTGCAAACTATCTGCTTGAGCACGCAGCAGATTTTGAAGACTGAGTCCCGACAACAACTTATAACTAAATCAGAGCACAGGAGAATTTTCTGTCCCCCCTCTATCTGAACTGTTACTCTGCTCAGAATCTTATATCTTATTCTTACATCTCAATCTACTTATAGAACAAGTTTGCCGTTGACACGATCCACATTTGTCTTTCTTTTGTAATTGCGTCTTTCAAGTTTTTTTCTTCTTCTCATAAATAGCACGGGAAACAGGAAACTGTGTTACGGATACAATTAAACTGAGGTCATACACATATGATGTGTGATTGTTATTATAAAAGCTCATGGATATCCTTATTTAATCGATCTGTTCTACTATCATGTGTTTGTTTATACACAAAGCACAAAAAACAATAAGCAACATTGGCGAGCAGAATCATGCCCAAAGTATGTTATACATAGTCTCTCTCACTCAACATTGTCTCTGGGAAACAAAAGATCTTCATTATATTCTCTGTCATGCATCTCCCTCTTCATGATACATTCCCTTGTTCCGTTCAAAGTTGCATTTCACTCAGAAGCAGCAGCAGCAGCCTGTTCAGGGCATATTTCAGCTTTAGATTGTTTCAAAATAAACTATCATAATTAATCAACACCTCTGCCAACTACCTCCACAGCCGTTAATTGTGTTAACTGCTAACCTTTTTTATGGTGTAAACACCAACTACTTCAGCATTTTGAACAGTTGAACAAGCCACTCTTAAGTCTTATCCCCATTATCTAAGAAGGTAAGATGGAATATTCACTAACCTGGTTAAGAGGATTATCTGGCGATTTTTTCCACATCTTCCATATCAAGTCCTTGTACTGAGTGTGAGTAAGACCTGGTTTATCCGCCTTCAGCCTTGGAAGTTCAGCTTCTTCAAAGGCCTTAAACCAAAATTATATCAATCAGCATATAAATCCACCATAACTTAGCATATTATGATCAATCTATCATACAATTATCATCATTTCAATGATACAGACAAAACTATATAACTTCAAAAGTATCATACTAGGACCTTGACAAAACCAATTATCAAACAACAACCCGGATCGTCTGCTAAATGTGATCCACTTCAGGAGGCAATTAGTAATATCATCTAGAACTCAGCTCAGGACAGAGATACACAATAATCTTCCCAATCAAGAACTCTGAACAGCAAACACTTGCTATGAATTAATAAGCAAAAGCAAAGAAGGCACAAGGGATAACCTTAAACGAAGCCTTGAGCCTTTTTTCCGGATGTCGATCAACAGGAAGGTTATCTGAAACCGTAATCCGTGCAAGCGCCTCGTCAACGGTATGGGCCTCGATGAGAGAATCATCGCGATTGGTATTGGTCACCAGTACCATCTTCTCGTACTCATCTTCTCCTGCCATGCGAGTCTGTTTCTTCTTAGAGTCTTCTGCTTTCTTGGCCAGCGCCAATTGCTCCTCCTCACGCCTCCGGATGAGCTCAGCCTCTGTGACCTTAGGGACCGGAACACTGACACGGTTTGCCTTCTTATCCGGCTTTTTCAGAGTCTTCTCCAGCTCTTTCTCCTCCTGCTCAGCCAGACGCTTGGCCTCCGCTTTCTTTGCGGCGGCCTCAGCCTTCTTCTCCGCCTCCTCCTCCCGCTTCTTCGCCGCCTTAGACTTAGGACCCTCCGCCTCGCGCCAGTATTGTTCCTCTTTCTCCCGAGTCTGGCGATCCTTCTGCTCAGCCTCGGCGGCGTTCTTCCGGGACTTGGCGACCTCCGCCTTGCTGTTCACACCCATCTTCTTCGGCATCTTCGATTCGCTAGGTTTGATTGATCTCGATTGTTAGTATGAAATGAGAATTGAATTGAAATCGCTAGGGTTACTATTTTCTTCACCGCAAATTTTTGTATGAAATGAGAGAATTGAATTAACCGTATTTGCTCGCTACATGTCGATCTCTGTCTGTTTGGTTTAGAGGCTTAAAGCGGTGGTCAAACTCATAGCTGGTATATCTGAAACAAACCGATCATTGTATTGGTTAAGGTCGTTAACCGGGATTTATTATTATTTTCCATATTTAATCCACTGCATGTTTCTCTGGTCCAATTTGAGAGAGAGCCTTTACCAACTTGACTGAAACATTTACTCAGTCGACCGGAGGCGGGAGGAACAATTCTAACCGGTTTCTCAGTTGGTGTGGGGCGGACTAAGTACAACTGGTTGGTTTCTCAGGCAAAGATGTAAATTTATTTCTGGCTATAACAACATTTAAAGACTGATGAAATGAGCTCACGTGCAGTACCAAGCTATTTTCCAATCTCTCTCTCTCTCATTCTTTTTGACTAAAAAAATACTTTTTTTTTTTTTTTTTTTTTACTTTTATGAATAGTCAGTCTTATGTTGGTAGGAGTTAGTAAACACTTTGTGCTCTGGTCTGTGTTCAAGTTTTGGCGTCTCTTTTCAAACAGAGAATCTTCAACAGTTTACGAGATTTTTCATTTTGATTGTTTCTATGATGGGTTTTGTAAAGATTTCGTTTTTCTTCTCTCTATATTAGTCTTTTCCCGCTGATGTTTGTAATGGAAGCTGAGAGTTTTTAAACGGGGGAATTTATTGCCGACCAAAGCCCAGACAAAAACCAAAAAGAAAAACAGGTCTTTTGTAGATTCTCTATATTTCTAACTATCGGGTTTTAAGGAAAATAAGGCTTAAACTTGTTTTGAAAGATTTGGTATTTTCAAATGGGTCTGTGTCATTCGAGAACTGATAAGACCACCATGAGGAAGGAGAAGGAAACGGGAACATCAAGCAATGCCATTACTACGGCGGGGAGACAAAGCTCTGGGAGGCCGAGAGATTTATATAGCGGCGGCCAAATCGATGAGATTCAACAAGTCACCGGTCGGCTTGTTGGCAATGGTTCAAGTGATATTGCTTGTCTTTACACACAACAAGGCAAAAAAGGAACTAACCAAGACGCCATGCTTGTCTGGGAGGTTCGTTCCTGTCCCTCTCTCTCTTTGGGAAATTTGAGTTTCACTTTAAGGGTTTTTGTTTGACTGTGATGAAATGTGGGATTATTTGATTTTTGAAGTTTTTTTTGGTATGGTTCACTGATTGAAGAAAACTATTGACTTCTCTGTGTTGTTGCTGCTACAAGAACTCTTCTTGTTACTATATATGTTCTTCTTTTGTTGTTTTGACGAATTAACCTTAGTTCAATTTTTGATATCTCCTTCTTCAACTTATTTTCAGAATTTCTGTTCGAGAAGCGATACAGTGTTATGTGGTGTATTTGATGGACATGGTCCATTTGGTCATATGGTTTCAAAGAGAGTCCGAGATATGTTACCTTTCACATTATCAACTCAACTGAAAAAGACATCGGTAACGGAACAAAGCGGCTCCAAGAATGGCCTCGAGTCTGCTACTTGCGTAGATGAAGAGCAATTGTGCGATTTACAGCCGAGTGAGAAGGACGGGAAGCTACTTCCAGAGATGTATCTCCCGCTGAAACGGGCTTTGCTGAGGACTTGTCAACAGATGGATAAAGAGTTAAAAATGCATCCAACCATCGATTGTTTCTGCAGCGGAACAACTTCTGTCACTGTGATCAAACAGGTGAAAGTCCTGTAACCGGTGATTTACTCCCTCATTGGTTCTGTATGTTAACTGCTCTGACTGTTTACTGTTGGTGTGTGTATATTCCTTTATAGGGTAAGGATCTAGTGGTGGGAAATATTGGTGACTCGAGAGCCGTTCTTGCCACAATAGACCAAGCAAATGCTTTGATCGCTATTCAATTGACTATAGACTTAAAACCCGATTTGCCAAGTATATCATCTCTTCCTGTCCTGTTATCAGTCAGTATTCGTCATTTTGGAAACACCAATCAAATTTTCTTCTCTATGTAATTCCTTCAGGTGAATCAGCAAGAATCCAGAAATGTAGAGGTAGAGTCTTTGCTTTACAAGACGAGCCTGAGGTTGCACGTGTGTGGTTACCGAACAGCGATTCACCTGGTTTAGCAATGGCTCGAGCGTTTGGGGACTTCTGTCTTAAAGATTATGGTCTAATATCTGTTCCGGATATCAACTACCATCAACTCACTGAAAGAGACCAGTTTATTATTTTAGCCACAGACGGGGTAAACTACTCTTCTTATTCTTCTCACGGGTTATTGTCGAAATTTGGAGCTAAAGTGTCTGTTATACTAGGTATGGGATGTTTTGTCGAACAAAGAAGCTGTTGATATTGTGGCTTCAGCTCCTAGTCGAAACACTGCGGCTCGTGCTCTAGTCGACACAGCAGTTCGAGCATGGAGGCTCAAATATCCTACTTCCAAGAACGATGACTGCGCTGTAGTATGCCTCTTTCTTGAAGATTCTCCAGCAGAACCGTCAACTGAAATTTCAGAATCCGTTAATCATCCACACAAAGAGTCTTCAGAGAGTGTCACTGTCACATTAAACAAAGATGGTGACAAGAAGGAAGAGGCTGCAACAGAAACAGATGAGATCATACCGGTTCGGGAGATAAGAGAAGATAAGACGCCTGCGAATTGCAGGACTGAGTCCAAGAAGACAACACTCGCTGAGTGTATATCGGTTAAGGATGATGAAGAGTGGTCGGCGTTGGAAGGATTGACAAGAGTCAACAGTCTTTTAAGCATTCCCAGGTTCTTCTCTGGCGAGCTAGGATCAAGTAGCTGGAGAAAATGGTTGTGAGTTAACAACTTTAGAAAGTCATCGAACAAGCAATCACTGATTTTCATTTCATGATTGATTTTCTTTCCATTGATGACATGAAAATCAGTGTTAACGAATGTCACAAAATGAGATTTGTTTCATATAGCGAAGCCAAGTTCCCTCGTGGAAGAACAAGTCACATATAGTTTGTCTGGTTCACTTATATTTTTGTCTCTTCATTTTACTTGCTACCATGTCAGTCTTTATGAAGACAGCAAATCGCGAAAACTGCACACATTACATATTTTTTTTCAAGCGTTCTTGCAACAGAAGAGAAATGAAAAGCTCAACCACAACTGTGGAATGAGGAAATACATCGCAATCATTCACATAGGGAGGAGAGGGCAGTGACCTACAGAGAAACTTAAAAGTTTGCGGATGTTGGTATTACATATACTTAACCAGCAGCCATATAACAACAACAAGACCGACAATCCCCAGCACTGACAAGAGCATGGACATGCAAGAGCAACCACTTCTCATATTCTTACTCATGACAGCAAGGTTCTTCTGCACTCTCTGTGATAAGAAACAACATACAGAACAGATCAATGTCTTTAATTAGGCAGTAGCTTAGCATAATGTGGGTATTGGTTAGGCAACCCCAAAACAGATCATCAGTACATCAATGTTACTCTTGCGATTCTCTTCATGCATGAACCAACTAAAGCTTGGCATAACCAAAGTATTTTGTTGGAATATATAAGTGTTGAAGGATAATATTACCCTTAAGCGAGAGTCAGTAACATCCACATGGTAATCCAAGTCATCCTGCATAAAGGAATATCCAGATGTGTTATGATCAGGAAGTCCAAATAATAAATCATGGGAAAGCAATGAAAAGCCGGTGACATACAATAAGCCTTGTCTGCAAGCCAAGTTCCTCACTAACAGTCAAAGCAATGTGTTTTGTACTCATGACTGTTCCCTCCAATTCCTCAAGTCCTTCGTCTTGTTCTACTTACAGGAAATGAATATATTTAATAAACAAACTAATACAGAAGTCAACATTATGTTTACAAAGTAAAAAAAGAGGTAACCTTTCATAACTTTTCGTTGATACCCAACAATGCCTTGGTTATCCATGCTGGCCACTCTGCTCATTGAATCATCCGGCTTTGTTTCTGGTCCAAGCAAGCTGTCTCTATTGGCAAAGTTTGACATGTTCAAAGCAGTCGCCATCTGGTTTGCTTTTGACCGCAAATTCCCTACCATATCCTTGCGGCGGTTCATCTCTTTCTCTGAACTGTACCAGTAAGTAATACAATATGAGATGAACACTATACTGAAAAGTGTGTAATCTACAGGTTCAATGGTAGTAAGCAATGAGGATTTAGACTTAGTTAATGGCTTACATAGGTTTTCCATGAATTTTGGCAAGAATAGACTGCAGACTGTCTAACCGGGTTCCGAACATGGTAATCTTTCTTCGTATGAGTGAAGCATGACGTTGAGCATCAGGCCCTGTCGCAGCCGATGAACTTATTTCTGATATCATTCCATTAATATCTTCTGAGAGTTTTAAAGCCTCGTTGTATTCTCTCATCCATGAATCCGACGAAGACGCCATTGACCTGGTTCTTGTATAATTGAAAAGCTACAGATCAGTTTCAGATATTTCTAACGTGATCAACGATGCAATATATAAGATGCAACAGCAGCAACAAATATACAAAAATGGATCTAGGATCAGGAAGCTGATGATATCGTAGCGATTCAGCAGCTGATATATCCCAAATCAATGCACTAGGTATTAATCTATATACCGTCGTTAAGAGAATCGAATTGCTTACCAAGAAATTTATAGAACTTCTGATCAAACCTTCAATTTCACGGTTCAATTTCACGGCGCTTGTATTGTGTAAGAGATCAACTTGCTGAATTATGGCTCTGTAAGTTGCCGAACCACCGTGAATCAGAGGAAATGGAGTCTCACGCACCGGGACAAGAATTTCCCGTCGAAGGAAGATAGATAACGAATAAAGCGATGCCGTTTAAGCCGTGCTCGTTTTGGGTTAAATAATTAATTGAGAAAGTAAGGCGTTAAAACATAAAACATGTGTAAGTAAAGGATCAAATACATATTAAATTTGGATATTTCGATTTTCGACCCATTAATAATGGATCTATCCATTTTGATCCCCATGCCTGTATTCTCTCGTTCCTCTCGGTCTTTATTTCCAGAATCTCGAGTTCCTCTTTGAGCGCGTGCTTTGTTCCATCATAGATAGATCGGTCTGATTTGGGTTTCCGTTTTGATTCTTCGTGATATCGTTAATGGCGTTTTGAAGAAGGGGTAATTTTAGTGTTCTAAAGCACTTTCGAGAAGGGGATCGTAGAATACATTACAATCTCTCTACGTTCGATTGATGTAAGTTAGCTCTCTAGTTGTTTTTTGCACATAATTGAATCTAAATCCTTTACCTTTTTATCTCCCTGGTTCCAAAAATTTGATTTTTCTCTTTTCTAAGACATTTTATTGATTTTGATTATTGATTGAAGAGGGCTGATCGTTAGTGGCTATGACTTTAATTTCAGGGAGTGCATAGAGCAGTCTATTATCCCAGGTTTACCTGATGATTTGGCTTTGAGATGCATAGCGAAGCTTTCTCATGGGTATCATGGACTGCTCGAGTGTGTTTCTAGAGGGTGGAGAGATTTAGTTCGCAGCGTTGATTATTCGTGCTATAAAGCTATAAATGGATGGTCAGGGAGCTGGTTCTTTGTGTTGACAGAACGTTCTAAGAACCAGTGGGTTGCTTATGATCCTGAAGCTGATCGATGGCATCCATTGCCTAGAACCAGGGCTGTTCAAGATGGCTGGCATCATTCTGGTTTTGCCTGTGTTTGTGTTTCGAATTGTCTTCTTGTGATTGGGGGTTGCTATGCGCCTTCCGTGTCATCCTTTCCTCATCAGAAGCCTGTTGTCACTAAAGATGTCATGCGGTTTGATCCGTTTAAGAAAGAATGGAAGATGGTTGCTAGTATGCGAACTCCACGGACTCACTTTGCTTGTACTGCTGTCTCTGGCAAGGTCTATGTTTCTGGAGGTCGCAATTTAACCCATTCCAGGGGAATTCCATCTGCTGAGGTTTATGATCCTGTGGCCGATAGGTATTTTTTCCTCTGCTAATGTGGTCTATATTCTTGTGTAATATACACTCCAAAACATTATTCTTTTTGTTTGTTTTTTCTATGATGGGAAATATAAGTTTTAAAGTTTTAACTTGAGAAGCTATCAAATTAGAGTCTGACATAGCAGTATTGCAGATGGGAGGAATTACCAGCAATGCCTAGACCACAGATGGACTGCTCCGGGTTATCATACAGGGGCTGCTTTCATGTTCTGAGTGACCAGGTGGGATTTGCAGAGCAAAATTCATCTGAAGTTTTTAATCCTGTAGACATGACTTGGTCCACTGTGGAGGATGTCTGGCCTTTCTCTAGAGCCATGCAGTTTGCTGTTCAGGTGATGAAAAATGATCGTGTGTACACAATTGTTGATTGGGGAGAAAGCTTGATCAAGACTAGGGATACAGATGATGGGGAATGGTACAATGTTGGTTCAGTTCCTTCTGTTGTTCTTCCTAATCATCCGAGAGAGCTAGAGGCCTTTGGATATGGGTTTGCAGCTCTAAGGAATGAGCTCTATGTTATAGGAGGCAAGGTCCTTAAATGGGAAGAATCTGGGGCAGGGAGATTTGACATTGTGAGATTGCCCGTTGTGAGGGTATGTAACCCTTTGGATAGGCCTCTTAATTGGAGAGAGACCAAACCGATGTGCATTCCAGCCGGTGGGTCCATCATTGGTTGTGTATCCTTGGAAGAATCTTCTCCACCTTAACCAAGGTGATAGAGTCTTTCTGGACACAGAAATTATTACAGTCTATTCTTTAATTATTGCATGGTGAGAAAAAATGAGTAGTAAAAAGGAGACATGGAAAGCGCTTTAGTCTTTTCACAAACAAGTAACTTCGCCTCGTTATTTAGTAATTTCTCCTGCAGAAGTCTCGCATAGCTTATATGTAAGAAGACTGAAATTTTGTCATATCATCTTTTATGCTAGCATGGAAACTCTAGTTATAGCAAAATTAGCTATGTGTTGTTTTGCAGTCTATTATGGTTACATATTTTCCAGCAACTGTACTGATACTTTTTGGAAACTCTTTCTTGTGCTGTAGCTGACTAATATTCATGGGATGTCCGAGTTTGCACCTTCTTTGAGAAAGACCTTGGTCCATTGTCAAAGTAGAAGCTTCTGGTGTAATACAAACTGCGCAGACAACTGGACACTTGGAGCTAACTGGAAACCATGTGCTCGAAAACAGTTGTTTATAAGGAAAGTAGTTACCGGAGAAGTCACCTTACAATGTATATATCTTGCGGGTAAAAGACCTCCACAGTTTCATGTGAAATGAGTTCAGTATGTCATGCTCTGCAATAAGGTAACCAGAGGGTGGTCAGGCTATTACGGTGTCACTCATATATGGAAAGACTTGGACTTGCGTGCTTAATAAGATTCATGTTATCTCAGTGTATTCAAGTGTGAGTGAACTTATCTTTTGTCATGTGTCCAGTTGACCCACACATAGGTGTATCATGTGTATAGACCAAACGCGTGAAAATTAAATTAAGAGTAATACAAACAGTTGATAATTTTGTAGCCTCCTTTGTTTCCTAGATTTGCTACATAAAGTCTTACTACATGGAGTACATTCACACAAGCAATAAGACTTTCAAGTTTGATTAATGTATTATATATATATATAATATATATATATATATGTATATGTAGAGTTTTAGCTATCCAGTCACTGTGTCTTGTGAGGCATGAGTGGCTTTGAGTCCAGTGAGAATGAGCTGTTTTCAACAACTATGTTTGGAGAAGAGTAACTAAGTGACATAGACTCCGGTATTGCGATCTGGATGTGTGCATACTCTTCACCATTCTGTACTTGGCTTTGAGGGTCTTTTCTCTTAGATTGAATCCTATCTAGTTCAATAAAGACATCTCTCATGATAGGGCGATGTTCTGAGTTGAAGTTCAAACACCTTCTTGCAAGGTTGGCTACTGCAAGGACCTCTTCTCGATCACAATCTTCCCTGATGCGAGCATCGAGAATCTCATGAAGTCTATCATTTCTCATGGCTTCGAGGAAGTAAGCACCCAACATCCTGACTTCTTGCCGCCTCAGAAGTGAGACAGGTTTCTCTCCGGTTAAAAGCTCAATGAGCAAAACCCCAAAGCTATAGACATCACTTTTCCCTGTGAAATGGCTTGACTGAAGGTACTCTGGGTCTACGTATCCAATTGTTCCTTGCACTTTTGTTGTCAAGTGAGTATCATCTATAGGAACAGATCTCGAAATTCCAAAATCTGACACTTTTGCACGGTGCTTTTCATCCAATAAGATATTTGTTGACTTGACATCTCTGTGATAAATTGGGATAGAAGCGGCTGAATGCAGGTAGGAGAGGGCATCTGAGACTTCGCAGGCAATGCGGAATCGGACTTCCCAAGTCATTGGGAAATCCTCTGATGGGTTGTGAAGATGATCGAAAAGGTTGCGGTTGGGAACAAACTCATACACTAGCACAGGTACCTCTGTCTCTAGACAACATCCTAAGATCTTAACAACATTTCGGTGGTTAATCTGTGACAAAAGGATGATCTCATTGATGAATTCCTCAAGATTCTCTTCTTCCAATGCTTTGGACTTCTTGACAGCGACAATCATTCCATCTTCCAACATTCCTTTATAAACTGTACCTTGCCCGCCTTGCCCTAGTATTCTGCTCGCATTGAATCTATCTGTTGCCTTCTCCAGGTCATTGGAGCTGAATAGTTTTGTTCTGTTAACACTGCCTTGAAGAAAGGATGTTTGTTGTTGTAGCAACAGACCTCCGTTTCGTTTGAAGAACTTCCGCTTCTGCTTGGCTGTTTTCCACTTTCTACTAACCTTGCATAGCAACCACATTCCAACGACCAAAAGCAACAATCCAGAACTTAGAGTTCCACCTGCGTTGTAAATTGAACTTTTCAGTTTTGATCTGGATACCTGATGGGATTATGCGAGTACATTAAGTTAACTTACCCATAATTGCTGGCCAAGTTTTCACACATCTGAATGATCCAGGAACGTTCACACACTTCTTCTTTCCACAGTTATTTAACTTATTATGACGTCCATTGCTGCATTCATCAATATCTTATGGAGAAAAAACAAATTCCAAACTTCACACAAGTTACAAAAAGCTATACCACACATAAGCACTTCATTCAATCTAATAAGGAAGTTGATACATACCTTGACATCCACCAGGAGCAGGAATGTAGGGATTTCCTTCGTAGCCATCTAAACACGAACACATATAATCATCTTCAGCAAATGTTTTTGGCTTGCATAGTAAACCATCTGAAGTCATGGGGGAATTAAGATGCCACTCCAGCTCCATTATTGCGTATTTACGGTACTCCAGTAATTCAGGAGGTGTGAACAAGGACCCTGACAAGGAAGATAGAGTCAAGAAGGCAACCTGACATCCTTCTTTACTTGGTTCTATTTTCTCTACGGTTGCATAAAACTCTTGAAGATGAGATGGTATAGTCATCTGACAGCATTTGTAACCAACACAACTCGTGTTAGCTCCTTTGTAAGACTGTATCTCATTCCCACATGTCGACTTGCATCCCACAATTTGTAACCCCGTGGCGTTCATAAACGCCTTGTTGTTGCATCCAACAGCTGTGAACATATTGTTCTCTGATAGGAAGAATGGACTGTCCGTCAGATTCAAAGACGACGATGAATCACCATCCCTGCCGAGACAACCGGTATGCTTTAATGGGCTCTTAATGAAAAACTTGTTGCTAACCGATATGGAGAAGTAGTTTCCCAAGTTGAAGGAAGTAACTTCCCGTTTAATACTTGGGAGGAAAAGTATTTGTTGTTGGTATGATGATGATGAGCTTTTGCAGACGATCTCGAACCATTTGCTCTTGTAACAACCTTTGCCTATCCCAAAAGGGTAAGGAATGCTAATGTTTCCGCAATGGTCTCTGCAATTAGGAAGTGCAATAGGAAAAGCAGAAGCAGCTACTGCATATTCACAGATCCGCAACAGGATCATAGGAATAAGGAAACGATTCAAATCACAACCCATTTTCTCTCTCGTTCTCTTTCAGGAGTCAGAAGTTCTGTTCAGAGGTTCAGGCACACCTCTCTCTAACAGAGACAAGTCAACCTTTCTAAATTTTATATTTATGCATGATACATCAACGAAGACCTTGACCCATATGATGATATGACTTGAGAGTCTACAACATGAATACGTCGTGGGCTCCCATAGATACTGCAGAAACCACACACACACAAGAAAGGATAATGTTTCTTAATTTTCTAATATGTTTTTTTTTAATCTAAAATAAAAATAAAAATGCCAAAGATATCGATGATGAGCCTCTTAAAACGAAGCATTGAGTTTTACTATGTAAATAAAAGTTGTTCAATGTCATCACCCTCAAACAGACGAAGATGATGTTCTGTCTCCTTGATTAAGTAAGTAGTACGTTGACTGACTTTCACATTTGTTCATACAAAAGAAGATCAAGATTTGTATTGATAATGACAGTTTCGATACCTAACTTCTCGAGGTTACAACAGATTGTGTCAGGAAGTTCTTGGTCTCTGCAGCCAATGACGACCAGAAACACGTACTATACTAGCTGTGAAGAAAATTAGCAAGCTTGTGTTTGCATTTGTGAGCGGGAAGGTGCCTTCAAGAAGATTCAAATAGATAAGAAGTTCTCAAGAGTCACGGTAACTTTGGTTTATTCAGTTTTTCCGCACCTTTCGTTAACTTTGGAAACTTTTCCCCTCTCCCTTTAAAAAAAGCACGGAGCTATGGACTTTTATGTTTAGGTCCAATGGGCCTAGAATTTGAAGTCTTAAAAGTTCTAATACCGGTTGACAAAAAAAAATTGAATCTGTGTATCTAGCCAGGACTAAAACTTTAGCTTTTAATTGCTATCCAATCTATTATATAAGTGTTCAACCAGAAATTAAAGTTTATAGGGAAAAAACAGATAGAAACTTTTAATAAACGAAAATGAGAATGAAAGGATCCGCACGTTCTAAGAATTCATTCGCTCAGTCATTCATTTTAGGATCTGATGAAAAAGAAAGTCCCATTTAATGCACAAACCGTATAACATAAGCTACGGGAGAAAGAGAGAGACTTGATTCCATACTTCTCACTTACTCATTCTTTATCCTTTCATCTCAGCCGTCTGTTTCCCTCAACATCACAACGATGTACGGTTCTCGTTTCTTTTGTTTTTTAAGCATACCGAGTCACACGGACACGAACCCTTTGTGTGTATTTCCATTACATTACAACCAAAAAAAAAAAAAAAAAAAAAACTCCTTATGACCAATTTGTTTTTTTTTTTTTTTTTGTTAATAGAAACAGGATTTACCATTTTTGAGTAAGAAACGAGGAAACCTAGAGAGAAAGTGAGAGAAGAAGAAGACACACACACACCAAAAGAGAAAAAGAGGTTAGGGTTTTGGATGAGATTTGAACAAAGAGAAGATGTTTTTTTATTTAAAATTTATTGTTGTTGCTAGCTCTCACAATCCTTGTTGAATTTGTTTTTGTTCTCACCGCACGCACCGCTTCAAGCTCCACATTTCTATCATTGGTGGTATTTGTTCTTTCTTTCAGTTTTGATTCTCTTGGCATTTTTGACTGGAGCTGATTTTAGCGATGTGATATGGCCGAAATCTTTCAAATCGAGCTAGGGTTTTGTTTTTCTTTTTCTTAAATTTTTCTTTTGAGGTTTTGGATTCATTGATCTTACGTTGCCATGGAAAAAGTTTCCATTTTCGAAAGAAAAAGCATGTTTTTGGAGTTTTCTGGTCGGATTATTCATCTTTAATCTCTAATATCTGAAGAACTTTTGAGTTAATCTTATAGTATGAAGGACTTGATTAGTCTCTGGAGGATTCATTTCTGTTAAAAGCTTATTTCTTTCTTTCCATTGTCTTTATTTCAGCTTAAATATTCGGGCAGGGGAGCTTTGTAGCGGCATCCGCCTTCAATCTCTGAAGCAATTTGGCATCTTTATAGTTTGTTAGCAGTGATTCTTTCTAGTTCCTGTATGTCAGATTCTTGTTACATGTGTTGTCAATCAGAATAATTTGGAGGACTGTTGTTGTTGTCGTGATGGATAGAAACAGACCACAACATCCGTTCCAGCAACACGCCATGGAACCTGGTTATGTTAATGACTCTGTCCCTCAAGGATATATGCCTGATCAAACGGGTATCATAAATGCAAATGTCCGACCTCCCTATACGACTGCTGCAGATGTTAAGCCGGGGCTTCATTACTCCTTACAAACAGGGGAGGAATTTTCTCTTGAGTTTCTGCGTGATCGGGTGATTTCTCAAAGGTCTACGAATCCCAATTCCCCTGGAGATATGAGTTATACCGCAGGTTATAACGGGCACGCAGGGTCTGAATTTGGGTCAGATGTTTCAAATATGAGCATGGTGGGAAATGGCATGAGGCAGTATGAGAGACCAAACCCCTCGGTTCACGAGTTTGGAAATAAACTTGGACATATCCATTCAGCACCAGAAGCTTCATTATGTCAAGATAGAAGTTTAGGAAATTTTCATGGATATGCATCTTCTTCTGCCTCAGGTAGTTTAACTGCAAAGGTTAAAGTCCTTTGTAGCTTTGGTGGGACAATACTTCCACGTCCAGGTGATTCAAAACTTAGATATGTTGGAGGTGAGACACACATTATTTCCATAAGAAAGGACATATCTTGGCAGGAGCTTAGGCAAAAGGTTCTTGAAATCTACTACCGGACTCATGTTGTGAAGTATCAACTTCCTGGTGAAGATCTTGATGCCTTGGTGTCTGTATCATGTGACGAAGATCTACTGAATATGATGGAGGAGTATAATGAGATGGAAAATCGTGGGGGTTCGCAAAAGCTTAGAATGTTTCTCTTCTCTGTAAGTGATTTGGATGGTGCTCTTTTAGGGGTTAACAAAAATGACGTTGACTCTGAGTTTCAGTATGTTGTAGCTGTAAATGACATGGACCTTGGATCAAGAAGCAACTCATCCGTTAATGGATTGGCTGGCTCTTCTGTAAACAATTTAGCTGAGCTGGATGTCAGGAACACCGAGGGAATCAATGGTATTGGCCCTTCGCAGTTAACAGGGGTAGATTTGCAACAATCCTCTATACAGTATTCCGAGTCTGCTCCACCAAGCTCCTTTCCTAAGTATCCTCAATCTATTCCACACAATGCTGCATTTCAGTTTCAGCAAGCGGTTCCACCAAATGCTACTCTTCAGTATGCCCAGTCCATTCCACCAAGTTCGTCTATTCAGTATCCTCAATCTATCCCACCAAATTCCACTCTTCAGTATCCACAATCGATCTCCTCCAGCTCTTATGGAATACACCCACAATATTACGGAGAAAGAGAGCAATTTCCAATGCAGCATCATGATCACAATTCTTCTAACTACTCTATTCCCATGCCTTTCCAAGGGCAGGCATACCCTCACCCTGGCATCACACAGCAAAACGCACCAGTTCAGGTAGAGGAGCCAAACATAAAACCTGAGACGAAAGGTCGTGATTATGTGGAGCCTGAAAATCGTCAAATTCTGGCAAATAATCACCAGAATCCTCCCCAAGCGGATGAAACTGAGGTTAAGAATAGGGAAGCATCAGTTGCAACAACTTTACCTAGCCAGGATGCTGCACATATGCTGCCCCCAAGAAGAGACACACGGCAGAACATTCCTGTGAAGCCTTCTACCTACCGTGATGCTGTTACTACTGAACAGGTTCCTGTATCCGGTGAAGATGATCAGCTTTCAACATCAAGTGGTACCTGTGGTCTTGTTCACACCGACTCTGAGTCGAATCTAATTGATCTTGATTATCCAGAACCATTACAGCCTGCCCGGAGGGTATACCGTTCGGAGAGGATACCTCGCGAACAGTTAGAAATGTTAAACCGCTTGTCAAAGTCTGATGACTCACTTGGTTCTCAGTTTTTAATGTCTCACTCACAAGCTACCACTGGACAGCAAGAACCAGCAAAAGAAGCAGCGGGTAAATCACATGAAGATTCCCATATTGTTAATGATGCGGAAAACATTTCTGGAAAAGTAGGGGCATCAAATGAAACCTTGGACAAAAGAACGGTCAATGGTGGAGGTATTGAGACTGAAGCTCGTAACTTGAGCCATGAAGACACTGAAATGAGTCATGATATCCCTGAAAAACAAACTTCTTCAGGTGTTCTTATTGATATCAATGACCGGTTCCCTCAGGACTTCCTTTCTGAAATATTCGCGAAGGCACTCTCTGATGATGTGCCGCCAGGTGCCAATACTTATCAGCATGATGGCGCTGGTGTTAGCTTAAATGTAGAAAATCATGATCCTAAAAATTGGTCTTATTTTCGGAACCTGGCTGAGGAACAATTTAGCGATAGGGATGTTGCTTATATTGACCGGACCCCTGGCTTTCCATCTGACATGGAAGATGGTGGAGAGATTGCCAGATTGCATAATGTTGCTCCGTTGATTAGAGACGGAATTTCAACAGAAACCCGTGTGGATCCTCAGATGAAGGTCACAGAGAGTGAGGAGTTTGGTGCTATGGTTGAGAATTTAAGGACGTCGGACTGTGAACATGAGGTATAAGTTTCTGGTAGATTTGATTTCACGATTTCAAAACGATGAGTATACTAATGAGTTCAATGCTTGGTAGGATGAAAAGACAGAAACAAGGAACGCTGGACTTCCCCCCGCTGGCTCGTCTCTGGCAGATTACGACACGAGTGGCTTGCAGGTATGATGGTCTATAAATTCTTACACCTGATAGAAGTTTTTACTTGTCTACATTAGAAAAGGATAGTAATTTCTCTAAAATATTTCACATTGTTTGAAGAATCAAACATAGTATTAACCCGTGTTTGTCATAAAAGAAAAATTCTGCTTCTAGTCTCCGCCTGTGATTCATCTATTCTTATGTTACTAGATCATTATGAACGACGATCTCGAGGAGCTAAAGGAGCTTGGTTCTGGCACATTCGGTACAGTGTATCATGGGAAATGGAGAGGATCAGATGTTGCCATCAAAAGGATAAAGAAGAGCTGCTTTGCTGGCCGATCATCTGAGCAAGAAAGATTAGTATGTATTTCTGCATTTTCTTTTCGAAAATTTCCTTTGGGCATTTGACATATGTTAAAGCAGCACGGATGCATAGCACCTCTAGACTGCTCATTATGAGACACTTCTGAATAACTTTTGTTTGCTAGACTGGTGAATTCTGGGGAGAAGCTGAAATTCTTTCAAAGCTTCATCATCCAAATGTCGTTGCATTTTATGGTGTTGTAAAAGATGGACCTGGCGCAACATTGGCTACTGTAACAGAGTACATGGTTGATGGTTCTCTGAGACATGTTCTACTCAGGAAAGATAGGTACAAATCTCTCTTTCTGCGATTTCGTATTCGGTGAACAGTTAAAGATTATTTGCTTTTCACTTTTATATTGTTAGACACCTGGATCGCCGTAAGAGACTAATCATCGCCATGGATGCTGCCTTTGGAATGGAATATTTGCACGCTAAAAACATTGTTCACTTTGATTTGAAATGTGACAATTTACTTGTGAACCTCAAAGATCCTTCTCGCCCAATCTGCAAGGTAAAAATTTGTTCATATGATGTCGATGAACAAAATTAATTCATACTCTTCACACGATTGTTCTTCCTCAAGGTTGGTGATTTCGGTTTGTCGAAAATTAAAAGAAATACATTGGTATCCGGTGGTGTACGCGGAACCCTACCATGGATGGCACCAGAGCTTCTCAATGGTAGCAGCAGCAAAGTTTCAGAGAAGGTAAAAAAAATATTTCATAGTGAATATAAAGAATGGGAACAAAACCAAATCTGAGTTATTACTGGTTTCCCTGCAGGTCGATGTCTTCTCTTTTGGTATAGTATTGTGGGAGATTCTAACCGGAGAGGAACCATATGCTAATATGCACTACGGTGCTATAATAGGTGCGTGTTTAACAAACCCACAAGCTTTGATTTTTTCCTGCCCGATCCTGTTCAGTTCGGATTTTTTGGTGTATGAAGTATGAACTGTTGAAACTGAATACCATTCGGCTTTTGAGTCGAGTATGGTTGGGTTGGGTTTGAGTTTTTACTTTGAAGAATTTTCTTAAAAGATGAGGGTTATAGTCAGCCTATTTTCTTCTCCATCTCGGTTTCGGTTCTGGTTTCTTCTGGACAGGTTTTTGGCCTGGAAATGGTAACATCGGATCGGACACGACTAGGTCTTCTTGCTCATAAATTTACGGGTTGAATGCAGGTGGGATAGTGAACAACACACTGAGGCCGACCATACCGAGCTATTGTGACTCGGACTGGCGAATATTAATGGAGGAGTGTTGGGCGCCTAACCCAACAGCACGTCCATCCTTCACAGAGGTTGCAGGTCGTTTACGTGTTATGTCAACTGCAGCTACTTCGAACCAATCCAAACCACCAGCTCACAAGGCTTCAAAGTGAAACAGAGTCGATATTTTATAGGTTTCTCTTTACTCTTTCCAAGTGTTTTGGGGTCAGGAGGGAGATATTTGTTGACCCTTTTCTCCTTTCCCTTTTTTTTACCAAAACCAGAACAAAATAAATAATAAATTTGTTTTTTTTTCTCGCCAAAGTGGGGGAAAGAAATATGATAGATGTCAGAACGTTTCTTACAAAATGTGAACAACCAAGATTCAAGACAAATAAATTTGGTAAATGTGAAGTAAACATATTGTTAAACACGGATTGTCAGAGATTTTCTGTTCAAAATGCAGCTAAGAGAACAAAATTTGAAGATCATTTTATTCATCAATTTTCTGTTGATTTTGGCCTTTTGCTCCGCTTCTTAAACAAGCCTTTATCCGTAAGTGTTTTACGTTTCAGTTTCCTCCGGTCTTTAACCTTGTCTTCGAATCCATCATCTAGCATCTTCATCATTGCCACCCTTTTGGCTTTTGACACCTGCAGATTCAGTTTTACAAGTTAGGATCAGTAAAAGATATAACTCGCATCAACTAACTGATCTCACTTTTCTTATATACTCAGATGAACTAGAACCTAGACATAATCGCAAGGCAGCTGGTATAACTCAGTATTTGATCAGACTGAGCCTAAGATAAAAAGGAGAATTTTGATGTATTACACAGCGAATCTTACCTTGGTGACTTCTAAACTGTCAGTGATTTTTTTATGGCTGTACTGTTCCATCTTCTTTCCAACTTCCGCTTCTATTTCAAGGATAAGGTCCACATCGGTCTGCAAAAGGATATGTAAGAAGGGTTAGGTTGTAAGCCCAACCATGAACAACAACACTTACGTTCTATGTAATTCTATGATTTACTACTGTACCTCAGTGACAATGCTTACAGCCAGACCTCCTCTACCAGCTCTAGCTGTACGTCCAACACGATGAACATAATCCCTTGGATATCTGAACGTGGGCCAAATGTAGAATTAAAATAACAGTTGAACTTGAAAAGCACAGTGAATTAAAGAAACAACAAGTCATCACCAAAAGGTACCTCGGAATGTCATAATTGATGACAAGGTCAACAGTAGGAATGTCCAATCCACGGCTAGCAACATCAGTTGCAAGCAATATAGGTACTTTCCCAGACTTGAATTTACTTAATGCAGATAGTCGCATTGACTGAGAATTCAGAGAATGCATAGCTGCATTTTCCACTTCAAGCTCTTCAAGCATAAGACTTAACCTTTGACATGTTCTAAAACATTAAACAATATCTAATCAGTAACTGCAAATGGAATCACCCGCTGGATATTTATATAGCTATGAATATGAGACCTGCATGTGGAGACAAAAATCATAGCTGATCGAATGCCTTTGTCTTCCATTTGAGATAGGATGTGCACAAGATATAGTTCTTTTGCATCTTTGTCTTCGTAAATGTACTGCTGCGTAAGAGTGTCAACAGTCTTTAACCCTTCATAGGCTTCATAGAAATAAGCTTTGTTTGAAGAATGTTCGAGCAACGTCTGTAAGTTACTAGTCATCGTAGCAGAGAACAACAATGTTTGTCTAGTTTTAGGCAGACACTGAAAGATTGTCCGCAACTCGTCTTGGAAACCAACATCAAGAACTCTATCCGCCTCATCCAGCACTAAGAACTAATCAAACAAACACTAAGTCAAGCTAAGAATCAACTTGAAAAAGAAAAAAAGCTAATTTGATGGCTAAGCATTTGTGAATGATCTTTAGTACCTTGGTTCTAGAGAAGACTGGAGGAATATCAGGATTGTTTTCAAGCAAAACCTTAATTCTCCCGGGAGTAGTAATGACGATATGAGGTCGTGAAACCAAGCTCCTCGTTTGGGTCAACATATCCATTCCTCCCACAATCACAGAGCAACGCAAATTCAGACACGAACCTAAAGCCTTAAACTGCTCAGCGAGCTGAAAAGCCAGCTCTCTAGTCGGAGTCACCACAAGAGCGTAGACTCCATAAGGATCTTCAGCGAAACGGTGAAGTATCGGCAGAGCAAACGCCGCCGTTTTACCACTACCAGTCTGAGCAAGCCCTAAGACGTCCCGTCCGGCCAATATCTTCGGCACGCAGTGAGTCTGAACTGGAGTGGGTTTACGCATGCCAAGCTCCTTGCACGTTTCCACAGCCCACTCAGCTAATCCAAGTCCTTCGAAATTAGCGACGGATGTGGTGTCGGAACTAGGGTTAGGATTTGTAAATTTCTCAAACTGAGGAGCATCCTTGTCGGAATCAAGTTTCTGAGACTGAATTTGAACTACGGTTTTGGGGGCTTTTCGGGATTTAGCCATGATGGTGATTCCCCCTTCCTCCCCCGACATAGGTTCCTCCATTCTCTTTGAATCAGGACAAGACACAAAAGAAAGTGAAGAACTTGATTCCAAGTTATCGCCGGAAAAATACGTTAGCCGCCGTTCTTAGATTGTCCTGAACATATATACGACGCGTGAACTAGGGGTTCAAATCTGGTTTAGCCGAACCGAAATCTAAAACCGGAACAGCCGGAAAAAATTAAACGGACCGATGGTCTGAAAATTTTCTATAACACACCCGTTTCATTTTTGTTTGTAAGAGAATTTTGCCTATTTGAAGATTGTTTACTACCCGAACAAGTCATCTGTATAATTTTTTCTACGCGGTTAAACATTCATCGTACAAACAAAAAGGACATGGAAATTACAGAAAATAAAAAAACAGAACCCGCATAAAGGAAATGTTAAAATACAAAAACACACGAAACCAAAAGCTAATTCCTTTAAATCTTTCATCATATGTGTGTGAATGAATCTCATAGGATTATGCAGCTTCCTGAATCCCTGATGAGAAAAAGAACCATCATAAATCACATTTTGATGTTTACTATCAGAAAGTAGAATAAATTAGTTTCGAATATGAACAGTGATACCTCTTGGACTCTTCATAGTAACTCAGTGCTTGCTCGAACTTGAGCCAGAGTGGACATGATTCCTCAAGATCGACGTGGTCAGGACCTTTCATATAAGCTTGGACAATGAATTGATTACTTCTCTGACTGCGTATCACATAAACTGAATCAGGCTGATATGTTTTGACCAAGATATATTTTTGCAAAACTCATGAATTATGAGTAGAGAGTAGGAGTTGGAAGCGTACCTTCCTTCATATTCGGATAACCAAACCAGATAGGCTACACCGAAGTACATAGACACAAATGGTTTGGTTAGATCGTCTGCTGAGTCGACTCTGTATGCTCGGTATCCTAGCTCCCTTTATTCAGAACAATTTCCCCAGTTGGATTTGAATATTTGGTGTATTTTTTAATGTAACTATAGAGAAACGTAGTTTGGCCATAAACTTACGAATATAACCAGGAAGCGGTTGAGTAGTCCACTCCGAGTATTCCTACATGTTTCTTAGTACCGTTCACAAACCGCATGCACACAGTATCAGCAACCGCACAGACAAGAGGCTGTATCCGTGCAAATGGAACATATATATCAGAATAACATGTGGATCGTCCAAAAAGATGCCCAATAAAAATTTCCTCAGCAAGTGATAATCAACAGATATGCACACTTACAACTCTAATTCCTTTCGTGCTGAAGTACTTTGAAACAATTATTTCTCCAACAGCCTGAAACAGAAAATATAGCATTACTTTCAAGGCAATATGGTGAGAACAGTGTCGGTTATTGTTCTCCAAAAAGTATATATCAACTGCTCACTGAAAAGATAGACATTACCTTTAGCTCCCCTCGAGAAAGGTAAGGCCTCTTTTCACCGTCTTGTGAAAAACGAACCTTTCCCTTTTCTTCTTTAGATTTTGTCCACTCTTTACATACTTCAGAATGATTCCACATATCTTCCATATCTTCAGGTGAAACTCGAGAGTCCCAGTATGTAAAATTGGTGTCTGTTCAACCAGAGGGTATTATTCCAGTTCATATCAAACTTAAATGAGATACATTGTTATATGACACAGAACGATACAAAAAGAGGGAGAGATTACTTGAGCCTGGTGAAGCGGGATTCGTGGGATGAAAGCTTGAAGGGCCAGCATCGACATGTTTTCTGCAACACAATTACCAAATATACTGTTGTTTCAGCTTCGCTTCTCTCAGCTTCTTGGAGCAACTGCCTTTTTATAAGTATGAACAACATGAAAAGCACACGACAACACAAGAAAATTTCCTTGCAACCATGCATGGAATACGATAGTAGAAACAAGGTAGAAAGAGCAATCAGAGAACAGAAACAAAAACCTTGAAGGGAGACTTTCTTTCACTGAAAGGTACCGTTTCCAATATGGTAATGTCGACTTGTGAGTCGCTTTTTTGGTCCCACCATTATATGCTCTGACAACAAACTCTTCACTTCTCTGGCTGCACATGGAATGATTTAAAGAATGTAAGTAAGTTTAAGAGGAATGTAAACTTGTTGTCATTGAAATTGTAAAGCTAGAAATGCCAACTTAGGGACAATATATCATACTTATTCTGATAGTCTGTTAACCATTTCAGGTAAGCTGCTCCAAAATATACATTTATAAAGGGCTTGTGAAGAAGATCAGGATTGTCATCCACATTATATGCCTGATAGCCTTGGCCCCTGCATTATAGTTTGACCAAAACCAGAACATAAGATTTTATAAATTGAAGATCTTCTTGGAAAGTAACTAGAAATAATTGTGTACCCAGCCAACCACGCTGCTGTCTTTTCAAAAACTTGTAAAATTCCTAGGCCAGTTTCTTTGGTCTTTTTGTTGTAACGCATAATGAGAGGCTTTCGGTCACTTTCAAGCTCAGCAATTGCGCATATCATTTCCTGCAGAGGGAGAGGGAGATGCAAAACTTTCAGATCAGAAAGGGGAATAGATGATTTTAATAACTTAAGGAGTAGCTAAAACCAAGCTCAAAAGTACTAGGTTTTTAAAGAACTGTGCACTTTGAAAATATGCTCTGATTCATTATTACAGACCAACAAACGAATTTGAAACTCTTAATGATAGGTGAAAATGAAGCATACCGGATCCAATATCAAATCAAAATGCCTTCGGACAATAATATCAGCAACAGCCTGCAAGGGTAATGGATTGAACAATAAGTAGGCAGAAAGACAGGTCTAGCTAAATCAGCATTAATATTTGATTGAAATTAAATGAAAACACTGTTTGAGAGGTGAACCTTGTGCCCTTTATACAGTCAAATGAAAATGTCTGTAATTCCTTGGAAAATACAAGGATTTTTAGAATATGATTACCTTCATCTCGGTCTGTGTCAGATAAGGCTGTCCATCAGGATCCCTTGAGAGGTGAACCTTCTGGCCTTTAGTCTCTCCAACATCAATCCATTCAGCACTCACGGCAGGATCCATCCACATTTCTTCTAAATCCTCTGGCTCAACACAATCATTCCAGAACGTGAAACTGTTGGCCATTCTTGCATTGCTATACGACCTTTCCATCGGCATCTATCAGAAAGAACCAAAAAAAACAAAAACAAAACGAGAATTGTCACAACTAGCTAATGGAAAGAGAAGAACTTAAGCCACATAAACGATCTCAATAGGACACAGAAGCGTATTGAGAACACATCGTTTTCAACATCCCCAACTAACATGTTTGCCAAATTTAAGGAAGAAATGCGAAAACGAATCAACCGATCCCCAGGATAACTCATTCAGAGAAAAAAAAAAAATCAATCGGTAAACTCGGTAGTAGCATGTCCACATTGCTCAACAAACGGATGCTTGCAAAGTAGTAATACAACGAGAAATTTCGTGTGTATGAGATTGAGAGACCTTGCCGAAGGCATGTAAGCGTTAAGGAAGAAGACGTTGATGATAGGAGCAGAGAAACAAGGTTTCTCGGCGAAATCCTGTGAGAAGAAGAAGATGATGAGGAAGATTCAAATTAATCAATGGAGAATTCTAGAGATACAGAGAAAGCGACGGTTCGCCATTTTTGACGGGAGAGCCAGGCAAGCAAATTTAATCACAGAGAGAGAGAGAAAGAGGAGTGTGTGTGAGAGACGAACGTACTGGAGATTGGAGAACAGCACGATTGTTTCGATCGGAATGCCACGTGGCTATTCGGAGCTGGCTCAGCTCGTCGTCGTTTCAACAGTAGCTCCCTTTTTTTAGAGGGAGAGCCAGCTGGACCGGCCACCTGTCATACTGACGGTTAACGTCGTTTTAGTCTGACGTGGCAAACATTAACGTCGGTTTCCCTTTGGCATTAAATAAACGACAAAAGATACGTCAACGTTGTTCAAATATGACCCGTAGGCCCACCAAATCATGGGCCTTTTGAGACGATCCGCTAGCTACTCGTGGCTTTGTAATTTTCCTCCGTGAGATCTCGTCCCTTCATTCTCATCGGCAAACTAGTTTCCATGAGGCGCGCCTCATTGGAACGTAGCCATCGTCTCTGCTGCGGAGTCATAAGCAAATATATATTTTACATGAGAATATTCTTCAAAATAGACTAACAGTGTGCAATTGCAACTCGACGAACATTTTCTTGGAAACTTCACGTCTCTTTTATAGGTTTTGACTCTTCAGCTACACTCAAAAGGCGGAAGGGTTTTGGTTTTTTTTGGCAGCGACATCTCTTGTAGCTTAGCAATGGCCTTCTCTTTTCTACTCAGATCTGCCGCTACTTCCGCCGCCGCTCCTCGTCTCGAGCTTTATCCATCGTCTTCATACGAACATTCTCAGGTATAAAACGTGTTTCGTTTTTCTCTCTCGGATTGTGATTCCATTTGATATGTTTTAGCTTACGTTTAGCTTCGATCTGCTTCAATTGTGCATTTCCTTGTCACATAGAGTTTTATGGATTGTTGGCGGTGATGTCTTGTCTATGGTTCTGGTTTCAATTTCTTAATGAGAAGTAAACTTGGAGATTTCTATGGTATCGGTATCTTCTCTAGTCGTTTGCCCTGTGTTATCTGAACTCGAATCAATAATAGACAGCATTTTGGTTTTATACGTTTCGAGAGTTGCAGTGGGGTTATATTTTTTTGTCTCAAATGAGCAGGTCACGTCAGTTGGATTCAGTCACAACCTGACCTCGTCCAGATTTTCTGGTGCTGCCCTTTCAACAGGGTCATCTTCATCTTTGCAGTTCAGTGCCAAACTCTGTGCCACATATAAGTTACACGATGCTTTCTTTGCTTCTCATAAGTTTCTTTTTATGTTCAAATGTACAGCAAATGCAATGCTAGAAGCGTACAACCCATCAAGGCCACTGCTACGGCATCACCTCCTGCTGTTCAAAGTAAATAGAAAATTTATTGATATTTTTACCTGCTGTGTTTGGTGCTGCATTCTTACAGCTAACTTCGATTTGATTTACTTGTGTAGGGTCAAGGAGCAGCGGAAAGACAAAGGTCGGGATCAATGGTATTTTCTTTTTTATCCATTGTTGGATACATTTTGCCTTTATTCCTCCTGATCTGCTTCTAGTTCCCTACCTCCTTTGTTCTTACCGATACTTGTATTTATTGTGTACGGACAGGTTTTGGTCGAATTGGAAGGTTGGTCCTCCGCATTGCAACCTTTAGGGATGATATTGAGGTTGTAGCAGTCAATGATCCATTCATAGATGCCAAGTACATGGTAAGGATGATTACTGTCTTATTTAGCAGTAGATGCAACTTACAGTGTGTTTTGCTCTTACTAGTTTGTAATGTACTTTTGGCAAGGAAGTTTGTATAACTGTTGCTTATGCTCCTTACCCATTCAGTGTTTTTTTTTTTTGTAGTAACTGTCACCTGCTGAACTCGATATAGTTTAAGGAAGTCGTAAGGCATGGGTACTACAAACTTGTATATCAAACTCACTGCAAATCTTCTCTCCCCTCTTATGCAGGCTTACATGTTCAAGTATGATTCTACTCATGGAAATTACAAAGGAACCATCAATGTAATTGATGATTCTACTTTGGAGATCAATGGAAAACAGGTCAAAGTTGTCAGCAAGAGGTATTGCCTCAAACTGTTGACTAATATATCTGTCTAGACATGGACAAATTATGAATCAGTTTTCCATGTTTTTCCTATTGATAGGGTTAAAAGCTTTCCCTTTTAGTGCCTGACATCTTATTGGTTCTTTCTCAGAGACCCAGCTGAAATCCCGTGGGCTGATCTTGGAGCTGAGTATGTTGTTGAGTCTTCAGGAGTATTCACCACTGTTGGTCAAGCATCAGCACATTTAAAGGTTGGCATTTTCATCTGAACACACTTGTTGATCTACTAGTTTTACTGCTGCTAACATCGATTACAGGCCTTATATTAATTTAAACAGTAACATTGCCATCTGTTTGCTTGACATTTCATTGCCTGTACAGGGTGGCGCCAAGAAAGTCATTATTTCTGCCCCTTCAGCGGACGCGCCCATGTTTGTTGTTGGAGTAAATGAGAAGACATATCAACCAAACATGGATATAGTGTCCAATGCAAGCTGTACCACCAATTGTCTTGCACCTCTTGCCAAGGTTTGTAATGTTGCATTGTCTTTGTCCAGTATATAACTTGTTATGAATAACTTTATTTTGGTCAAATAAAATTGCCTGGCCTTAAAGAACTTGTATATGGCAGGTGGTGCATGAAGAATTTGGTATTCTTGAAGGCTTGATGACAACTGTCCACGCAACCACAGGTCTTTTATTCTTGTGCCCTCTTGTTATATGCTGTTGTATATCATTGACCTGAGGAAACTAAATTATGTGTTTTGTTCATGTTTGCTTTTGAAAAATCAGCTACTCAAAAAACTGTGGACGGCCCATCAATGAAGGACTGGAGAGGAGGCCGAGGCGCCAGTCAAAACATCATTCCTAGCTCAACCGGCGCTGCAAAGGTACACAAAATCATATGGTTATGTATGAAGGTCACATCAGGAATCATATTTAAGCCATGCCTATTTTACTTGTCTCAATAGGCTGTAGGTAAGGTCCTTCCGGAACTCAATGGAAAACTAACCGGAATGGCTTTCCGTGTCCCAACAGCAAATGTTTCTGTTGTGGATTTAACTTGTCGACTTGAGAAGGATGCATCTTATGAAGACGTTAAGGCAGCCATAAAGTATACCTCAGAAAAACTCTGTTTTCAACCAATTCCCGTATTACTCTCTTTACATGAATAGAACATAGAAGTTTGAACAAACAAAACATGGAACTTGTAATACCTAATTTGATTTAAAATCTCTAAACAGGTTTGCATCAGAAGGACCACTTAGGGGCATTCTTGGGTATACAGAAGAAGATGTTGTTTCTAACGATTTTGTAGGAGATTCAAGGTATTTCACTCTTAAAATCTTGCAACGGATCATTTGAAATCTAGTTGTGGTTCTCAAATGTTGTGGTCATCGTCAAAATTAGGTCAAGTATCTTTGATGCAAATGCTGGGATTGGGTTAAGCAAGTCCTTCATGAAACTTGTCTCCTGGTATGACAATGAATGGGGTTACAGGTAAAGTAGTTAGTCTCTCGCATATCTTGATCATCACATTGCCATTTGAATGTTATAACCGAAGAGTAATATATACATGTGGGTGTTGTAATGTTACAGCAACCGAGTCCTCGACCTGATAGAGCATATGGCATTAGTTGCAGCCAGCCGCTAAACCATGCCGCTTTCTTTATGAAGCCAAAGATTCTCCTCCTTATATGGTACCTAGCTTCTTGGTTTTGGTTGTTGTTGGGGTTCGAATTATTGAAATTTGAACCATACGATTTTAATAATAAGGGAAAGGTTTTTTTATATTGTACTAAGAAAAATTGTTGGAATCCCTGTTGAGAGAAAGATGTACCTTGTTATCCAGTATAAAGATTGGTCTCCAAGTTTGGAAGTTATATGTTTGTTGGTTGGCTTCAATAACTAATCTCTATGTTAAAAGACAACTGTCGAGGGAGATGAAGATATATTCGAAATTGTGACAGTGAGTACACTACACAAAGATGCACACACATATGAATTAGGTAAGCGGGCAGGGCTTATTGGTTAACCTTGTACCTAAATAATATATGATGAAATAGTGACATTACATCCACTTCCTAAGGCAAAATTATCTGAAAATCTTCAAGTGATTTACGGAAAATAAGTGGAATAAAGAAGTTTATTTAGGAATTTGTTAAAAATACACGACGTTACATAATAAAGCCCCACTCGGAGAAAATGGTGGCATAAAAGAAGAAAAGTGTGTGTTAACAAAAAAAGGAATAGAGGGGGACATGAAGCTTTTTGGGATCGTGGGAAACCACTTTGATCGCAACAAATGTTATTAATCATTCATTTACGCAATTCCTTATCAATGATTTTATAAAATAAATAATTGAATTATTTTACGTGGCCGTCTAGAAAACCTTTTAGAGATGAAGAAGGGGAGGCGTAACATAAAAGAAGAATTGGGGAGTCCCTTCGTCTTTCATGTTGTTTATATTGGACCACGCCTTTTTGCATCATCACTTAAGTGAGCAATGACCACCTACTTACTTCGTCAACTCAACAACAACAACATGATATGTATGGAGATATCCACCTTACTTTAGTTTTTTCTTATAAAACAGAAGACAAACGTATTTCGTCTACCTATAAGGAATGGTTTATTGTCTTTAACAAATCTACTTAAACAGCAAAATATCATTTGTAATCATATGCCAATCCAACCCAAAATTTCTAATCAAAGTATGTTTGTAAAACACTAATGGGGGGGGGGGGGGGGGGGGATATATCTTACATTTTTTGGTGTTAGTGTTACATAGTTTTAGAAGAAAAACATTTTTGAAAACACTGTAAATGCAAAAGTTATTTATTTTGACATTTTTGTTTTCTAATAATATATAAAAAATATTAGCATGTCACAAACAAAACAGAGAGTGGTGTGTGAGTCATATGCTTTATAACTCCTATATATAACTCCCCCTTGTTCATACAAGCAACTAATAAGTATTTGTTTTGTTTTTTCTATCTTTGCAAACTTCCCCTTTCTCGAAATCGATCGGAGAATTAATGGCGACGGAGCATAAAAGAGTCCGTACGGATGACGAATACAATGCCGAGCTTTTACCAAGCGACCACGATTCACCGCCTCTTGAATCGTCTTGGCGTCTCAGCCTCGACGCTTTTCAACTCCCTTCTTCACCCTCCTCCACCGCCCGCCACCACGACGCTCGTACTCGCTTCTCTCGCTATTTCCGCACTCCCAGTAAGAATCCTTCTTCCTGTGTTTTTCCCGTGATCTACACTCAATCCCTTCATACATGATTCAAATGTCGAACAAGAGTTGTGATTGGAACTTTAATCACTTTTATGAATCAGAAAAAAAATCGATTATGCAATATGTTTAGTTCGTGTCATTTCGTTGACACTTTCTCGGAAAATACAATTTAGAAGTTAACTAAAATCGCTTGGAAAAAAAACTATATAGAGTTTTTGTGTATAACTCTTTTTTATTTCCTTTGTCTAATTGATTGATTCGGTGGAATATTAAATCTTTTTTTTAATCTTTTGTTTGTTGATTCAAAGTTAGTAAGCTTTTGATGGAATCTTAAGCTTCTTCGATCCTTTGGAAATGTGGATGCTGAATTAGATTCTCTCGTAGGTTTAACAAGTTATAATATGATTGGGAGAAATATATTTCAAACCCCGGCAATCAAATTGTTATATGTCGAGACAGGGTTCTTCTGAACACTTTGTATCTGTTGTCTGTCTTATGATGCAGGAAAGGAACGTAGAGTATCTGAATATTACAAGAAGCAAGAGAGGCTTCTCGAGGGTTTCAATGAGATGGAGACTATCCACGAAACTGGTTTTGCATCTGCTGCTCCGACTGAGGTCTGCCTCTTTATCTACTCTTTTTTTCTTATGGTACTTCCCTTTGGGATTTCTTACTATAACCCTTTTTTTTAATGAATCCTCAATCTTTTTGGTTTCTACAGGAAGAGATGAAGAAGCTTGCGAAGAGTGAGAGACTGGCAGTTCACATCTCGAATGCAACAAATTTAGTTCTTTTTGTGGCAAAAGTTTATGCCTCTATGGAGAGTAGATCCATGGCTGTGATTGCTTCAACTTTGGACTCTCTCTTGGATCTCTTGTCTGGTTTTATTCTCTGGTTTACAGCTAATGCCATGAGGAAACCAAACCAGTTTCACTATCCAATCGGAAAGCGCCGGATGCAACCTGTGGTATGCTTCTCATTTTGTTTTGTTTTGCTTTGTTCTGACTCCTTCCTTGTCTCACAAGAAACATATCTAATATTCTGGCCAAACCTGGTCACAAAACTTGGGTTTCTGGATGTGAATGACTCATGAAAATAGAAATGATAGTGTATACGTACACCCTTTGTTTAATAGGGCATCATTGTGTTTGCTTCCGTAATGGCAACTCTTGGACTGCAAGTTTTACTAGAGTCAGGAAGGCAGCTAGTTTCTAAGGTATATTACATATGTTTTTCTAGTCACTGCTTTCATTGGTTATTTGATCTACTTAACCAATTCCGATTTTGTATACAGAGTGGTATACATATGAATAGCACAGAAGAGAAATGGATGATCGGGATCATGGTCTCTGTGACCATCGTGAAGTTTCTGCTCATGCTTTATTGCAGAGGATTTCAGAACGAAATCGTTAGGGCCTACGCACAGGATCACCTCTTTGACGTGGTCACCAATTCAATCGGCTTAGCAACAGCTGTCTTGGCCGTCAAATTCTACTGGTGGATTGATCCCTCTGGAGCTATACTTGTATGCATTCAACTACTCAAATAAAATCTAACTTTGGAATCAAAAAATTCAATAAGTGTTCTCTGGGGGTAACAAAAACATGTTTCTTTCTCATTTTGTGGTGGCAGATTGCTTTGTACACCATAGCAACATGGGCAAGAACCGTACTAGAGAACGTCCATTCACTGATAGGACGCTCTGCGCCGCCAGATTTCTTGACGAAACTGACATTCTTGATATGGAACCATCACGAACAAATCAAACATATTGACACAGTAAGGGCTTACACTTTTGGGACACACTATTTCGTGGAAGTGGACATTGTTTTGCCAGAGGACATGAGACTACAAGAGGCTCACAACATCGGAGAGACTCTTCAGGAGAAGCTCGAGCAGCTCGCTGAAGTGGAACGAGCTTTCGTCCACATTGACTTTGAGTTCACTCATCGTCCTGAACACAAGTGTAATTAGATTTTAAGTAAAACTCTTGTACTTGTAAAAGTGTTTAGTTTCTTAGTTTATGTACTCTTCGTGTCGTTCTATTGTATGTACATATATGGTAATCGAATGAATGAAGTGCACGCTGTTTCTCTAATACCCGAGTAAAATGTGTGTAGTTTGATGTATTTGGACGTTGTGCAGTTCTCAATCCCGGTTTTTGTAGTTGAACTGCACGATGTTTGAAGCTAATTGACAAGATTAATTTCCGTTTCTTCTGTTTAAAACACCTAAACTCAAAAGTAAAGATAAAATCATAATAAAATAATGAGTTTTAATTCAAAACCACTCAAAAGAAAAGAAAAGAAAATAAAAGAGATTTGATTTATCTATCTTCCAACAAAGTTCCGTGCTCCATTGCTCTTCTCCACAAGGCAATTTTCTCTGGCTCAGAATCTTCGCCATGAAAATGTAAAGAAGAAAAAACAAAAGACGAGCTCCCGAAAGAAAAGCAAGCAGCCATGGCGTTTCTTCTTACTAATCTATCATCTCCCTCAATCCATCTTCAAACCGGAAAATCCCCAAACCTTAAACCCATTTTCAGTCAATCTCTATCGTCACCGTCGTCGTCTTCAATTAGCTACGAATTTGAGGAAGATACTTTCCCTACGCTCTCTCTTTTGAGCATCCAATCTCCTCCACTTAAAGACGCCGAGGTTAAGACAAGACACAGCTCGCAAGATAAGCATAACAACCACGACAGAGATGAATTCTATATCAATCTTGGTGTCGCTGTCCGTACACTTCGTGAAGATTTGCCTCTGCTCTTCACTAAAGACCTCAATTACGACATCTATAGGTAAAAACTCTTCATTTGGGTATTTGATATTTGAATGATATGTGGATGAAATAAAGAAATCTTTTATCATCTCTCTGCAAAAAGGAACTTCCTTTGATCTCTGTTTATGAATCTTTCTTTGCTTCACAGGGATGATATAACACTTGTGGATCCGATGAACACATTCACTGGGATTGAGAACTACAAGTTGATCTTCTGGGCACTCAGATTTCATGGGAAGATATTGTTCAGAGATATCTCACTTGAGATCTTCAGGGTATGGCAACCATCAGAGAACATGATTCTCATCAGGTGGAACCTCAAGGGTGTCCCTAGAGTTCCATGGGAAGCTAAAGGAGAGTTTCAAGGCACTTCTCGGTATAAACTCGATCGTAATGGCAAAATCTATGAGCATAAAGTTGATAACTTGGCCTTCAATTTCCCTCATCAGCTCAAACCAGCAGCTTCGGTTTTGGATTTGGTGACTGCTTCACCTGCAAGTAGCCCCAATCCTACATTCTTTCTCGGTCCTGTGGACTCTTATTCATCTTCATGGATTAAGTTCTATCAAGCTGTGAGACGTACATTGGAGACAGAGGATGTGTTTGTCACAGACAGTTTACTCACATGCTCATAGTGGAAGTAGAGTTGCTACATAGACCACTCATGGCCACACTTCTCAGGTGTATATAGTTTTTACATTAAAGGTTTTTATATATATGAGTAGATCTGGTTGACTTAATTCTTGGGAAAACCTAGAATTGTTATGTTGTTCCACAAGCTTTATACAACATTATCAATACATTGGAGTTTTGTCTTTATGATCATGTGAAACAGTATGGTTAAGCACACAGAAAAAACAACACACCTAATCAAGAC